ACCAACATGTCAGATAAATTTTATGGTGTTATGGTGATGAAAGTCATATAACATTAGCATATCATAAATGATAGAATCATGTGATGAATGCCAGAAATAATCTAACTAATAACCAACAATAATGTTATTTTGTGTCGTGCAATAGCGCCTTCACAGTGCACAGTTGCACTACCTACGATGGTGTATTATGCCGAACCATATTGTCTAGCCATTCTCAAGTTTCTTAGGCACAAAATCCAGAAACCCATGTTGGTTTCACAATCCTGTTTGACATGATACTTGTTTCAAAGCAAGATATTTACCACCATTCATTCTGCCACAGTTCCAAACAAATCAGCAGTGTACAAGAGAAGTTTTTTGGTTTCAGTATCTCCAATGTGGTTGCTGGATACAAGATCCAGCCTTTTGTGACAGAAGAGATTGAACACCTAATTAAATGGAAAGAGAAGTGAGAGAATCCTAATCGCTTCCATTTGCACCATCATCCTTAATAGAAGGTATACACATATGAGAAGCAACCATTACTTCACTTTTTACCCTTTCTGACTATGGATGGCCGCAAATGTTCTTGATCCTGGTCTAATAAAACTGGCTTCTATAATTGATCAAAGCCGCAAAAGAAGGGGTTAATACTAAAGCTTTCGTCTTTAGAAACATAAATCCAAACTCCAAGACAATTACTTCCTCTAAAAGATCGTATTGCAATGCTATTACATAAGCATGAGTAGACCACTTAATATCTCAAAGACCACTCACTAACCTATGCATGCAACTCAACAACAGAAAATAAGAGGGAAAGAAACCTGATCGTATACTTTTGACCCCAACCTAGGTTCTACAAAGACACCTCAATACCTGCATAGGAAAAAGCTTCGTGATCCCTCTGTTGGCAAGTTGAGTTACGATATCCTGCGAAATCCCCAGCTTGGCAATCTCTAATTCATCGCTCCCTCTTTTCGAGCTGTCTTTATCTTCCTCATAGTTGTCGAAGGCGTAGTCCGCACGGGCGACATCCGTTGCCCTAAACCTCAACGGCAAGGCCAAGAAATGGAATTCCCTGCGTCGGGCACTGCGAAATCCGATCTTTTCGGCCGGGAAAGGCCTAAAGAACGAAAGACAACCACCAGCGACGCAGGAAAAGGGAGCCACCGAGTGGGTCGGGATAAGGAGGGGCGACTCCAATGAGACCAGAGCGGCCGGGGTTCGTCTCGACGCCGAGGCGGAGATCGACGAGGACCTGCGGAACAAGAAATTCATCTTCTGTGGATCAAAAGCCTCGATAAAATGAGGACGAATCGGAATGCGACGCACTAAAAGAAGAATTGGGTTCCATAGGGAGAGAGGAGACGGGCGCATTAGAACCCCTCCAAGGGGTTTTGGGAAGACGAACAGATTTTTGTGATTGGGAAGACGAACAGATATTTGGGAAGACGAAGAGACCGAGCTCACTGTCTTGGTCAGGCACCAAACGAGAAAACATGGATTCCCATTAGATTGAATCGGGATCCAACAGCGTGGGCCTAGTGAGTCACCAATGAAAAAGCATCAATTCCTGATTGCTGCCGAGGATAATACACGGGCTGATCGATTCCTGCTCAGAGTTCAAACGACCGTGAGGGATGGCGGGGTTCGTGCCACGAACCGAAGCGGGTCGGCCCGAGAGCAAAAGATCCGACCCGATCACATATATATTACACACTTCAGTCCATCTTGAGAGCAATGTCCTCATCCAGATAAATATTACTCACTAACATATAAAAAAGAATTCCAAAACATGAAAATATAACTTCTAAAAATAAAAATTTATAGAATTTATTGCCGCCATCAAGGGCTGTAATTTAAGTGTTTTCATTAAAAAAAAAAATCAAGGTTAGATGGTTGACTTAAAGATGTATCCAACTCAACAAATGATCATTCTAACCCAATTTGATAATAAGCATAGTTTATCTTGTCTACATAGAACAATCATAAACTCAATATGACTCGTTCTCTCCAACACAGTTTTTAGGTTGCTTGGTATTCAAAAAGGTATTACTTCTTTTGTATGAATGTAGAGAATTAAATAATACAATTCATCTTCAAGTATTCTTCCAACCTTTATGAAAGCTTTTCTACAGATACATCCATTATTACTGTCTTCTCCAGGTTATCTACTCATTTCAACACTAGCACACACAAACAAACATATCTCAACATCGAACATAACAAATAATTCGACAAACTCAAATAATGAAAACATTTAAATTCCAATACAGTTTGGCAGCCATGAGATGCATAAACCAACATATCATGCATCACTTTATCTGAATCTTGACAACAAAACAGCATATAAAAAAAAACTATTATCTGAATCTTGCTTCCTAAAGAAAGCTGGGCCAATCAGTAACATATGTTTCTTCTCTTTTCCAATCCAGTAGGGAGTAAAAATCGACAACAGCTCTCTGAAAACTGAGCAGAAACAAAAGGCATAATAGTTGCTGGTTAAAGATGTTGAAGCCAATGTAGTGCCTGTACAAAATCAACAGTGTGAGACAATGACCAACAGGTAGTGGATTTGCCTTATTATCCTGCAGATACTAAATAAAAATAGTAGAATGGACGGTTGGTGTGCTAAATAGAATACGATAGAGATATGATACCATGAATGACTCCATTTAGTCTGCTTATTATACAGAATCATGTAGTAATACCTCAGGAGCATCCATCTGAAGCAAGAATTAACTAAATGTGGTGTGACTTTGAAGGCTGGAACTCCAGAAGAATTTTGTATTGTGAGGTCATTGAATTATTTTTATTTGAAGAAACAAGAGTAGGTCGAAAGAAGTTTATGCAAGCAATTACAGCAAACAAGCACATCAAGCAAACAGAACTTTCAGTCGTCAAGTAACAGTAAGTCCCTGTTAGCTGAACTCCTCAATGCTATAAACAGCCAGCTTACACACCAAGTTTTGTTAAGAAGAATTCATGTATCAAGTTAGTGCAATAGGTTGATCAAAGATTACATGCAAGACTAGATTGCAAGAACTTCAGATGGTATTATGCTCCTACTAAAACGCATTAAAAAAACTGCATTAGACATTGCACGGAAAAAGTAGATAAGTGCATCATACAGACAACTGCGAAAAAGTGTAATTCAGGATTTGGTACGATAAAATTCCAAAGGAGAGGTCAACAAGGTCTGCACCTTTGAGTAATATGACCAAAGTTAAGCATGTTATATAGCAAATACCAGTAGGCCTTCCTCTTGTGCAGTATCAGATCGATCAGAATTATCTACATGAATATGTCTCCATTATTGACTACGTCGCAACAGTACCATTACAGAAAACTGAAGTACACTCGAAGCAAAATAGGCTAAAAAATTCTCACGGTTAGCATCAGCGGGTATGATAAAGCATGCTGTTGGGGCATCGTTAGGATCATAATGACGACACCTTTAATGATGCCCAAGACTCAAATGAGCTAGACCGAGAGTTATCTAGAATACGGAGTTATTGGTGCGTTAAAATTCTGCAGATGGAATAGTTCAAGCAGACCGATTGCTACATGTTCATGCCGCCGAGAGTTTCTGAACCCATAATTAGCTCATATGTATTTGTTTCTACTGGGGATAACTCATCAATGTGGGAGGAAAGCAGCAGCCTACCATGAATTCGCACTCGATGTAGGGGTGAGCTACCGCCTTGCAGTGCTCCCGGGAGAAAGAAGAAAGAAAGAAATCCCGGCGTCAGACGGACAATTTCACGGAGTACGGCGAGAAGATCCTGTAATGTCTCGTCTACGCATTTCATCGAACGGATGTTGCCAGGCGAGACTGAACTAAGAGAGAGGGCGTCTCCCGGCCGCAGTTCACGCAGACGAAACCCCGCCGAAGGTCATCCGTGCTCTCCCAGGATTCGCCTACGGCGTCGGCGGTGGCGGCGATGGCAGCGGGGGCGTTCGCTCTTCGGACTTGTTGGGGCGAGCGTGCGCACCGACTCGACCGCAAGCGCGAGGAATAGACATCTCGGGACTTCTTCTACCAGCGCAGGGTGTGCATCGTCCGTGCGATGCAGGGCCAGCGGCAATCTCAAAGAAGTTAATCGGGTTGGGAAACGCATCTTAAGAACGTGGGCCCAAAACCAAAAGTATACCTATTTGGTAAGACCGGTCCAAAAATATATATCAAAATCATAAGGTATTTCGATAAACAAGTTAAATATATGTATTTAATAAAAAATTATACATTGGTATGAAAAGTCCAACTCTTAAAATACGATGAGAGCATAAATAAAAAAAAGATAGTTGATGGTTTAGTGAAATCAATGGACCATTTTGTCTCTACGCGAAATATGAAATCACAAAGATACACGTTTCAGAGATCTATTGGATTTTACGGGAATGCGCTGTTCTGTATGAAGGAGCGGATCCAACTCGGGCATGGTGATGTCATCAACGTGACTCCGATGCCAGACGTTAGACGTCCATCGGCTTTTATGAGAGTCGGCTGCTCGAGATCGATGAGTGGATCCAACTCGGCGGAGAAGGCAGCAACGGTGATGACATGCACTCGACTCCGATCAGATCACGGCGATCTGGACCGTCAATCAGGCATCACGGAATGATCACGAGGATATGAATGCCATTATAAAAAATAGAGGGGCCTGTTCCGTAATTTCAGGTGGCACGATAACTTCGAGGGAACCAGCCGTGCCGTCGACTTTCTCTTTATTATTATTATTATTATTAGTTATCATCTTTCGATTAGAAAAAGAGGAGCCTACTCGTGTTGCTCCTCCAATGGTGATCTCTTCGAAGAAGGAAGCAGGGGATAAGAAAGAAAATGGAGGGAATATTCCAGTGTTCGTCCTAAAACTTCTGTTCTCGAGGTAAGCGTTTCGTTTCTCTCTGGGCTTTAAATGTCAACGCTTTACTCGAGAATTCCAAACTGGTTGACCTGAGATTGATACTCTCTGAATGCTACAATATCAAGAGATCCAATCCTGTCACAGGAGATAAGAGTTGACCTGCTGCTTCACGTTTATTTATATCGATAAGTATTGATCTTGTTGTGTCTTCCAATGACTCAGAATGAGTATGTACAGTGCTGTTGTTTGCAGCCAGCACCAGCCTGCCCACCTTCATAAGCCCCTGCCATGGCCAGGAGATCCCCCCCCTTGGTCAAGAGGAAGTTCCACCACAAGCACGTCCTGGGCCTCCTCCTCCTCCTCCTCCCAGCGTTCGTCGTCGCCGTCTTCTGCCATGGCCAGAAGATATCGTACGTCCTCCGCCCCATATGGGACACCCCGCCGCGCCCGTTCACACGCATCCGGCACTACCACGCGCAGGGCTTGCCGATGGATCACCTCTGCCGCCTCCATGGCTGGAGCCTCCGGTCCTCCCCTCGCCGGGTTTTCGACGCCATCCTCTTCAGCAACGAGCTCGACATACTCGAGATTCGGTACCGCGAGCTCCTGCCTTACGTACATAAGTTTGTCATCCTCGAGTCGAACGTCACCTTCACAGGCATCGCCAAACCACTCTACTTCGTCGACAACCTCGACCGGTTCGAGTTCGCGAGCTCCAAGATTGTTCGCGGGGCTTTCTCAGGCAATTCCGGCGGCACGCTGGGCAGAGATCCTTTTGAGCTCGAAGCCAAGCAGCGGGTAGCCTTGAGCGCCCTTCTCCGGCGGTCAGGGATCGCCCCGGGGGATGTGGTCATCATGGCCGACGCTGACGAGATCCCGAGCGCCGAGACGGTCAAACTCCTGCGATGGTGCGATGGCGTGCCGCCGGTGATGCACCTGGAGCTGAGGCATTACATGTACTCCTTCGAGTTCCCTGTGGACTACAGCAGCTGGCGAGCCACGGCGCACTTGTACAACCAGGGGACCGGATACCGGCATTCGAGGCAGGCGGACCTGATGCTGGCGGACGCAGGGTGGCATTGCAGCTTCTGCTTCCGTACGATCGAGGAGTTCGTGTTCAAGATGACGGCATACAGCCATGCGGATCGTGTGCGGCGGTCGAGCTTCTTGGATCGCCGGAGAATTCAGCATATCATTTGCCGGGGCGAGGACCTGTTCGACATGTTGCCCGAGGAGTACAGCTTCCGTGAGCTGATCAAGAAGATGGGTTCGATACCGAAATCAGCATCGGCAGTGCATCTTCCCTCATTCCTGCTGGAGAATGCTGACAGGTTCACATTCTTACTGCCTGGTGGATGTTCAAGGTTGAAATAGATGATGTTAAGTTTGTTTTACTTGATGAACATGGTATAAGATCACCGGAAACAATCATACAAGTGACACCAATAAGTCAAGAACCTTTATGCAAGAAGCAAAGTAGAAGACTTCTCATGGTTCACAAAATGAAGTTTGCAGTGTGGAAATGCTTCACTTGTATGTGATCACTTATGAAAGAGAACAACAAGTTGAATTTGTGATGTTTGCAGAACAAAACATCTAAATAGAGAGGAAGATGATGGCCAAAAGCTCAGAGACTTTTCTCCAATACCAGCTATTTAGTTGCATCTGGTCACTGCAGGAAATTTCCTATAGTAACTTGGGGTAGTCAAGGACAGAAATCTTCATTGATTAATCTGCTTCTTGACGTCAATTAACAACTACAAATGATTTTTTTGGGGAGAAAAGTCAAACACTTGTTCCATTTCTGAACTAGCTGGTGCCTCAGTAACATGTTCTGAGCACCAAACTACAATGATTCTTTTATGGGTCTCCAATCCTTCCTTTTGTTAGAGACTGCCCTTGCAACTCCTGCAAGAACGTAGTAGAAAAGATCTATTTGTTGCTAAGACATGGAAGACAAGGATGCTTCGATCCATCCTGATCCTGTAAAGCTATATAATTCCATGATAATATTTAAAGAAAACAGAAGAACTTGGAAACAAATTTCATTAACTATATTTGCTTATTCTCAACAAGAAAAAAAAAAAAAAGAAGGAAAGCAGCTAAATCATTAATCAACAGATAAAATATTTTTTAATAATTTTCTACCTGCAATTTTTATATATGGCAAGTCTTATTGCATTCTACAAAATATGGATTTAATTGCAGCAAAGAAATGCATGTAAACAGAGGGTTAGCCATGGATTCATCTTCTCAATTATCAACTCAGACTGCAAAAGAAAAGATAATTATAGCAACAATTTTTTTGGTTGTTTTGAATGATAATGACCTAATCAGAATTGGACCTGTAAGTGGTCACTATGTAAACAACATGTTTTACAAATATTATATGGAATATCTCTTTGAGAAAGACTATTAGAGGATAATTGGATGGATGCCAACTGAGCTCTTGTTACAATCTATATATGTTATAATCAAGTATAATTTACTAAAATTTTAGGTCATTCAAATTTATAAGATATAAATTTTAGTCTTATAAGTATATAAGACTATTAGGTCATTCAAAAACATTTACTAAAATTTGAACCAACTATAGATAAAAGTATAATTAAGGTATATAATTAAGATATAGGTAAAACATTTATATATGTTAATTATCCAGATATCCTCTTTTGTTTTTTCTAAGATAGTATTTATTATGTTTCATGTATTGGAATTTATTATTATTTTTTCTGTACCAAATTCTATTCGAAATATCAAATATGAATTTTATTCTGTATTTATAAGATTATCTATCGGATTCGGAGCCTAGGAGAATCCGCCCCGACAATGCGGATAACCGTTGTATGGCAAGCCCAAAATAGGAGCATCTCTACCGTTCGTCCGGCGATTTCCTCATCATATTTGATGGACGGTGATGCAATCCTCAATCAATACAATACGTATTTGCACCTCGACGCCCTTCTCTGGCTTCCCCTCCATCGGCGACAGAACCTTCGCGCTGAAGATCCAAACCTACCTGGTACGCAGAATAATTTAGATCCGTACTTTCCAATTCGTGTTTGTGCTTTCCGCTTTTCTGAAGTATAATCTGATGTTTGATTTGGTTTGACGAGATCTTTCTCGATCTCGCGGCTCGGATTTTTGGATTAGGGTTTGGATCCTTGGTTTTCATCGAATGTGTGTTGCTTTTTGTTTTTCTTTTTTGTGGTATCGAGTTTTTTTTCCTTTCTCCGTTTTTATTTGGGCAAGGACTAACATAATTTGCTTCAAAAGATGCTTGGTTTATTGTATTTGATTGGTGGTTTTCCGATTCTCTTGTGCTAGGATTCTCTAGGTGTGATACTTCGATTGACCTAATAGCAAGGTCGTCGCTTGTCTTTTTTTTTTTAATAATTTCTTTTGATTTTTGATCTCGTAGATTCCAATTATGAGCATACCGTGCGAAGAAATCCATTGCTTTAGCAAATTTATGCCCTTGGCTGGTGATATCCAGGCACTTGTAGTAACAGGAACTGAATCTAAGTTGTTTTCACAGACCTGATATTGAAGATGGGGCGACTGCAATCTTTGAGGAGTTTTGACGCATTTCCTCGTGCAGAGGAGCACCTACTAAAGAAGACCCATTCTGGAGCTGTTGGTATGTAGATATCAAACGTTGTTCCATTCTTCCTTTGTTCTAAAATCAGGAATCCGTCAGCATTTTGCCTTATACTTTGTACTCGTTGTTTTTTCTTTTGTAGTTTCTATGCGCTGCTTGCACATTCTTATAGATAGTTTGTTATTTTGTTTCACATGGTATATGACACTTTTTGACTATTATCAAATTCTTTGCTTTATTCTTTTCAGTTTCCATCATTGGCCTTGCTGTAATGGGAACCTTGTTTGTGCATGAGCTGAAGTACTATCTCACTACATATACTGTCCATCAGGTTTGCTAACAATTCTTCCTGCCAATGAACCTTGGCTTCTTTTTCTCGAACTTTTTTACTTCTCTAATGGGTTGTCCCTTGTCAGATTTATCAGACCTTATCAGCAATTCTTCTAATAAGGTGTTTGACATCCAAGCTTCTCTTAAGAAGCACTAGAATGATTATACATGTGGATCACCATTTAAAATTGAAAATGGCCAGAGTAATGAGCAGTTGCTGCATAATTCATTCACCTTTTCCAGAAACTGACAATAACTTACTTGCTGTTTTGTTTCTTATATCATTTCTTTGCTTATATGCGTAAGTTTTGAAATCTCTGTAAAGTGTTGCTTGACTGAATTGATTTTCTCTTCGAAGATGTTTGCTATCAGTTTTCAGCTAATTGGTTGTGCTTTTGGATCTATATTTCCATTCTAATACATTTATTTCTGCAGATGTCTGTAGATCTTAAGCGAGGAGAAACGCTTCCAATTTATATAAATATGACATTCCCTTCATTACCTTGTGAAGGTTAACCATAGATTTTTCTGTCTTTTGCATTCTTTCGTTATGATTTTAAGGCTTGGAAGATTCTCAGTCTTCTTATATCAACTTCCTGCATTATGACTGATTCTGAACTTTTTGTCCAAGTTCTGAGTGTGGATGCCATTGACATGTCTGGAAAACATGAGGTGGACTTGGATACAAATATTTGGAAGGTAACAACACTGATATTTTCTACATCTAGCTTTGTTTATGCAAGTTCACATTTCTGTAACTTGCAACTATCATAAACTTCCATTGATTATAAACACACTGAAATTTCTATATTTGTCATCTTATAATTAGATATCCTCATTGTTATTCTTAATTAGGTTAGCAAATTTCATTTTACACTGAAATGCATGAATGAGGTAAATCACTAATGTTAAATGTCCTGGACTCTATTTATCCTGTTATTTATGGACAACAAAGTACCATGCTTTTTGTAATTGTGAAGACTTATACTGGAAACAAGAATCTCTTATGCTTTCTAAAATTGTAAAAATTTATATTGTAAATGAGAATCTCCTAGAAATAGATTGCTGTACGGACATTGTAATCTTTTTAGGTTCTTGTTTTATAAATTTGAGCAATTTGAAATTTCTTTACCTTTTCTATTTGTCAGTCTTTTACATTGTATTTGAAACTCTTTCACTTCTATGTTTTGCAAAGTGTACTAAAACTTCACAGTAGGATTCTATGTTGATATTGATTTTTTTCTTCTATTATCTGATGGGGAAAATCTATGCACAATTTAATATCATCAATCTCTTTAAATTTTGGCCATGTAGAGCTACATGGTCTCATGCCACACAGTGTAAGGTAGGGAGGGAAGGCAAGGAATGCAGATAGTGAGCGGTTTGAAGTTTACAATTGTTAATTGCAGGAATTGATTGGGTTCCATGAGGAAAGGATGTCAAGTTTAACTTCAGTAATAAACTGGACAATGAATTATAACAAAAATTAAAAAAATCTGGCTGTTCACAGGTGTAGAATCTTCCAGATATAGGAACACATTATTCAAAGGGAATATGGTCGTTTGGCCTCGCATAATCTTCAGGAGTTAAGGGTGGGAAAGCCTAGACGCTCTTAGATTGTTAACTATTTTTTTCTGTTCATATAGCACTTATTATTATAACAACATTAAGAGTAAAGTGTGCGACTATTATGCTTGGGATCTATCATGAGAATGTGGATTTTCCTCTTAAATATTTCACCTTTCCTGTGTATTGAGATTGTGTAATGTACAATTTGATGAGCTTTCTTTTCTCTGCATATATTGCAGCTTATTATAGGAGTCAATGCTCTATTGTACTTGATGAACTAACCAAAGGCCCATCTGTATTTCTTTTCATTTGTATACTGATCTTTTTTTCAAAATAAAACTGCAAAAATGAATTGATGTTTACAATTGTTTCTGTTTATATTTTTGTGGACTCTAAAAAAAATGGGAGTATTCTATACGCTTTACCATCTGATCCATGGTCATTAAGATTCATTCTTGAACAAATAGGTTCCCTATTTTTCAATTTGTAGTCACAGTTAAGTTACAAGCAGCAATACTTTATTTAAAATAAAAATAATTAAAGAAAAATAGTTTCCTATATCTAAAGTATCAAAAACAGCATAGTGCAAATTAAGCTAAATGTCATGCAGACTTGTAGGATACAATGGGATGCGTAGTATGGCTGATACTGACTATGGTCATTACTGTTTGTTGACCTTTTCTTTTTCCTCTTTTTGAATATTAAAGCTTCGCTTGAACAAAGAGGGTCAAATTACGGGCACAGAGTACCTATCAGATCTTGTTGAAAAGGAACACTCAGCTCACAAGCATGGTAATTTCCTCTCCTGGAAGTAAATATTTTTTTTCTTTTAGCTGGTTGTATGATCATCTTTGTGTTTTACTTACCACTCTTTACTTGATGCATTAATTGATCTTCTCCTCCTTACTGGCATGGTTTAGAAGTGACATATGAAGCTTTTTTCTTAGAGGAAACAACTTTTTATGCTCCAGATGATCCATTTTAGTGTAGGATATTATGGTTCAGGGGGACAACATATCATAATTGAGCCATTGTCAGGTGAAATACCATCATTGAACCCTTTGACCTTAATATATTTTGGACATTTTCACTGATTTTTTTTCCAATTTTCTACTGTTGCACAAATATCTTTCTCTGAATGAATGCTGCTGGTGGTAATAGTGGGAATTGGGGTACAGTTTATCAAGATTCTTAAAGCAAAAGCCTGATTTTTTCAAACTTGAGGGGATTATGTGTGTTGATAAACTCTAAGAGTAGGAGGGATGCTTGTTCCTCCTGTTCTTATTAGGCCATTTAGAACAGCATCCAAGAATTACTAAGAAGGAAACCCTGGATAATCTTTTCTCAAGATGAATCTGAAGTCTGAACTCTACCATTACAAAATGGTCATTGCACTATATAGACTACAGCTGTATAATTTGATGCCCCTGGCTGAGTAGATACCTCCTCTATGTTTGTGGTGTTTAAATTATGAATGACTATTCCCTTTTGTCTGACTGTCATGGAAAATGTTGACAAATTGACATCTCTGCTTAGTACAAGAAAGTCGAAACACTAGATTTGAAAAGGCAGAACTAGAGAGGTTTGTGCCCAGTGGGAAGATCTAAGCAGGCAGAAACACCAGGGTTTGGCTTGGAGATTCCAATCTTAGCCTTTCTCTCCAGTTAGTGGGCACCCAGGTAGCTACCAAACACTAGATATTTATAGTTTTATACCAAAGGAATTCCTGTTCCATTTCCTTATACAGTTAACTGATCTTACCCCACTTGTCATGAATATGAAAAGTAACAGATATTTGATACACTTACCATGACTAGAGTGAAAGAATTATCATCTATGGGGTAGAAGTCAACCTTTGCTCTTTCGTAACATGACCGAATAAAAGGGGTTCAATATTATCTTTGACCATGGTTGTGCCATTATCAAAGTAAGAACTACAAGATACTCTCATCTAAGTAATGGTGATACCTAAAATGTGACTTTTATTATTAATATTGAACAAATTGGTCGGAAGTTGACCATATTAATTTTTTCAGATGTTGTTTATTGATGCTTCATTTGTAATTATGGTACTAACATAGTTATTGTGAAATTTATTAAGCATCACAAGATGTAGTTCATATGATGTACGAGTAATCTGTCTCATGATCTCTCATAATTGACATGTTCTGATAATTCATACCTAGAAAACAGTGCATCATCTGATGGTGATCCGAGAGGATCATAAACAATACTGCCTACTTATTATTCTTGTTTCTCTTCCCAAATGCATTTATGCTCATTTATCTGGAGTTATTTACTTATTGAAATTTTCATTATAATTCTTTATTGTCTAACCATAAGTAGTTTGCTGATTTTTATGGTTGAATTATGTTGTTTGCCTTACTGGAGTTTAAACAGTTTTTGTGATTGAAAGGAATGTTTATTGGATATGGCATCAAGAAAATAATTGAATAATGGTTTTGTTGGGTAAATTCTTCACAGATGATAGTGATAATCATGATGATTCCTCCGAGAAAAAACATGAGGATACTTTTGGCTCAGATGCTGAGAAAATGATTGAGAATGTAAAGCGTGCTATCTCAAATGGTGAAGGATGCCGAGTATGTTATTTACTCAATATGTGTATTTGTCTGCCATATTTTCAGGTTGAAACAGGCCACTGCTAATCAAGTACTTCAAATGAAACAGGTATATGGGGTTTTGGATGTGCAGAGAGTTGCTGGTAACTTTCATATTTCAATCCATGGGTTAAACATTTTTGTAGCTCAACAGGTTAGTTATTTAAAATCTTAATTAGTGATTGATGTGTTTACTGATACTTTCTAGAGAAATGCAAAATAAATGTATGCTTATCATTTATTGTATCTATATTTATCTGTTGCGGCATCATTAATTTCCATTATTTGCGGTAAGACTCTTCTGGTTAATTACTATCGAGATTTTGACTGGTGGCTTTTTCTTGTCTTTCTGCCTTGTTCCCCCCTCTTCTCTCGTTATAGATGGTTTGAAGGAGTTTTTCTACTTGTATAATTTGTTCAATCCCTTTATTGAATTTCTTGTCAGTAGTAATCTCCGCATAATCACAATACACACTTTAACATCTTTAGTTCTCCTAAACATTGCACTTTGGTCCATTTTCTTGGAGATCTTTGAACAACTTGTGTTTGATTTCATTGACATCTTGCATCTTCAAGATTTGCTCATTTTGACCTTCTTTTAAGTTTGGATGATATAAAGTGATCGGACCTCAGAGCACCCCATGGGAATCCTATGTTAAATGCTCTAGACAAAATTCTTTTTGGTTGAATTTACCAAGGTATGCAATTTCGTACTGTACCAGAGTTTCGACGTTCGCTCGGTACGGTACGAAACTGTATATCGATCGGTATACCACTCGGTATATATATATATATATACATATGTATATATGTATATATACATATGTATATATGTATATATACATATGTATGTATATATGTATACATAATTCGGCGACGTCGCCTCTCTCTTCTCCCAAGCGGGGCGACATCGCCTCGTTTCTATATATATATAAATTAATAAATATTTATTTATATATAAATATATATATTTATAAAAGGCGATGTCGCCTTTTCCTTCTCCCACGCGGGGCGACATCGTCTCGTATATATATATATATATATATATATATATTGTTCCGTCCGGTAACGGGCGGTCCGTGTACCAGTAAGCTGACGGACTGGTACGTACCGCCCATACTGGACGGTATTATTCGAAATTGCATACCTTGGAATTTACTACTTTAGATGTATTTGTTGCATAATTTTATATGTATGTATGTATTTTAATGTCAGTTTTAGAATCATATTTGAGTTTTTTGCAGCGTCATATGCAAAAAGAGGGCTCGTGTTCATGAGCCATAATTTGGTTTTTCTGTTCTTTTTTAATGCCAAATCGGATGTGGGGCCCACCACTTTTTCCCTTTTTTTATTATTTTAACTGGTCTGTCTGAAACAGGGATGGTCGATGTATCAGCCCGTGCTTGGACCAGTATGTACTGCATGTTTTGTACCATTTTGGGCAGTACAGCAGTCTTTGAATTTGTCGGATTTCAGAATTTTTAGAGAAGGAAAATTTCCCATGAGGAATCTTGATTTACTGCATACATGACATATTTGTCTTGGATTTTATTTTACTATTGCATTAGATTTATCAAAGTAGAGTAGTAAATTCTTTCTTCTCTTATCTTTCTTTCGGTCTTGGGTGGTCATATCTTTTCATTCAACCATCTTATTAGGAGGTTAAAGTCCATTTGCACCGCTTATTAAACTTTTTTTGGTGGAACCACGAAAGACTTTTGAAGCTCCAAAAGTTAAATGAGAATTTAACTGCACCACTAGTGGGATTATTAAGATTGTAGTTTACCATGAAGCTGAAGTCATTACCCAAGTAAATGCCCTTTTCATATTATGCTGATTATGAAAGTATGTTATTTATTATATCCATTGTTTTAAAAGTTTGTGACCTGTCTGGATGAAGGTCATTGTTTCTGAAGTTAATGACTTCGTCTGAAATTGTTAAAATTGTGTTCTGGGTTGTGCAATCATCTCCTCATTTTTATCTTTCACATATAGATTTTTGGAGGTGCAAAACTTGTGAATGTAAGTCATGTGATCCATGATTTGTCATTTGGACCAAGCTACCCAGGGATCCACAATCCCCTTGATGGAACTACCAGGATGCTACATGATACAAGTGGTACTTTCAAATATTATATAAAGGTAAATGCTAATCTATTATTTGGTACTCGCATGCTGGTATTTTATGGTTATAGGGGATGGCTTGATGTTAAGAATTAATTTACCATTTATTAAGTGTAATTTTTATAGGTTTTGATGCACAGACTCTTCCTTCAATTTCATGGCTCAATTGAGTTACATTTACTCTGTACAAGCATAATAGATGTTTTATTAATTATTATAAACCAGATGGAAGGATTCCCAATTTTGTGCGACTCTGACTTCTGGTCCTTTGTTTATCAACATTAGCTAGGAAGTTTTTCTTTTTTCAGAGAGACTTATGTAGTGATTTTTTACAATTTTCTTGTTCCTCTTTTCATTATAAGCTTCCAACCTATTCTTGAAATTTCTTTAGTCTTGACTTAAAATTATGTTCTTTAATTATTATGAAGCAAGCAATGTGTTACATTTAAAAATTTTGTGTGTAAACATAATGCAGATTGTTCCAACGGAATATAGATACCTTTCCAAAGAAGTATTGCCAACAAATCAGTTCTCTGTTACAGAATATTATGTTCCAATACGTGTTACTGATAGGTCATGGCCAGGTCAGTGTCCCAACTGGCGTCTTGAAATTCTTTATATTGCTTTTGGATGTTTTTTGCTGCATTTGTAAGTCTTTTACCTATGGTGCAGCTGTTTACTTTTTGTATGATCTTTCACCTATCACCGTGACAATAAAAGAAGAACGCCGCAGCTTTCTGCACTTCCTAACTCGACTTTGTGCAGTGCTTGGTGGTACATTTGCTTTAACAGGTTTTTATCTGATACCAAGTGTATGCCAGTTATTTTGCATGATTTGATGTTTTTTAACTTTTAAAGTTTCGCACAAATATCAAACAAACTGCCATGTTTACTTCCCATCTCTATAGGGCTTGTTTTACATTTATTTTTGAAATTATTATAGTTAAGCCTACAGTTACAAACATCTTTATTTCCTAAAGAGTGATTGTGAGGATCTCATATTCATGGGATTCATAATTTATAGTTGGTTAGGGTTTAAAGTCTAATAATATTCACTGAGATCTGTTTTGATGTCTAATATAATTTAAACAAGAAATGGTGGTGCTAGCTAGTTTAGCTGATAAAGATATATATTTTTTAAACAGCAAGATGCTGGAATCAAATCCTTCATTCATCACTTATCCAAAAAAACATATAACTACATCAATATCTGGCTATCGCATATCTTTATCATTTTTTAATGTCACTTCCAATAATCTTTAAGATAATAGATGTTCATTCCTATCCATAACTATATGTATTTTGAAGTGATTAATTACTTTTTAAATTTTGGTAATTTGATTTATTTTGTAAGTTCAATTTTTATTTTCAGATTCATCCTTTTCTCACAAATTTGCTTTGATGCCTCCTATCCAGATATATTTGGTGGGTTCAAACTAGTTCCTTAATTACTTCTGAGTGGTATCTTTTTTCCAACTTGCTGTACTTAGTTGAACAAGTACAGAAACACATATTACAAGAACAGACTTCAAGTGGGAGAAATGAACCAAAGGCTTAGGAAGAGAAATTTGTACTAGAAGTCTGCGTTCCTATACTAAGTCTATGGCTAATCCATTACAATTTGATTCTGTGAATGTTCTTTCCACAAGAATTGATAATGGATTGCTTGGTGATAGACTTAGTTACGAACGCAGGCTTCTGGTACATATATCTTTTCCTAAGCCTTCGGTTCATTTCACCCACTTTCCCCAAGAATTCATAATGGATTGCTTGGTGATACACTATTCGTAGATCAAGTCCATGACATATTTCAGGTTCACTTGGAGCTTTGGCAATCATCATCGTAGGTGTGTTTACAACTTTACATATACACTTTTCAAGGGGGTGCAACACTTTTCATTTTGGCCTAATCTTTAGCCTATATATGATGTTCACATGGGTGGCCCAATGTTCTGCATGAACTTGCATATGAAGAACATTATCCAAAAGTTTTACAACTATCATGGTCCTTTCTGTTCATATAAATACGAATACATCATTTAGATCTTATCTAAAAGGTATCAAATGTCTTATTTGTTCAAGCACCTGGTCATATTAGTGATCAAATGAATTCGCTTTTTACTGCATAATGATATATTTCTCTCTGAAAAAATGGTGTTGAAGTTTAAGCATAAAAATACTTGCCTGAGTATTGATTTCATGTCTAACGCTCAATGATGAAGAGGAATGACATCTTTGTACTTCATTCAACAGGAATGCTCGACAGGTGGACATACAGAATTGTCGAGGCTGTTACGAAGTCGAAGAGCAGAAGCGTATTGAGGTGATGATAAGTTCCTCTTGGTGGTTTTTGATGGGAAAGTGTCAGAGCTCATCAACGTTAATTGCCTTATCTTTGCCGCAAGTTAAGAAGAGCATATTGATTCATCGCAAAAGACAGATATTAGGCCTGATCATTGAACTAGATATACCAAGCTCCAATTTGTTTTCACTTGTCGCAAAAGACATGTATATCTAGTTCCATCTGATCAATGAACTGAATATACAAATCTCAACTTGGTTTTGTATTTTTTAGAACAGTCATCATTTTCATGCCATATCACTCTGTGCTGCTAAAGGCAGATGTTTGTTCAATTTCCATAGTGAGCTGAAATGCTGAGCAAGATAACTGGTTGCATCCACTGGAACAGATACTTCTGTTAGAAACTTTTGACACTTCCATGCAAGCCAAATTGAACATAAATCATCATTCTGTGCATATTATGCCACAGGATTCTGAAAAGCTGGAGATGTTCATCTTTAATCCTCATTTTTGACAAGTTAGGTTGGAGTTCTAACTTCTTGGGTAAATTTTCGTCTGGAAGTCCTACAAATTGGCATAGTTGAATGCAGTGGTTGGGTGTTCATTTTGGTAGGTTTTACATTGTTACAAGGCTTGATAGATCATGAATGTAATAAGTTGCTTTGGTCATCAGATCAATTTTTAGCAAATGGAGAAAAGATGCATCAAAATGAGAGTTGCCAATACTTAATAAAATTATCAGTCTCACTCGAAGTACATAACATAAATATGTCTTCCCCACTTGTAGCAGCAAATGATTTGGCTCATCATTCCAACCATTGACATTGTGATCTACCAAAATACAATATGCAGGTGATCATAATTCATACAACCTCATGTAGCTAAAATCTTCTCTGCAAAAACTACTTTTCTCTAAACGAGTTTTCTTTTGTTCTTTATTTGATGTCCTATCTGCCTAAAACCTGATTTGAATCCCTGCATGTCATATATCCAATTCACTTGGTATATCATCACTGATTGATACTGGATATGTTTTCACACCCAACCTTGGAAACAATGAGAAAAAAAAGGACTCAATTATATCTCACTGGCTAATGAGATCAATAGCAGCAAAACTACCACAAATGATCATGAGCTCTTGACTAGTATTAGACTGGATCTACATTCTAGAACACAAATCTAGACAAACTACAACTGGTGAGTGATCTCTCTTAACAAGCTCAAAATGCTCAGCATTGATATAACACCAGCCATTTTGAATTACCTAAAAGTCAAATAAAGTCCTGCACAAATCGCTCAGCTAGAGCTCATATGGATGAGAGATCCTCATAAACAGACTTAATACCTGGTCGCTCCGAGAGCGGGCGGATACATCTCAGAGCTATTCCTAGCATCTCTTTCATACCCTTGGATGCGACCGGATTGTCGACATCGGCAGCCATCGCAGGATCGACGCAATCTGACCCACGCCCTTCTGCCACCCTAAACCTGACCCAGTCCGTTAGATCGACAACTCCCTCCTCCCCTGAGATCACATCCCCTGCGCATCTGCCTGTCAACAGCTCCAGCAGAACCACTCCGAATGCATAGATGTCCGATTTGAAGGATGGGGATGGCTTCTTGGATGCTGCCAACTCCGGCGCACGGTACCCCAGCACCCCAGCATCGAGGATCTGCTCGACTGTTCCTGATTGAGTCATCAGGCGGTGAAGGCAGTAATCTGCAACACGCGCATTGAGGTCGAGACCATCAAGTAGTATGTTTGTTGCTTTAAGGTTGCCATGAGGAGTGGCTCGGTCAAAATGGAGATAGTTGAGGCCACGTGCAACGTCGACTGCAACTTTGAGCCGCTGAGCCCAGGTTAGTGGTGGGCCTTTCTTCCCAGCTCGATCTAAATGTATAAGTTCAATCAGTGAGTTGCCAAACATGAGCTTTAAAAGGCGACGAATCATAAAGTGTGGCAAAATTTTCTGCTCTAATTAACACCAGAAAAAAAAAAAAAGCTATAATGTAACTTCTTATCCAGAAATGTTGGAGAAAAAGCATCTCCATAAGAGCCAAGTTTATAAGTTGGATAAAACACAACTTGCATGTTCTCAATAGCATCATTGCTTATGTAAAGATTAATTTGGCTCTGTAACAAATCTTTTATAAGAAATTTAAACTTAATCTTTCCCCTGAACTGAAAACAGCGAAGAACAACCACTACTTCATTTATTAGACTTACAAAACCAACAACAGCGCATTTAAAAAGAGATGGAATGAGGGTTAGCAGTAATCAAGCTGGGAACATAAGCATACCATATAGAAAACTAGCAAGGCTTCCGGGTGACACGTAATCCGATAATAGGAGTTTCTCATGTTGGGTAGGGCCCCAGTAGTATCCACGCAATCCTACCACATTAGGATGCCTGATGTTTGCAAATTTCTTTGCCTCTTTAGCAAATTCTTTCTTCTGCTTTGCCACTCCTTCCCTAAGCCATTTCACCGTCAAGAATACCCCATTATCAAGTGTAGCCCTGTAAGAAGTCCCATGGCTGCTCCTTCCCAACACTTCTGCTGGTGCTCTAGATAGTTCCTCTGGTGTCAATGTAATTGTTTCATCCAAGAAATGTAAATCACCTGCCAGTCTATCAGGTGAACGAACATCCAACCTTCCAAGATTTTCTTGCGCATAAATATCACCAGAATCTGGTGACCATGAAAAGCGGCTGTTCTTGGATGGTGAACACCCACCAACTGCAGTTATTTTTTCTTCTGGACTGATCATCTCAGATGAAGAACCTTTATGGGGAGCTATAAGATCATCAGCTGAGATCACCACTGAGCCACCAGAGTCCCTGCTTTTGCTTCCAGTAGTTTCTGGCAGACTCCTAGTATAAACCTTCTTGTCCGAAAGATTTTCTGATCCAGATCTACTTGAAGCTCTCTTGTAATGCAAAATTATGGCTAAGAGGATTAGAATAACCATGACAACAACACATGCGGCAATGATTGCAGCTTTGAGAAAAGTTCTAAATGGCCTGTGACTAGGGCTTTCAGGTTGAGAATTAGCAGTTCCAGGCAGACCACTAGGGAACTCCAATCTGGAATTTCCTGGATGAAAAGAAGAATCTGGAAACTTTCTGAGGTTATCTGGGACAGTTCCAGATAGATCATTGAAGGAAGCATTGAAGTATACCAGCGTGTCAGGCAGTGTCGACGGCAAGGAACCAGTGAAATGGTTAAGGGATATATCAAGGGACGAAAGGTAAATGAGTTTTGTAACAGCAGGTGGCAATGTACCAGCAAAATTATTCGCAGAGATGTCCAGGATTTGGAGGCCAGTCAAGGATTCTAGATTTTCAGGAAAGCTACCATTAAAGCGGTTTCCAGATATATCAAGCACGCGAAGGTTGGAGTTGTTGGAAAAAGATGGTGAGAGTACGATGTCACCAAAAAGAATATTGTTCTGAAGATGAAGCTCTTGTAACGTAGAGGAGGCTAGTAGGTCATTCAGAATAGGACCACTGAGCTGGTTAGAACTGAGATCGAGGATGGTAAGCTTGGGAAACTGAACAAGAACTTCAGGGATAGTCTCCACCAGAGCATTATGGGAGAAGTTCAGATAACTAAGTAGCAGGAACTGGGAGGTTACATCTGGAATCGGCCCCATCAACAGATTCTGGCTAAGGTCAATGTACTCAAGATCATTTCCCCACTTAGCAATTAGAGACAAGTTCCCTTTAAACTGATTATCTGATAAATCAAGCACTTGACAGCTTCCTTGGACCACAGGAAGCTCACCAGATAGAGCATTAGAGGAAAGATTAAGGATCCGCAAAGTTGTCGATGTGATCATGTTAATATGCCCTAAATCATATATTAAAAACATGTCAATCTACAAATGAAAATCAAATACGAGAAACATAACATGGTTCCAGCTTCAAGGTGGAAAGATGTTAATGGAATCCGCTAATCCCAAAGAAACTAATTTGTGTTCTAGACAAAATGAGTACTTTTTTTCAGATTCTTTTAATGTGCCAATCCCAATAGGAAAAGATTTTATAGAACTTTAGATGTCAGCTTCAAAAATTAGTAATTGATTTAGACCTCAGCTTCATGATGGCATTGTTACATAGTAACTACTAGATAGTAAATTGATGGTTGTTAACTGACAAAACAAATGAATACTGTTGAGAAGTCGTTATGAAAACAAGTCAATACAAATGGATGACTAAGAGCAACTAAATGACAATAAAATTCGTCAATTTCCCTTCATTGACAAGATTCAACTTAACCTGTGAAATTTTATGAAAGTTAAATAACAATCCTTGCTGTTCAACCATTACATGTGGCGTACTCTACATCAAATTATTCTTTAACCAATTCAAGAACCATCCAGTCATTGTAATAGTCCATTGAGATGATATTAAAAGTTTTCTCGTGACTAAATAATCCTTCCTTCACTCTGACATCTGTCGGCCTTGTTCAACAAGCAAACAACAACGGCCGTTTTTTTGAAGCAACAAGTTGATGAAGATCATAAATCTTACACTAATAGACTTTTTCCCCTCGTCCTTGTTGCCATTGTGAAAACTACAAAGGCCATGATTAGAGATTTTATATAGAACTGGTGACATTAAAGTGTTGTTCATTTCCTAATTCACAACCACAAAGATCAATGCAAGCATCAATGGTAAGCATGAAAAGAAATCTCAACACAATCATCACAAAAAATAGATCTTCCATAAAATAAATCACACCTGTTAGATTGTTTGCACTCAAATCCAATTCACTTAAAACTAGAGAATCTCCTTTGAGAAGTCCACTTGGTAAGAAACCAGTGAAGCTGTTGTTCCGTAGCCTCAGAACCTCAAGATCATAGACATAATTAAACCCTGGTAGCTCTCCATATAGCTGATTGCAGCTTAAATCCAATACCTTCAAGTTTCCAAAATTAGCAATTCCAACTCCTTCAATCAGTGACCCAGTCAATCGGTTGTTACTGAGATTTAAATACAATATGGTCTCTGAGATATCTGACAAAGCCCTCAGCTCCTTTGAACTTGAAGTTAGCAAATTCCCACTGAAATCAACATAAACACTTGTGGTCTGCATAAGAAAATTCCAATCAACACTACCATCCAGCTGGTTCCAGCTTAGATCAACAGATTCTAGTGTGGAAAGCAGAGCCAGACCAGTTGGGATACTTCTGCTAAAAGCATTATAAGAGAGGTTTAAGTAAACCAAGTTCCTGAGACCTTTCAATGCCACCGGCAAAGGACCAGATAGAAGGTTTCGACTCAAATCAAGAGATTTGATTGATGCCAACCCACCAATGGAGTCAGGCAACGGCCCTATGAAGTTGTTCCCAGCCAAGGTAAGGTTTTGCAAGCTACGAAGCTTACCGATTCCTGATGGTAGCTCACCGGAGAAAGCATTGTTGGAGATATCGAGATACTCCAGGCTCTTGAAGACGGCCACATTGTCTGGCAAATTCCCTGAAAGGTTGTTATTTGTCATAGAGAGCTTCAAGAGCACTGTGAGGTTAGCAAAGACAGATAGGTCAGCATGGCCAGAAATGCCATGATTGTCAAGAACAATGCCAGCGACATTTGCACCGTTACAGACTATGCCATTCCAGGATGCAGGGCAGCCATTGAAGTCAATGGACTCCTCGTTCCAAGATCCCATGATGTAGCCCGTCGGGTCGTGGGTTATACCCTTCTTGAATGCAAGGAGAGCTAGGATATCTGGTGAAGGTAGCTGCGACGAGGAAGGGATTGCAAGCAGAAACAGCAGCAAGATTCTTTTAAGGAGCTCCATTTACTAGTACTTGTACTCGAACAACAGAAAGAAAACCAAAGAACGGCTTTTAAAACCTTTCGTCACACCATTTCACCTAAGTCTAGAGTGCCAAAGACGCAGCATTTGCTATTACAGCAGCGATCTGCCATTTCTTCACTCTTTACAGCAACCGAAATCTCCCACCAGCCAAAGAAGCGTAAAAGATTCCCACTTTCAAGTAGAAATGGGGTTCTAAGTAAGATTGGAGCACAAAAATTGCAGCTTCTCCAAAGATCCGAGTCACAAACAGCTAAAGATGACGACTTCTCGAGGGAAACAATGATTCAGCAGCAAGGAGAGGAAGGGCCTAGCTTTTCCCTCTCTGGGACAAGGAATGCGGTCAGAGTAAGAGGGCTAACAGCAACTCCACTGCCGCGAGGGGGCCAGAACCAAGAAATGCTCCCAGCTTTGAACCCGCAGCAATCTCTGGCGCGGGCCCGCAAAAGATCCCTGCTTCCCCCTTCCTCTACAAGAACAAAACTACCAATATACAGAACATAGAAGGAGGAGGAGGAGGAGGAGAAAAACCCTAGAAACGAGACCAGGCAAGAGAAGAGAGGAGGAAGAACAAATGAAAACTCTGGTCCACAAGGAGAGAGAAACCAAAACCCTAACCGTAGAATGGGGTCGCACTCCGTCCTCGCCGAGCTCTGTAGCTTTTGTCATGGAGTGCTCCGTTCTACTTGTATACACCAAGTGTGTTTTACCCGCCAAAGTGGCCCTGCGCGCCTCGCGGACCCCAAATACCACTAAAATTCACCTTATTAATTAATTAATTAATTAATTATGTTTTTACATTTAAATCCTTACAAATTTTCGAAATAACATATATTACGTTCGGTATGTATAATTATTCAAGATAACTTCGAGATAGAAATATCAAACTTCCAAAATATCACTTATACGAAGAACAAGAGATCGAGAAAGATTTTTCAACTCGATCCCTTTAATATCTACATTAATAATCTAGAATATATTATTACAAATGTGATAATCAAGAGAGATAAGCCTCTCATACCTAGGTTAGATTTTATATGTCTGTTAAACTTAATTTTTGGAGATAAATACGAAAATAACTAACTAACTATATGTATATATATATATATATATATATATATATATGTGTAATTTTATTATTAATAAATAAATGGAGGTGGATCCCGATAAAACCACACCCCATTTCTCATCAAAGATGCAGAAGAAGAGGAAACGAAGGTGGGTAGTGGGAAGTGGATGTAGAAAGCAAGGGAGTGTGTGTCGTGGGTCCATCTTTAATCAGGGGATGGGGCCACGGCAGGTGGAAGGAATTCTGACCCATTCTTTCTTGACCGCATTCTGCCGCTATGTTAGGCTTTGGTGCAGATTTGGCATGTGAATCGGAGAGAGAGTACTTCTCACTTGGAAAGCAAATATGTGAGTTCGCGTTTCCATCAGGTCTGAGCTGAGTCCGATTCTAAATCTTTGATCTGCAATGCAAAGGATTTTTACATGTTAGTATTATTATCAGGGGTTAAGAATTTGGGTCCGTCTCGTACCAATTTCCATATACTCTTACCAAATTGGTACAGTAGTACTATGTTACCAAGTGACATAATAACTTATGTTATCCAGTACTATGAATAAACAATAAAATATAAACTAAATGATATTGTTATGTATTCTGATGAGATGGTGTTTCGTTAGATGAGTAAACAAAAGTGAGGAGAGAGGAGACCGACTGAATGAATTAGACACTAACAAGAACCACAGACAAATAGCCTAATAGAACAAAAAGATTGGAACCAGGTTTAACAAGACATGTATTTTCTGATACCCTATCAAGATTAGATCCAAGCTAGCTAGGTCAGAGAAGGATGTGAGCTAACCCAAAGCCAGTTGATGTGTGAGATGGCATGGTTTCTTGGTTTTGCAGATTCCTCCCTGTTCCAAAAGTTTCTCATGGGTTGGTGTGAAGCCCAGCTTTTATGTATTAAAACTATTGCACTTTTCATATTTGGCTGAGAGTGACTTTGGATTCTCAGAAGCAAGCCTTTAAAAAGAGTTGGGAGGCTACTGGAGCTCCCCATCCAAGCTGTAGAAGTTAGTGCATCTGAAGAGTATCTAGCAGCAGCAAGCTATTATTATGAGGTAGCAGAGTATGACAGATTTGTAGAAAAACTCACCCATGTGCTGAGTTGAGATGTGGCTTTGAGAAGGGGGAGTCAGATGGCGTTCAATTGTTGCTCTGCCCTTTCTCTCTCTCACTCTCAGGAGTGGGGCCAAGTCATGCAGCAGCACTTTGAAGTCTTGACAGGCTCGTGCACTGGATCGTGATGCAACATGAGCTGCTGGGACCCGAACCATGTTTGTTCTGGTACTCACAGAAAAGCTACCTAGCAGCCAGTCACAACACAAGAAAACAGGACAAGGGAAAGGACATGAGCTACTGTGATAAATTACCTGAATGCAATACCAACAGGAAATGTAGGACCCAAACCTGTCAATTTATCTCTTAGTCCTTTAAGGCTTCTCAACCCAATTTCCTCAACAAAGTAAAAAAAGAAACATAATGCAATCAAAATATTGTTTGCCAACAGCTACAGCAACATATAGTTGGAAATGATTCCACAGTTTTGATCATCCCTTCATCCATATCCCTAACATGGTTGGAAAATGCTTGATGAGAAATTCAAATGTTAAGTATGCAACCTTGTATCATCTTTTTCACCATCCAATTCAAGGATATGAATGAGTTCATGAATAAATAAATTAAGTACAACCAATGTTATAACTATCATGAGCATATCATGCATGCTACACCAAAATAGGAGATAATATTGGCTGTATTGATATTCTATTGATAGTTGATCATCGATATACTACTTGCAAACTGCCAAATCTAAACGACAACGTTACCAGGGAAATCGCAAATACTAGTTTCTAATAGTGAAGTGGTTCATGGATTCACATGAGAAGAGAAATAAGTCACACATCCAGTTAAGAAATCAAATATTCTCCAGCACATGAGTTGCCATCCACCATCAAAGGACTACCACGAGCAACAAATCTTACATTAAATTCAGGCACTTCCCATCATTAAAATGGCTATGCCAACAACTCTGGGAGTAGCCATGACTAATACTTCTTTATCAAGAATAATTGACTGGAGGAAAAACAGTCTACCATTTTGCAATTCAAACTTTGCGTAAGATTTGCTACTGACATGTGAACAACATCATGCATATGCAGTTTAGCAGATGTTTATATTTTCTAACTGACAGGATCTTCTACATGCATACCATAGCATAGCTGAATCTTACCAAATACAGCTTATCAAAATGAACATAACTTTAATATTTAAGCCCCACAGGACAAAACCCTTCTACCATATCAAGTCATAAAATAACAAAGTAAATTTTTTTTCTGAAGAGCAGTTGAATGTTCTTTGTTGCATCTTACAGCAGATAGGTTTCCAGTTCTCAATCATATAGATCAATGTTTCATAGCATGAACAAGAGATGACCAACAGCCTCAGATGCAGTACTAGTTACACCAATGTGAAGAGATAACTCAAAGTACGAGCTTAAGTGCAGTATTGCAGCATTGCTGCTTGAGAGTTTTTAAGTTTCAGAATTTGTATCACAGATGAAGTAACCCCCGCATTCCCATGTAGAAAGTTGGTGTCCCAAAACCTTAAAAACCTATACGATATGAAAATCTATATAAAGTTTCAACTAAAGAGAAAATAATAACTGACTCAAAAAGCAAATCTTAAAAATTATTAATCTTCCTCTTCATGTAGCTGTTAACAACTTCAGATAAATCTGAAGTTCCTTAATCAAGTAAAATGTTATAAATGTCACTTTCTGCTGATAACTTCTCATACTTTCCAGAATAAGTACTTGCTTTTACTTCTTTGCATAACACCAGACAAAACAAAACTCATAAAAGCAGTCAGAAGGACCACTTTTCACAAAAAAAGGCATTACCTGAGGAAACAAAAACACCCTTTGCTACAGTCAGAGAGGAGAGGCTAAATACAATACTGTTGTCATGCAAGTAGGAACATATTTCCACCGTGAATTCAACTATTGCTTTCAAGTTCTTGCTCATAGAAACTAGAGAGTTATGAGGATAATCTGCAATTTCGTTGATGTATATGGCTTTTTTGTTGCAAACAAATTACGATACACAGGGATGGTTGGAAGAAGCTCCACGGGTAAAGGGTTTGGTAAGCAACTAGTCTGCCCAAAAAATGCAAGACAAGTTTAGTCTAGGAAGGCTGGCATTGTGTATGATGCAATCCTCATCAACAAAAAAGAAAGTTGGTTATTAGTTAGTGCATGTAAATGTTTGTAGAAGCCAGAAAATTTGTCCAGTCCTACATTGAAGAAACACATAATCAAAGTTTTATTTTGGGTAATTAACTGTGCATTCAAACTTTGCTAGATGGTACATTAGAAATTACTTTTCTGAAACCACTATGTTCCTAGGTAGATAGAGAGTTTAATAAGATAAGGATGTTAACAACATAAAACACCAAAATGCTGGCTCTTGTAAGATCTCAAGTCATCAGAATCATTTAATTAGTGGCATTCTCCAACATGAATTACAAGGGGTCGCAATGCCAATCTGAATCTGTCAGGTCAACCTAATCTGAATTGGACCAACCCATTTAAATCACCCCAGTGGTTTGACAGGTTGTGTCAGGGTTGGTTTGGTTTCATCTCACCCATACTCTCCTTCATGATTGAGAAGCAACTTGACCTAACTCATCCAGACCATTTTCTACAAGAACATACATGTAAAAGTCACCTCGAGATGTCAATCCAATTTGATGCAACCAAGTCAGATAGAACCAACCAGCGCAAAGTACTTTGTTGCTTAAGAGGGCAATGAAGTAAAACCTATTATTTGAAAGTGACCTGTGATGAATCTTTTTAAGAATTGGAAACCAGCAGAAAAAAAGCAAGGAGAGCATGTTACTTCTTTTTAAAAATATCTATGGACAAAGTTTCTATTCAAAGACCACACTAACAAGCTGAAGGATATCAGGTTGTGTCATGTATAGCATCATGCAACATCAACTGCCAGGATCATACTATGCAGAATTACCCTTATACTGAACAATTATTAAATGCTCGAAGTGATTGTCTTTCAGATAGTGTGTTTCTTACTAAAGACTAATTTATTAGCCTCCATATGCTTTCCAATAATTATGAACAATGCACATCTTGGTTTAGTCCCATATCGAAGGTGGATAAAAATTTAGATCGACTTACAAGAGTCCAAAGGGTGCACTACTCTTAACTCGGGCTTAAAATATTCTAGATTAGTGGTTCATATGCTATTGGTTTGGGTCATGAGACCTCACATGCACCATATTAGAGTTGATATAAGCTATGTTTGGGCCAGGACATAAAGCCCATAAGTGGGAAAGATTTAGCACAAATGTTCTAGAATTACAAAAGACGACACAATTAATATAGCTAAAGACTCAGCCAAAACAATTACCTGAAAACATCTATGAACTGAACTCTTAGATGAATCATAATCGAGAAAGATATTAAAAGAGAAGTTGTCTACCTCAGCAACAATTCATGTCATTGATCCGAGAACCTTCTCATCTAAGAGCTCAGTCATCTGATGCACATCATATGGTACCAGGAAAAACATGTTCATATTTAACAGGATTTAGTTTTAAACAAGAGATCACATCAAACATACATCAAAGAGTCCAGCAACTAATCCTAAATTATGGGCAAATTGGCAAAGTGTACTTACAATTGTGACAACTGAAATTCCATCTTTAGGCAGCAGTTGAATGAACAAGCTCAGAGCCCTTCCTTTCTCCACATGACACACATAAAAAAGATCTTCTCCGTGAGGTTTCACATAACTTGCTCTGTTGGGGCTCACAGACTGGAACATTTTGTTCTCATCGACAATGATATTTGAGTACCAATTTTCATTCAATTCAGTAATGAGCTTTCCACCAGTAGCCATCTGCAAAGACATCAAAGGTTTGTAGCTTATCATAATCAGAGTTCCACGATCACTGTAGCAATACCCAAGAGCATCAAACAATTTGGAAAAAGAACCTTTATTTGGCAAGTGGTAACATCATATTTAAACTGATCCTTCCAAGCATGATTCTCCCACTGCATGTTAGTGGTTAAAATGTAAAAAAAATGTCCCTTAAGGGACCAAAATACAGTAAATGCTCATATAGCTGACATACCTGCGAGGGGAGGATGATGTCCAGAAGATTCTGTCTTCTGTCTCAGAGCATTGTAGGTCCTCACAAGTGCCATCAGCTTTTGCAAGTATACCAAGCCGATATATATTTGTGATAATGCCTAAAATTCAAAAAATAAGTGCATACATGAGTACAGGCTAGATATAACAGAAGATAATACTCAACTCATCAACTGTGTAACTCATTTTGAACAGGAAAAACAAGCATGCTAGATTCACGATATGTTCAATATGAGAGAGGTCAACTTCCAATCAGTGGGGAAAACGTATCATTGCCAAACCTTTAAGAAGCAGTTGGAACTTTAAACATTTTGGATACAAGTATCTGATCATCGAAACTGACTCAAAACAAAAACAACCTAAGTACAAAAAAACAAATATATCTTCTCTCTTCCACACAAGACTATTTTATGGATATAATAATTAGTGGTATTCCAAAGAATCCTTTATCAGTTTTAACAATTAAATGTGGAGAAGAAGAGTTCTATGAAGAAGTTCATCAAGAAATAAGAGAATGGATGACAAAAAGCAGCGAAGTAGTTGTCTGCAATATTTAACACATCACATTCAGACAGTTAATAAATCAAAGCTGCTCCAAACTTTGGAACAAGAAATCAAAATATACAAGTTATGTCCCGAAAAGTTAAGGAACATTGGAAATATTAAATAACCACTTCACCACCTTAACAAAGCATATCTTGCAGCAATTAACAAAGTAGAATTCTACTTCCCTATAAACAAAATAATACCTGCATTTTTTTAGTTAGCATTCCTATTTTCGTGACAACTCCATAAATCAACTTCAATTATTTTAACCTGCAGGCATACATCAGTTAGAAACCTTCTAGACTAGGTAAAAAGGGAAAGAGGCAGCAAAAAATTATTGGGCAAATTTATGCATATATAGAGTTTCTGGTTAATTGCACATTAGAGCTAGGAAGTCATCTATAAGCAATCACTTACATCATGCTGGCAGGGAGAAAAAACTTAAACAAGTGCAGTAGTTGATAAAAGCAACCAGTTTCCCACTTCTTGAGATTCTTTGATTATAAGTTTCAATTTTCTCATGCTATTCATGTGAACTTTGCTATATCCAGTTATATTACTAAAGCCATGTAAAATTAGAATATGAAGAAGCAACAAGCTTGCAAGGACTACTTCAAGATAAACATAACAAAGACCCATTGAACTAAGGATATCAAGCAATAATATGGAAAGAAGATGAGTTTCGGTGCAAAGATCTAGTATTTCGCTATTAATCACAGATGCAAGTCATCCCAAAAGACAGGAATAACATTGAGTTTAGGTGCAAAGATCTGGTGTTTAGATTTCCCATCACAGATTAAATCATGCTACAATACATACAAATAATGCCGACAAAATTCAAAGTTAATATGTAAACTGGGGGAAGAAAGTTTAAAAGCACAAAAAAATTTCTAGACGAATAAATCCTTTAACATGAAAAAGTGAAAAAGCTGGTGAAAGGAACACTAACTATTAGAGGCGATTGACGACTTTTAGACCCCTCGAAGCTCATGATCTGCTTCAGAGTGGCCGTCTCACCTTCAACCTGTTTGGCTGACAACATACTTATCTAAGTCTCCAATGCTTAACTACGCCAACTATGATCAATGTAAAAGCAAATCCGGATCTAACTTTGACACCACCGCCCGAAAGGAATGTCAGATCCGAAGGTAGGGCACCCCTACCACCGTGGAAAGAAGGGGAGGCAAGCAGAAACTTAGTAGAGAACTGAGAGCATTGTCCTCCCCTTTGACTTAAAGCACGGTATTCTTCTCCTGGAGCCATGGTTGGATTATTGAAGCCAGCCCTAACCGGACCAGCAGTTCCCCAGATCACCAACAAAATTCTCTAGAGTCCGCCACAAGCAATCAACACCTCAATAGCTCAATAACTTCTCGATCCTGAAAATACGATGCAAAAGAAGGGGAGGAAAGAAATGAGAACAGAAACACGAACTGCAACACAAATCACCATCAGTACATGGGGGGAAAGCCCAGGTAGAATTAAACAGCAACGATTGGATGGACCAAATCCGCGAATGCAGCTACCGATCGCGAGCAGAAAGGAAATCAATGAATCGCCCAAGAAAAACGGATAAGAGAGCAGAGGAGCGAGGGACGTCGTCACCGCTAGGGTTTCTTCGGCGCAAGGTGAGGCAGGGGAAGGGAGAGACGCGGAGACCGGGAACGAATCAGGCGGAGGAGGTTTAAGTAGCTGTTGGTCGTTGATGGTCATGAAAGCTAAGAGGAATACTCTTTCGCCACGTACTCGGCTTGTAAACCTCTCTCTCAGCGGCGGTCCCACCAGTGGATCCCACGAGAACCAATCTATTTCCTAAATACGCAGTGGGAATCGGAATATACACAAGGGCGGATACGGCAATGGTACGACCCAAGAATGGTACCACTAAAACGCACCATGATGTTCATTCTCCACGCGTTTACTTGGTGGGGCACACTAGATTAGAGGAGGTGCGTTTTTGGTGCCGAACACGAACTCATCAAGTTGTAGATCGATCGTTTACGGTTATCAAATCAGACGTGAATCCTAAAGCGTGATTCTGTGGTTGCTGATGTATGATTGTTTAGCGGAGTAATTTAATGAGTTTATTATCTTATCCGATAAACTTAATAGGTCATAAAAATTTAATACACTAACAGATCCTCGAATTTGGCAAGTAGAATTAAACCGAAATATACGCTGAAAGTTCATGTGTGTAAAAAAACATGGTAGGAAGATTTTAGATGCTCAAACAAATAATTTATTTTTAACATATATAAGATTTTACTTAGGTATATTGATTCATAATAAATTATTAATATAATGATATATATAATTTAAATTTTTTTAAAAAAAATTAATATTATGTGGATTTAAAAACATGGATCACTCCGACCTTTTTACACAATCATTTTCACAGTTATTTATCTTTTACATCGTTTTTCAAAAGTTTTAAGTAAGTCGATTTTAAAATTTATTAATTCAGATTTTACGAGAGAAACTTACAAAGGAGAAAATCAAATATATAATATATTTATGAATAAGGTTGACTCAAGAAATTACCAGACTACAAATGGCATCACTGATTGAGACAATTGGCTTTCTTTTGTCTATTCCTGCTTGTTTGCTTTATGTTTGTCATTTTGGACGTCTCCGCTTATGACCTCAACAAATGGCACCAACACACTGGACAATCCTCAACAGATCAAAATGGAAGTATTTGGAGAATTCTTTTTTTTTTTTTTGATGATACATATGGATTCATTACAAATGCATTTTAAGCTTTGGTGATTAAGGAAATAATTAATATTTTTAGGTTACATCACATGATGCATACAAACAAATAAGACAAAATCTAGCTAAACCAGAGAGTTAACAATCCAACTAAACAAGCATGAATGACACAGAATACTCTTCCTATCTACGTGATTGTAAGCAAAGTGAAAGGCCGGCAGATTTCCTTATGTTTCACGTCTCCATCAAGAAACATCTTGCAGGTCTTCCAACCTCACTATGCCATGTGGCGATCCCACCCTTCTTCTCGGTAGATCTCCATCTCCATGTGTTCTGTATCTTATTTGACAATGTGCTTGTAATAATCATGGTCAAGAAGTCTCATGCAAATTGCTCCCCTAATTCACGTACCTTTTGCATGGAATGAGCAGTTTAATCCTTGTTCTTCATTTGATTTAATTTCAGAGCTTGAATCAGAGCGTCAATCTTATCCTCACAATTAAGTCGATTCCATTCCTGGCGGCGGTGGAGGTGCTGACTCTTCCCAGCGATTTGTCTTTTTGCTCCGAAACTCCTACTCTTTGGCACTTTTGCCGACCACAAACAACGAGCTCCATATAAGAAGAACCAACGCTTTCTCCTCTGGCTTAATTGGTTGAGTAGGAGGAGGAGAGTGAGTTGAAGAGAGCGGGAGGTCAAAGGCTGCATCTTGCGGCAGGGACAGAAGCTGCGGAGGGTGACGATGAAGAGATACAGGAACGGCGAGGTGTGGGACTTTGAAATGGAGACGCCGGTGAGCAGGGATAGGGCCGACGTCATCCTCGGCCTCGACGGCGGCGCCGCCGCCACAGTCTGCGTGTGTATATCCGCTGCCTTGCCCTCCTTCGCCGGCCGCCTCCCTAACCCGTTCCCTGTCCTCGCCCGCGCCGTCGCCGGCTTCTCCAACCACAACTCCGTCGGAGGTACCTCTCTCTCTTTCTCGTGCTAAGGAGTTGTCAAAGATTCCGCCTTTATTGTATTTATGAGCTTCACAACGGTTCCTTATGGCATTATCGTCTATATTCACCTTTAATCTGGTGAAAGATCAACTTTTCTTTCTTCGATTTCTTCTACTCTTTTGCAGAAACCAGTAGAAAGGTGCCTCCTTTACTGCATTTTGGTAATCGAATCGATTAATCTTCATATGGTTATAAGGAATCAGTTTTGCTTGCTCCCTAATAGAATTTTGTTCTTGTTTTTTGGCAAATGTAATTTTCTTTGACAAGGGGACAACATATAAAATTTGTTCTATTCTTCAAGTCTTTGATGTTCTGATGAACAAAACAGAGGATATATTCGTTATTTAAAGTAATATTTTTTCTTGAAAAAAGAAAAAAAGCATATTCTCTTGCTTACTGTCCTGATAACTGAAAGTTCTTTAAGAAATGCTAAGATGCTTCATGCTCAATTGTTTCATCTTTTTTACTATGAATTTTGATAGTCAATATGATCAACGCTAATTTCGATTTAGCTCTTTAGTAAAGAAGATCAACTTGAGTAGGCTGTTAATAGGAGATGTAGATGCAACAAACCTAGTTAAACGTTATTTCCATGGATTAGTGTGTCTATTCACATCGTAAGAGTATGTGAGAACATTCAAATGAAACAAAAGAGCTGCAATTTTAAAGGTGATGTTAGAAAGAAGGGATTGGCCACAATGATTTATGTCACATATATTTTTCTCCCACTGACTAATTATCCATGGTTTTTGACCTATTAAATATACCTAGAAACTTTAAATCTATTCAAGTTCAAGTAAAATCCTTGTCATCTTTGATAACTGAATAAAATGACTTATATTTGCTTGATCAGACAATCTGAATATGCAATCTTACGGTTTTCTACAATGTGTGGGAAAGGGTTGATTTCTCTTTGTTGTTCCATGATAACTTCTTACTTTTGGTATTTACCTTCTTTTTTGCTATCATTTAGAAAGTGCAGCGAAGGAAACAATAGAGAAGGTCATGGCTGAAGCCCTTCTGAAGGCCGGTTCTAATCGTTCTGCTGTTCGTGCTGTTTGCTTAGCCTTAGCTGGTGTCAATCATCCTAGCGATCAAGAAAGAATACTTGATTGGCTCAGGTTTGTCAATCTCATTTATTGTGAAATTTTCTTTCTGTCTAATGTACTGTTTCTTTATTCTAATTAATATACATCATGGCCTGATTAGTGGATTTAGTTCTAAAGCTTTACATTAGTTATATGAGGAACTTGTATTCAGTTTCATTATTTTCGACATGCTGATAGTATTTTGCATGGAGTTGGAGTGAAAATGTGCTAACCTGCTGTTCGCATCAAACATAAATTTTAGATTGTGATTGAATTTTATGCCATAAAAATTACAGAGGTGTTTGTCATGTTTGTCAAGTTCATGAAGTTTACCGAGGACACTTGAGTCATATATCTCCTTTCCTTCATGGCAGCTCTTAGTGGTGCTTAATTACTCAGGAACTGGAATAAGGAATCGTTTAGTCAATCTGGACTGATCTAATAATCAGATTTACTATCATTCTGAAATTTTGTTGATTTTCTCTTCTCATACTATCTATGTGAGTGTAACTTCCGTAACATTGGTTACTGGCAACATGGTCAATATCAAACCATAAGGCCAAAAAATTGCTCAAAATAGGATCATTAAATCGGACGATTCCACAAACTAAGTTCTGTATCCATGCAGTGCTGACCCACATCTTGCCTTGCTCATTAGATCTAATAATTGAAAGTTGAAATTGATCATCTAGACTCCCCTGGCTTAGAGTACCTTCTGTGCCTGATGAATATGTCTGCAATAACCACATTCTGATGCATCCATGATATTGTTTGGACATCAGATTATTTTCTTGTCTAGTCCTCAAGATGGTACTCTACTTGTGCTAATGTTTCTCTAAGAGATAATCAGAGGATTTACACTACTGATCTTTAAAACACTGATATCATGATAGAAGAAGACAAATGAACAGAATGCAAGAATGAGGTGAATTGGCTGAGTTCTGAAATTGTGAATGGATTAAAAAGAACCAATTTTCTATATCATATGACGAAACTTAATTTGGCTAATGTTTGTGTGCTGACTGTTTGCCATTATTAGCACGGAGAACCTCATATGAAAAATATTTGTTTTCTGCTTCTGCTTCTTTATTTTCTTTCTTCATGAATATTTAATGAAGGCATAGTTTTTGGCTTGTTGGATACTTTATCACATTGATATCTGATGATTATTCTGATTTCTTAATCAAAGCTTTTCTACTTTGAAATAATTAATAGCTGAAATAAAATCAAGCTTTTACAATCTCAAGTCTCAACATCTTGTTGTTCGGTAGATAGTTTGCCATTACCTTCTCTACTTTGTAATGCTTTTAGAATTAGCTGAAGTGGTAACGATATGCTGATCTTTTAATTTCCTTCTTTTAGAAACATATTCCCAGTCCGTGTCAAGTTATTTGTAGAAAATGATGCTGTTGCGGCTTTGGCAAGTGGAACCATGGGCAAGCTCCATGGCTGTGTATTGATTGCCGGTACAGGTACAATTGCTTACGGGTTCACAGAAGATGGAAGAGAAGCTCGAGCAGCTGGAGCAGGACCCATCTTGGGTGACTGGGGAAGGTTAGTCTTTGCTCATATAGTTCGTTGATTCACTGGATGATGGTATAGCCTCATGATTTGTATGTGAGGATCTCATGGAAACTTACTGAAGCCTGTGATCTACTAGATAGACAGGAAGTTCTTTGTGTGATCACCTAATACTCACCAGAAACATCATATGACCATGTCAGAGGCAACAGTTTCATTTAACATTCAAATACAACAATAACAACACCAAAATCATGATGTCCCAATTATTCGAGGTTGGCTACATGATCTTTACCTCGTTTTTTTTTTTTGTCAAATTAAATGTCTTTAACATAATTATGGAGTGAAAAGAACCTTTTGCCTTGCAGTTACTTCTGCATGAAAGTCAGTTATTTCTTGTTGATCAAGATAATTCTATCTTACCTAATTGATACTTACAAATGCCATTTTTTTTCCCCCTTCAAATTCACAGGTGACTAGTGAACAACAAGGGTTCCTTCATATATTGTGGATTCTAGCTACTAATTACAAAAACAGGAGATTGTCACAATAAGCAGGCCATTGAGGCTGTTCTTTCTGTTTTACCAACTGGTAGCTGGTGCACAGAGCTATTATTAGCTAACAAATATTTGGAAGGGAATTTAGAGATGATTTTTCAAGCTTTATATAAATCGGATTCTTTAATTGTGCAATGGCTAGTTTGCAACTGTAAGAACTTTCATTTGTTTTGTCAGCGTATCATACGGATAGTTACGCTTATGTATACAGATGATTTCATTTTTGTGCATGAAAATAGTCTTGATTATTTTGGCAAGCGATTTTAATCAATAAAAAGTTGTTTTTATATCTTTCTTACTGTCATGTTTTTGTTAGGAAGAAAATATAGTTATGTTTGGCTGTTTGCGTTGCACAGTGGATACGGGATTGCCGCTAAAGCATTGACAGCAATAATGAGAGCTCATGACGGACGTGGCCCTCCAACATTCCTTACTTATGGGATCCTCAGCATGCTTGGCCTTTCTTCACCAGATGAACTTATCGGGTATTTCTACGCACTTGCAGTTCTTCTTGGCCTGCTTCTGCCTAAAGATTTGACTAAAAACATGCTGGAGTTCCATAGAATTTGACTAAAGATTTGTGACCTTTTAGATCATTTTGTCTCATGTTGAGAACTAAAAGTTGCCGGTTTAATTACTGCACAAGCCTCAGAAACAATAGTCGCATGAATGGGACAACCAAAAAAGGGGACTAAGTAAAGAAACAGTTTTCTGGATCGATTAGATTATTCTTTTAGATCATGTTTGCCAGTTATCTTAATCGTGTAGAAGAATTTACTTCTTAGGAGTGCCACTTCCATGAAACCTGATCTCAATGAATTAGCATTGACAGTGTTTTGTCGACTTGCTAAAACAGGTGGACTTATGCGGATCCATCTTGGGCGCGTATCGCAAAACTGTCCCCGGCAGTAGTATCTTCTGCTGAAGCTGGCGACGAAGTTGCAAACAGAATTCTACATGATACAGTCTTAGAGTTGACTGCCAGTGTCAAAGCTGTTGTTCAGAGGCTTGACTTGTGTGGTGAAGGTACAATGACTAGATTAACTTCTAACATCGCAATAACTCATTGGTGTGCCTTGAGGTAGGAGTAAGAAGACTCCTGCTTCACTGAGCTGGTGCTCTAAGGTAGATTGAAGGTGCTCTGTGAACTGGATGCAGATGGAAAAGATTCATTTCCACTTGTTATGGTCGGAGGAGTTCTTGAGGCAAACAAGAGTTGGGATATCGGGAAAGCAGTCGTAGATTGCATCACAAAGATATATCCAGGAGCACATCCAGTTCGTCCCACGGTTGGTGATTTATCTGCAAATTTTCTTTACGGTCAAAATTAACTAGCAGCGATCTAACTTCATGCCGTTCGATGGAGATATCAAACAAATAGGACTTCAACTTCAGTTCCTGATTGATCTTATATTGATGATATGGATCTCTCAATGCTCGAATCTAATCTGCAGGTAGAACCAGCCGTTGGAGCAGCACTATTGGCTTGGAACCATGTAATAAGTAATCTAGTCAGTGATTATGGCAGGTGATTGTTCAAACATGGTGTAGAATTCCTAAGATTTGATTACCACATGTAAGAAGGTCAAACACGAAATACGAACTGCAGTGCAGCTTTCGCTCACCCATCAGTTTCTTCTTTAGAAATGTAGAGAGTCGAATGAAGAGAGAATTGTTCTTAACAGCTGAGTGTGTCTTTATGCAGCAGCTGCAGTAATGGCAAACAAGAGGAGACAAGCTCCCTCTTTTCTTGAACTCTCGATCAAGAAAATACGAATTCATCACCAATTATGAATCGAATCGACTCGGATTCCTCCATCCACCCTGCTGCCGGTCAAATATTTGACACTGTAGTCGGACCCTAGATTTGCTACTCTTGAAGTCCTGGCCTTCCCTGCCCCCGTTAGGCCACCGGGATCCCCGCCAGCCCCTGCCAGGTGCTCGTCCTCCCGCCGCCCATCACCGATCCGAGGAGCCATCGATCTGCGGCTGAAAGATCCGCCGCAGCCCACCGAGATCTTGGTGCTGTAACTATACATAAGCCATAAAGCGCTCCCATTGAGAGCAGAGCTAAGCGCTGCTCCGCGGCGCGCCTTTGACGACGACGGGAGGACGTGGCTCTCGATGTTGCTACGCCGCGTTCTTTGGTCGTAACAGAAGTCGTGGCGGGAAGCACTTACCTTTGACCAATGACCACCGCATAGCATGCATGCATGATGGTCGCGACATGATGGGCGGGCATGGTGACACCGTAATTAAATGACAAGGTAAAGGGTCGTTGTAGTGATTAGGGGAGGCGTGATACGCGTGCCTGCCGCGCTGCTGCCGTCTCGATGACGGAGGACGGGGGAGAAGGTGTGGCTTTTGAGGGGGACAAGCACGAGGTCTTATGCGGTGGCGAAACGTGTACGGTCGACGAGCGCGCTGCGAAGGGTCCCACTCAAATGACAGGCCGAGATCCGTCGTGAGATTCCCGACCGGGCCGAGTTGGTAAGATTTTGCCGTCTGCGGAAAGGGAAGAATTAATTTCTTTTCCTTTTTATCCTCGCCCCGTGTGATCCGTACCATCTCAGCCGTCCGCAAAATCAACGGGACGTCGCTAACCGTCTGATTTCGCCGCCGGCGGCTCGTGAGGATCTCTCACACCCGTCTCACCCCACAAACCACGGACCGAAACGCCTTTCGCGTCACCATTCGTCTACCCGCCTCGTGACTGGTCGGAGAGATCACCCAACACGTGGGTCCCACATTTCGTGAGGTGGAAGACGTACGAGTACGGCTCGGATGGCTTTTAGTGCTCGCTGCGGAGCGATGGCGACGAGGGCTCGACGACAACAAAGGCCACCACCGGCGCTGCTCGTCACATCACATCATGTCACATCACATCACATCCCATCGCATCGAAGCCGTCAACGGCCGCTGATGCGACGCCGGTCCTCGCGATGTGACAGCAGGCGAAAAGACCGGCACTCGTGATGGGGTTTTCTGCTGCAGCATCGCGTGCATGGGGCGGGGGAGGCAACCTGCAGGTGACAGCGGTCTTATCGTCATCTGCAAGCGTAAACCCTTTGCAGGTTCAAAGGGCAGCTTCGATTCAATGTGCTCGTAAATGGTTCCCAAACCCTCCCCCGGCAGATCCAAGAGCAGATTTTGCTCATTTACTGTAACCTGTAGATCTACATGAAGAATGATGAATGCGATTGTTGTTTGATTCTGTAGACACAGCAGCTCTCAGGAGACAAAATGATAAAGAACCTGCTGCATCTTGAAAGGACACATTTAACAGTACAAAATGAACGTGAAATCCTGGCATGAATCATCAGCCTCATCCATCGAAGGAGACCGATCTCTCGGTTCGGTGCTCGCTCGGTGATACGTCAATTTGCATTCAACTGCTCCAAGCACAGTTATTAAAGCGAAAGGAAAAGAAAACACCATTCAAATGATTTCACCAGGTCGGATGAATCTAGCTAGAAAAAGAAACAAGAAATATAAAGCATAATAAGCAGAATTCATGGATTAAGACATGTTTCTTGGTAGTTCTTTAGAAACTGTAACTTAAGCAAAAGGGATGAGTTCTAAAGTTGCATCCACCCCTAGCTAAGTGGATCACAGAAGGGCTAGAATTGCTCAGGGCATTCAAACAAAAGACCAGTTCAGAAACATGAAAGCAAGACAATGGGGTGAATCATCGTCATTCAGGACCTTCCATGCCACGGCTTGTTCATACGACACCGGCCTCCCCATGCTCGACAGGCAGATACCAGCAGGAAGATAAGAAAAGCCCTGCAGGTTGACGATAGATGCACAGGTTTCAGTATGTATAGAAACATGCGTAGCAACGAGCAAAACAATAGCTGCACTTGTTTACTAATTACCTGCTGCATGATCTTGGGGAATTCCAAGCAAAGAAGCTTCCGACCACCATCATCAAGAGTCTTCTCCAGCGTCATGTCTTGAAGAGCGATCAGCGTAGTTTCCAGCATATCAAGACCAGCTTGATTGGAGAAGGTAAAAACAGGAGAACCCTGCAAAAGAATGAACATTCCTGTCATAGACGTATTCTTATGTCTCGAGTATGGTCACATAAATACAGAACATATATTATAGTCAGGTGTTCTGAAAGCATGTAACAAAGACACATATATACGAAATCTTGCCTTCAAAGAACAACACACAATTGCATCCGAATGATGCCACAACAGTTTCAGCAATGAATCACTAGTTTGTGAGCCCTCGCGGAGGATCTCTAGTCCAGTATGAGCCCTAAAGCACCAAAGATGATTCATTAGCAGATAACACACATCAGAAATCTACAGGTAAGTAAGATTGTCATGATGTTCAATAACTACTAATTCAACATATACATTATATCGCTTTTGCACAAATAATTATAACAATTTTCAAGAGGAATAAGTTGAATATATAAGATAAGAAAGCAGGATAATATGTAACCATGAAGTCCAACTTCTGCATTTGTGATAAAAAAAAAGTTGGAGTGCAAGTAGACGTAAAGTCCAACTCACAATTTCTCAATGGATCATAGGCAGGAAGGTAACAAAATGCAGAAGTACATGCAAGTATTGATGAGGTTACCTGTAGCTCTGAGAAATCCAACGTGCCAGCGTGTCAGCTTCAGGAAAACCTTGCGGTAAATGCTCGACTCCAATCTGACCGCTGGGTCGAGGTGCAATTGCCATAGCAACTCTCTGCACTGAGGCAACCACGCTTCTAACATATTGCCGGGCCATTGCTGCAACATTATCTTGGAGATGATTCTCGTATGTGAACTGGAAGGCTATCGTGAGGACCGACCGCAGGTTGTATGAACTTGAAGCTGTCTCATTAACAGAGCGTGATGCAGCACCAGATCCAATCTCTAACGTGGATGCCAAATCGAGGGTTCGTGAAGCAACAGGAGAATCCTGCAGCATTGGCAGACAAGCTGTACGTAAGAATCAGAGGTGTGGTGGAAACTTTAATTACATGATAAATGCGCAAATCGTATCTAGCTAAAAAGAACAGCCATAAAAGCAAAACAAGAACCAATCACCATAATTTTTTAAAGACACTATACTGTTAAGGCACACAACTGTTTTAGGTTCCAGTGGTATAACACGGAAGCCTGAGGGTAGCAAAGGAACATCATCAGCAAAGGATTCATCGATGGGTGCAAAAACAAGCTGAGCACAAGCACCAACAGCATCCTCATCAACTCCGCTGCAAAGCTGCCATGGCATGGAAAGCATTAATCATTCAGCCAAAACACTAAAGCCAGATAATGAGGAATAACTTACACAAGACAAACCTGTAACAAGTACACATCCCTCGACAAAATGACATCATCTTGGTTAAAAACATGACCCTCGAGTTTGATCACCTCCAAGAACTATATTCAAGGACATTAGTGCAATACATGAGTAAAAGAAAACATCAATGAATAATCCAAGATACTGCTTCTTAGCATTAAAAAATAAACTACCTCTTCAAGCTCCAGAGTATGCGCGAGAGGAAGGATCACCTGACTCCCCGATAACCCACTGCTAGTCCTAACACCAGGGACTGCATATGGGCTAGTTCTCAATGATGCGGCAGAATAAGCATCAACACCACAATCAGCCCATTCTGATCGATGCTCCCTTAAAAACCGAACCAATATAGCAGGCGGCACATTCTACATGAAAAAATAGTGTTTGAGGACTAAGATTAGAACTGAACAAGAAAGCATATGTTTTAGAAGACATTCCTGCATAGTGATGGAAGTCTTCTGCTTAAAAGGCAAAGGTTAGACCTGCAGCAACATTGATGCTTTTGCACATAGAACACCACCTCCCATGGTTGAAAACAATGCTGAAGAGTTCACATGAGACCCAATAAGTTTATTTGAGGAAGAATTTATAGCAATTGTCACATCCTCAACACCATCGCTGCCCAGTAATAACCAACCATCATCAGCAAATCCATTCACAGCATCATTGAAACCTCTGCATGCACCCAGCACAATGTGTTAAATACATAAACCTACCGTGGAAAAAAAAAAAAAAAAGGCTCAAGTCAAACATATTAACAAAGCCGCCAATGACCTGCTCAGTCTTTGACTGAAGGTCCTTAATACAGCAGGTTGTCGACCCCCACCATATGGAACTTCACCACTGGTTTCTTGAGCAATTTGTCTTAGGTGGTGAAATGCCTGGAAAAATGACAAAAGTGTAACTAGCGGTCGGTCTACGATGACTGAAATGCATAATAATGAGTAATAAGGCTTACAGCAATTGTCATTTTCTGGGCCAGAAATTTTGGTGATTCATACAAGGGTCTAAGAACCTCAGGTACACTCCATGCCTGAAGCATCAAAGATATTGTCGGTAAAATATGGAAAAATGAACCTCAAGAAGTGTAGAAAGCACCTGGAACTCACATCTAAATCAACATGATCAACAATGTGAATCATTGAGCCACCACCCTCACATGGTCGGATTAGATATCCACTGGAAAGCATTTCAGCCCTTATGAAATTTGGAGAAGGAGGCCCAGTCGGACCACCAGTTGCAGGAGTTAAAGACCTCTCACAAATCTAGAAGAAACATGTTGAGTTAACGTGTCTTTTATCACTTGGAAAAAGAAAAATTGATGATCATTTAAATGTGTTGGCACACATTTGAGGGCCACGGGTAAAACACCTAATGAGGTATGAAAAACTATCAATGCATAAACGATGCACAACTCATACCACAAGGCTGCCATCTTCTAAACCTCTAGTATATCTCAGAGTCCAAAAGTCTCGTGCTGCTGCCAAAGTGGTAGGTGCATATGTCTGATAACAAGAGATTGAAAACAAAAAGTCAAATATTAGAAACACGGAAAAAGATGAACAACTATAATGAAATTCATACTAAAATACAAAACATACTTGCATGTATATAAGTTCTATATTCCCTCCATTACTAGTGGGAATTACAGTAAGCACATCAATGCAACGGCAATCACGATACCAAGCTGGACGATCTTTAATTATCTCTGCAACCTAAGAGACCCAGCAAATCCATGAATTGCATAACATGAAAAGAACATAACTGCAGAGAGAATTCAGTAAGTGCCTAACCTTTGTGGGTTCCAGACTCACAAGGCCACAAGCTCGAGCTGCTACCCCACTACAATTATGGGAAACAGCAACGATTCCAATGGAATCCGGACCAGGCTATAATATATATGAGAAATCATCATACAATCTGAATGGAATTGGTCAACACAAGATAAGAAGTCGATCAAAATATTACCTTCATCCCAACCATCTGAACCCAATCGACGGCAGTTCCAGTAGCCTTCGACAAGAACTCTGCCAATGTCTCCTCAGCGATTGCAAGGAGACTGTAGCAGAAATGTCCCAACACAAAGCACGACGCGTTAACAGAAAACAGCCGACGAAAGCAATCTAAGCTAGAGCCATCACAACAAGGAAGTCTGATTACCCAGCTGGGTTAGCATCCCTTTGAGGATGCTGAGGTGTTGGGTTTTGTTGACGTTGGTGCTGACCACTTGTGACTACAGATTCACAGCTGGTGTCGGTGGTGGCTACAGATGCCTGTATATCCATTAACTAGAAGTAAGATCCAAACAAGCATTGTAAATCATGAAAGATTCTACGTAAAATTCTGAAATTAACATGGAACATGAAACATAAACTCGTAATCATAACACTCCACTCTGAAGCAAAGAGTTCAAAGTGATGAAAGCATATATCAGAACTGGCTGGCTCATATAACATATTCAAATGCAGATCTTCGCTTGTTAAGCATAGATATTGGGGAGCATTTGACCAAGCAGGTAGCATAGCTTATATTAATTTATTAAAGTAAAAGCACTGCAGTCTTTGAGTCCTGGAAAACCAAGATTCAGAAGAAAACATAAGAGAATTGCTCTATGTAATACTAATTATATTTTGGATGGCTTCCATTTCCGGAAAAAGAGCACAAACAACATGGACACTCACATTGTGCAGTTGCTGTCGCATATAGCCATTCTCATAAACAAGTTCGGACACCTGCTTCTGCAGCCGATCATTTTCCTCCATCAACAGCTTGTTCATGGCATTCAGCTTGCGGTTAACTGTTTGGAGACGAAAGGCTTCCTTCCTCTGCTTCTCTCGGCATCTACAAAAAGGAAGATAATGAATGCTACAAATTAATACAAAGACCAGCATTATAGTATTACACTAATTCGAGTTAATATGACATTCTGTAAATCAAATCTAAATTCTAAACTATTGGACAACGTCAGACAATACAGTTACAAGAAGAGATGAAGATGTTAAGAATCTAATCACTTAAGATTGAAGGTTGGTTTCAAAGAGATTGTCATTTGTAGGTACGCTGCCTTGATAAAATTATAAATGTATAGCCTCCTAAATTAAATTTGACAGAAATAAGAACTACTACTTTTCCCATTAATGCAGTGTCAATTTATTTATAGTTTGCGACTACAAAAAGGTCTTCGAAGGTTCAGTGGCCTTCACTTCGGGAGGTAGTAATTATCATACATTAATATGAACCCTTAACCAAAATCATTACCTTGGCTTCCAAATTCAAGCCTAGGAAGCAAAAAATAGAAACTTTACAACCAAAAACTCAGAAACAACAGAAAATTGCAGAATCTGAAACCGATCGAGCAACATGTAAACTACACTCTAAACACATTAAGGAAAAACATAATCCTTCACATGATCATTAGCAAAATCCGTATAGTGATCTCAAACAGAGCAAGATCTTTAAAGACCAAGACAAAAGGCCACTTTTGGCACAAAAGCAACTCTATTGTTAGACAACCAGATTCAAAATCCTCAGAATCTCACTGAGGATTACCAGAAAGAGCCAAAAAAGAATAAGATAAAGAAAAAGAAGCATATTTGATTCTGAATGTCAATAGGAAAAATAAAACAAACAGTAAGGAACGATATGTTATCATCTTGCAAAACATTGGCTACAACAAAAAAACCAAATAGAAAACCCGATATTTCAAATACACGAAAAGAATCCACTAAAAATGCTAAAAACGACACAAATGCAATAATGCTAAGCCACGAACATTATAGGATCGAGCATAAGATAGATGGAATACCAAAGGTGAAAATTTTTTTTTCGAGTTATATCCCCACCAGTGTCTCAAATGATTCAAATTTTCTACTAATCATTTCTCAAAGTATCAATTTCTACAAAGTGAACCGATGCAACAGCTACGATGAATCTCAATTGCTGCCTAAAGACACCAGACCCAACTTTGGGAAGAGAAAAAGAAGAGACCCTTTCCGTCGGTCTTTTACCTTCTGTTCTGGAACCAGACCTTGATCTGCTTTGGCTCGATGTTGGAGAGAATGGGACACTCCCGTACGAGCTGCTGCCGCCTCAGGGAGCTCGGCTTCGGGCACTCGCTGTATACCCTCTCGAGCGCCTCCACCTGCTCCGGCGTGTACCTCACGTACTTCCCCGTGTCCATCGCGGCCGCGGCTTCCTGCTGCCCCTTGCCCGCTTCCCTTCCGCTCGCAACCATCGCCATCCCCTCCCCTACGCAAATCCCTCAAAAATCCAATCTTTCCCCACCCGACGCACTCACCACCCTCAGAAGCCTCCCGCCCTCCCTTTCTCCCGGCTCCTCGGCAGCAGGAGACACATCACCGCACCTCAAAAACTCGTCGCCGCCGCCGCCGAGGGGAACCCCATCTGCCTCTCCTCCCACGAAGCAGCCATTGCTCTACGGATAGAGGGTGGGACGGGGAAGAAGAGGAAGCTGAAAAGGAGGCGCCTTGGTTGGCGCTGCTAACCCTTCGAAGTTTAAAGCCGGGGGCGAGCGGCTGTGCTCTCCCGTTTCATATGCTTTCTTCTCAGTTTAATGGCTTAAATAAAGTGTGAGAGGCCATCTATTCTTTCCAAGTACATGTTTTGGGTCTTGACGTGTTGTTTATGCTGCTAATGCTTGGCCTGCTGCAGTGGCAGCAGCTGTCTCTGTGAGGAAGAGGAGGGAAAACATAAAGTGCTTTCTCTCCCTTCGATGCTCAGAGAGAGAGAGAGAGAGATAGAGAGAGAGGGGGGGGAGAGGAATGGATTCTTCAAATATCAAATCAAGGGAGGATGAGGCTGTTCTTTGTGCTGTCAGTGGTGAAAGAGATGGTATGTTGGTATGTGGGAGCAGCAGGCATAAATAGCATGATGCATGTTGTGATGGGCACAACATCCTTCTACTTCGTCTCTCTCTAGCTTTACCCCCGTCTCTAGATTTATGTATCACATCATCTCCATCTGAAACCTGAGCTTACCCAAGACTGAAGTCTTCGACGGCTGGTGTTACTATCTTCTATGTTTCTGATGGATTTGTGTACTGTTCTCTATGTGAGTGTGAGTTTGAGAACGATAACAAGGATATATATGACCGCTACTGCTCAACAAAAAAAATCTACACTCGAAAGCTAAGATTAATACGACAAGCGCAGTTATTATTACGAGGCTTTTACCCGAATCTCTGCAACAAATGCTGTGAGATCTTTTGTCCGTCGTCTTGCCTCTCCACTGCTGCTGCTGAGAGCCATCGAGCTTTTCCCTCGTCTTCTCCCTCTCACTGTTCCCCCAAAAGTGACCCGAGTTAAGTTTGCTTGCCTTTTTATTTTCCGCCCGCAGTAACTCCTTTTCCATCACTGCACGGCCATCAGCAGAGGGGTGTGTGTGCGTTCTGCCTTTTACTCTGCAATCCCACCATTTCTCATCTCTGTTTGACGACACAGACAGAGAAGAGAAAGAGAGAGAGAGAGAGAGAGAGATTCTCATAGGAATAGAGCTATTTACATTATCATTTAATCGAGCTAGTGCTAATGAGGAAGGCTAAGGGTGCAAAAGATACATATTTCATAGGCAAAAAGACAAAAGTCCTCCTTGGCACTTGATAAATGTAATTAGAGATATATATACTTCTATCTTAATTTTTATGATAACTATAGAATCAAATATGTATTAAGAAAATAAAATCAATTTATTGATTGACTAGAAAATTGTGCTAAAAAGTCAACAATATCTATATTGCAAAAGTAACATAGATTTTTTTTTTTGGAGTAAAAAACAGAGAACTCTAAACCTTGTGCTGTCAAAATTATACATGAGAGATCAAGACACAGACAACAGATTTTACTCTCTTCATTTTTTGGATAGAAAGGATGAAAGTTGAGGTAGTGCCAATATCATTTATGTTTTTAAAATCTTCATAAGGTTGCCATTGTTGATTTGAAGACACATATTTCTCTGTCACAAAATTTCACAAACAAAATTAATTTATAAAAGGTCACCAGACTTGTTTCTGAGCCAGAGAACTGAAAGGAAAAAAAAAGAAGAAAGTATTCTTGTCTGATATCAAAACATGAAACTTTGGGATTATGAATTCCACTGAATCTATAGTAGCAGGATTCATATCCTTATATTTGATCTGCATTTTTGTTTGAGTGGTTTCCAAGCAGGGGATTGATTTATCAGGCAAAGCAATTATAGATAGCAAGTACTATATGTAAGATGGCCATCACTTGCACCACAGAATAATGCCATGCAGTCACTCTTAATCCACCATCTCTGTGATGTCACGTATGTCACTGTTTCATTTGTGTTATGGCACAGCTCATCATCTCCACAATGGTGATAGCATGGGGATCAAATTATAAATTTGGGCACAACATATTTCATTCATGGAATCTTTGATGATTCATTCATGATCTTGAAGAAGGCTCACTCAAGCAACCTGGCTCACACTCTTCTTTGTCATGACTGAAGTAAAGATCTAATGCTCACCGATGCTAGTGATCTGTGATGTCCAATCCAGAACAAATAAGAAAACAGCAATCCATGTAGATGAATCATTATCATTTACATCAAGCAGCCCTTTTGCATCTCCTTCCTTCTTCTGTTGGTTCAGCAATAGACATCTTCTTCATGGCGGCATGTGCAGTGAATGTTTGTTGTATCATTAATCGCCATGCAGGAATAATCATATGTTTGAAGCTTGTCTATCATGGATAGCATCAGTATGTGCTTGCATCATGAGTTTGAGACTCTTCCCTTTTCTTGCAATGTGAATCGTTTTGAATGGTGTAGGTACAAGGAACATGAACTGTGCTTGAAGAATTCGATTGGGAGAATATGAGAGGGTGGATATGTTCCACACGATTAACCATTTAAAATTTCAACATAATCTATATGTACGAAAACTTGACCTATGATCAATCAACTTCAGCTGCCAGATTGTAGTAATGTCTAGTTATCATGCCAATGCATGTGTTGATCTTCCTAATAATTTGGGATGAGAGAACCATTAGAAGGATGAACTAAATGTTCAATCTCTGAGGCCTTCTCCTCAAAAACTCAAAAAGAACAATGAGAAGCTTCATTATTGCTTCACTTTCTGCATGAGTTGTTTTGCCACCTCCCATCTGTTATGGCAGCTATCAGCAAATGTTACAACCATGCATGAAGTGGTCCTGAAATATATCTTCCCATCACACAATTAGTATGTAGGTGATGTTGCATGCACCAATGCAATAATAATAATAATAATAATAATAATACACAAAACACTTTGCTGTATATAGTTTGTAGATCAATCAACCAAAGCCTATAGTTGTCCACCTGAACATCCATCCATTACAAGTGCTGGTTCATAGAGCAAATAGTGTCACAAGTTGAATGTTCTTGATGAACTAACCTAAAACTAAAACCACTCTGTCAGACTATTTGAGATGAAGAGTTGTACTGATACACATTGTTTTGTGTTTCCAATCTACTGCATTTCATGCAGGACTGTTGCAAACAATCTTATGCAATTTTTTTGCAGGGGGGGCTTGATTAAGCTGGCATGGTTGGACCAAATATCCATGTTCCATAGAAGCTGTTCTTGCCACTTTACCACTAGAATAATTAGTGGGTCCTTGAAATAAGTTGATTGGTGCACAAAGAATTGGTAGTATAGTTGGAGCTAGGGTTAGGAGACAACTCATGATAGAGCCCTTTTTGCAGGCTCTACATCACATCTTTATGGTTCTAAAAACCAGTCAAAAATTTCTCCATCAGTGTATTATATCAATATATACATCATCGATCATGTTGATTGAGTCATCAGTTCAAATGGTAATTATAAGAGCTGGAAATGAGATCATACATTGCTACAAGTCCATGGATATGTGTTTTCTGAATTGAAACTGTGATGTTGCAAGCTCATAACAGCTCACACAGAAGAAAAGGCATGAGCACAACTCAATCTTGGATGATATCGGAGTGGATGCTGATGGATGTCTTGGTTTTTCCAATAATTTCTGAGTTACAAGTCAAGTCTCGAAACATATACTGGTTTGAAGTCCAAGAGAAGATCTCACTTAGGTCATACTAAGATTCTTCTTAGTTACATGTTCTGCTTGTATGTTTCTTAACCCTAACAACACATACAGGCAAAGAAGTAGTAATAAGAAACCAAAATGCTTTCGAGTCCAAGAGAAGAGTCTCACTCAATTCATGCGAATGGAAGAACACATTCCAAAGCAGCAGCTAATATGACAGTGTGGATCAAATTTGAGCCAGTAATGTGCTTTCAAATCCTTAACCCTAAACCCTAGGATCCTTAAAAGCCACTTTGGTGTCATGACCTGAGTTATACAATCATCAAACACACTCACAGTCACCTGCATTTATATATTCCTTTTTGTTTGGTGACAGCATATATATATATATATATATATATATATATATATATAGAAAGAGAGAGAGAGAGAGAGAGAGATGGCCACACCCTTGCCTTCACTCCCAAGCTTGTCATTAGCTTTACTCACAAAAGAGAAAGGATGTAAGAAAAGCTATTGGAGAGCAAAAGCGCAGAGAATTTATATGTTGCAAGGGTTGACATGCATGCACAGTAACCTTTGATCATCCATCTACTCTCGTTAGACATGATCAATTACAGAAGCAAACAACGACAAGAAGAAGAACGGCAGCAATTAATGGGTGATGATGGGTGGTGGGAGAGTCAATGGGCATGGAAACTCGCATAGGGTTGTCTTCCTGTCTACCTTCCGCCATGATGAGGGCTGATGCCACTTTTCTCATGCCTCTCCTTCCCTGTCTCCCCTCCACCTTTTCCTTCACAAAAAGAGAAGAGCAGTAAATGGGGGGGATGACCCCCTCTGCCTTTGCGGTGCAGTTAATAAAGCATGCATGCTCCGAGATCCATTGCGAGATCTTTGCAGATTAGCAAGTGTGGAGGTCCAGTCCCTTTCACAGCCCCCTCTCTCTCTCGTTAAGGAGGGTCATGGGGTCCAGAACCGCCCATACGGGTGGTGGCGGTGGTGGTGGACGCCCACAGCCGAGCGCCGCGCGCGCGTGTTCTTCGGCATGCATGCTTTCTGCCTTTGCGTGCTTCCCACACCTCACACATCTGTGTTGTTTCTCCGTTGATTTTAACTGCAGATGCAAGTGCTACTTCTCTTCTCCATAAACCTTCGAAGGATGATAGTGATCATGGATGGAAGACGTCAATCGAGCTTTGCATGGAACTAGGAACCATGATTAAGAGTCATGGAGTACTGTTTACTGCATGCATGGATTCATGATTAGAGATCCAACAAGAGTGCTGCTGATAATGACTTCAGGATTTTGATGCATTCAAGTCCTCTCTCCGTCTCTCTCATCCTCGCACAGATTAACACCAATCAGCTGGGGTGATGTAATACTTTGCTAGTTGGCAAAGATCGAGGGTAAGGATATGAAAGCGATAGCTATCACAAAGGACATGGCAGTACAACTGATAGCTTGGGCAACAAGAGACTGGGATGAAAGGAAGAGAGGAGGAGGAGGAATAATGTGGGGATGTCCCCCCCACCCCCCACCCCACACCTTTGAAGAAGTGCCACTCCCTTTAATTATAGGGGGTTGCATCAGATTATTATAGAGTCAAATCAGTTGGAGTTCAATGCAAAACGAGCTCCCAACATGTGGACAGCCACTGGTAATCATGTTTGTCTCATGTTGTGAGCCACAAGGCTTGGGAGAAGAACCATCTTTAAGCAGAGAACAGCTAAATAGATGTTTGTGATGATGCCCGTTCGTTTCCGAACAAGGTGATCACTGCAGATTGAGGATTAAGTGGTACCAGTATTAAGCTTGGCATGCATGGTTTGCTTGCGCGACCAATGACAAGTCCATTTCTTGGCGAGCGCATGAGCAGAAGATGTTGTTTGGGTTCATCGGAGAGAGATCATTGCTCAGCTTTGTCCCACAGCAAACTGGCTCAACAGGAACAACGATGTCAATGTCAAACGGTGGTGGGCTAGTTATATGTGTTTTGGGTCCTTGCACCATAAAAAGTTGTATTGACATCTCTATTTACAAAAATAAACATATAGATCTATTTATCCTAATAGCATCATGTTTGCCAACAAAAATATAAAAATAAAAGATAAAACGATAATTTTAACGTTTAGCGATGGACGATGGCACTACTGGCGTCGATGCCAATGCAATTGCTTGACTACCTCCAACGAAGATAAGGTTCACTCTCACTACGAAGCCACCCGCCTCCACAAGAAGTGTGTTGTCAACCTCATCGTCGCTCATCTCGTGTTACTTTACATCTGTATCAATGCTAAGGTAATTGCAACGACATTAACGTAGATAATGGTGGCCACCATGATGTCTATGACAATAATGGTGACCACCTCGCTATTGACCCATTGGGCGGATCCCAACCTTGACCCTTCCCCCTTTACATCTACGTCGGCATTAACATGATTGTCAAACAGTGAAAAGGGCTACTCGATATTTGCGTCGATACTTGTATAGATGCCAAATGACTCTTTTGCCACTCGACAACTGTATTGACACTGACACATATACAAAGTGAGAGGGGTCAAGACTAAGATTCGCCTGATGAGTCAATGACGAGGCGGCTACCATCTTCGCCATAGACATTGTGGCGACCACCACCATTTGTGTCGATGCCGACGTAGATGTAAAGCTATGCAGGGCAAAGCAACGATGAGGTCGACAGCGTGCTCCTCGTCGAGGCGAGTGGCATCGTGATGAGGCGGGTGACGTCACAATGAGGCCGCTAGGCAACTATGTCGACGTCGACACCAGTGGCATCGTCATCTGTCACCACCAAAGTCACGATGTCGTCCAGTCCATTGGTCACAGTCTATTATCTCTTTCCTGATCGACGGAGTGCAGATCAGATTGGTCTGCCTTATCCTCAATCGAGTCAAGAACGAGGGCCCAACAAACAGGCCGATGCATTTGCACGTTTCATGGACTTGGCGACAACATCGATCTGTGTGTGCATAACAGCAGCACCTATAAACTGTACAATATTATGTATCAGAAGGACATCGATAAGGGCACCTTTCTTTAGATAAACAATATAAACACTAGATGCAAATTCATAAGAGCGCCTCGCTTTAGGTAAATAGAAGCATACCAGAAGAGGAGGAAGTCCCATAGCCAGAAACCTGTCCTCTACATAATCTTATGAGATTCATGTTATATGACCACTGGCACTATGATTCCAAAAGGATGCCTACAAATCTGAATCATTTGCCTAAGGATTTTATCATAACCCAAGAGCTTAGAATTGATAAGGACTTGTTCACCAGCTTCCGACTTGATTTGTGCTTTATCCAACATGATATTAGAGAAAAAGCAAGAAAATTTAGTTGGATGTAAGTAGAGAATTGATTGGAGGCTGAGACAAGATTTAGAGTTGCCCCCCCCCCCGCAAACAAGTGATCATTATGAATAACATAACAAGTGATGATCATTGTGATTATTGAAAAGGACTTTATATTAGTAATAAGAATCTTCTATGTAAATAAAAAAACATATTCTCATGTATATTAGCGCCATGACGAATAAAAAAACATTTTCTTGGACACAACTTAAACCAAAAAAAAAAATCATACATGATATTACAAAACTAGTAAGTTCACCTAGGCATGAAACACTCATAAAATTTAGCCATGAAACCCATCCGATTCCCAACCATTTCCAAGCCCAATCTGATTAAGATCCGCGAAAAAAATTCACCTAGGCTCAAGTCTTGACATGGAAGAAAATGGAGCTTGGCAGAGGGAAAGAGAATACCAGACAGGGCATTCTAATGCATCATATGGAAGTTGCAACAGGTTTCTCAACAATCTACAACAATATGTACCTTGTAGAGGCCACTAAAATACATCGTCATCCTCCGGTCCGTAATGGATAAAGGATTCCCCTTTATTTTTTGTTCTATTTATCTTCCATCACACAAACATTAACTTAAAGCAATCCAACCATAATGTTTGCCGAACTGGTGATGAAGAAATGACTAACTCCTACAGTCTCTGCAAGAACAACATTCATAGAGAGAATCAAAATTATCAGATGTTCTCTCACCAAACATTTGCTTTTATCAAGAACCTACCAAAAAACACCCGAGGAAGTAGAATCTTTACATGATCCCATGACGTTCCTAACTTACATCATCAAACTCTCCTAAGAGCACACCGATCACCAAAGCTACAGTTCAGATTAATTAAAGCTCTTGCGGTTTGACTCTACACCTACGCTGGCTGGTAATCCTGGAAGATACTGTACAGAAACACTGTCCTTACCAACATTCAGCAAATCTGGTCTCTGAACAAGTAAATTAGGGCGTTGGCTTTGATTCAATGTCCAGTGGTGTCTTTTCACAAACTAGAACCCTGGTCGATTCTGCTCTATTGCCAGAGAGCTTAGTAGTATTCTCCTGGTTAATGGGACACTTACCGGAACCTGGAATGTCAGAAGATTGGGCCTTGTCATTTGCGGCAATCTCGTTCAATTGATTTCCTTTGGACTCATTCTGTTGGTTTGCTTCTAACTTCGAATTAAGAAATCTACCTCCACATCCTCTAGCTCTTCTCAAAGCATGCAAGTGACGAGATTCATGCAGATAGGGCTGTAGAGTCAGCATGGTATACCATGGTTATAAAATATATTTGCAGTTAGTAACGAAAATATATTCAAGAAACAACATCATTTTAAGCACGGATATGTCCATATTTGTGCAAGCACAAACAATTTAATGACTAATGAATGTTAGGTTTGTTCACTAATCATAATGAAAAGGCAAGTACAGTAATGTCCCAAATAAACCAGGCAGGATGAGATACAAATGATATCAACATAATTTGTCTTGTTGCCCTCACCTTGAAGGTTAAGGAATCTAGAAACTTCTGAGTTCAGTCTATTAACTACACCACAACTCCTGAGAAAAGATTCAAGGTATTAATGTCTTCTACTGGGCAGGTATCTCACAGAGACATCAAGACTGCATGTGAGGTCACTCATTCGGCAAACAAGACAAAACCAAAGAAAATTCTGATGATACAAAGTTTGTATGCTGGCAGCATACCAACTTGTTTGGAAATTTCTTTGATGTAATACAAAAAAAAGTGGGCTTTCTAATTAATTGGAGAGGTTAAATATGGTGTTTTGATGTGATACAAAAAAGTGTCCACCCATAGAGCGTTTTGATTTCCATCAGAAGACCTATATTATTCCAAAGATATACATGCATTCCAACCTTTTATATAAACAAGTTAAAAACTCAAGCATGAAAAAATTTTGAACCTATATTATTCGTTTTGACTATTGTTTTAGGATAAATTTGTCCAGACCAATGGTAAAAGAAAATATATGATCAATCAAATATGGAAACTCAGAGACCCTGATCATTTGACTATATTATCTAGCATGTTGACAAACAATTTTATGAACATTTTAAAAGACAACACTTAAATGCTATAGAATATCATTAAAATGAATCGAATCCTAATAACATAAAGTGGTGATTTTTAAGAAAATTGAAAGACATAATAACTCCATGGTCATAGGTAGCTCAAGGAAGTCAGTGGGTGCCCAAACGCTCGTGGAGGCACCTAGGTGAGGTGAGACAAGGCTTGAGTGCCCGATAAGTGGGCTGCGTGGGCGACTTCAACCGGGCATGCCCCAGGTGCTGGGTAGGCCAGGCACCCACTTGATTTAACTCAAGCTAGGTCGAGCCTGAGTCGAGCCAATTTGGTTTAATTTCCAAGCAGAAATAGGTGAATGATTAGTTTATTCAGCCCACCAGAAAACAAAATCTATGCTAACTAAACAATACACTCCAAGTTACCTAGCAAGGCATAGTACATTCAGAAGCTACGCACCTTACGAAGTTTTGCTAACTTATTTTCTGATTCAGCTTTTGCTCGAGACTGTCGACGCCTTAATATACCATGATACTGTTTTGCATTAACATAAACAGGTTCTTCAACTGCATCAGTTGGCAATGGCACCCCAGAATGATTCACTCCAATTAGTTGTGGATGAATCTAAAAATAATTGAAAATTTTCAAGGTAAGAAAATAAAAGATAATCAACAAAATATTACACCATACTGAGATGAAGATATAGGCACCGGTTTGCTCCTTGCCATCAGTGTTTGATATTCAAATAACAGAAAAGCATGTATGTTTAACTAGGATAAAATGTACCACATGTTGTCCACCATAAGCTGCAAAAATACCACCATAGTAAGGATCCACATATGGGTAAGGTGTTGGAGCCTGCCACGGAAGATTTTTAAAGAAACATTTAGCCAAGCCAGTTCAGCACCATGTGATTTTGAATTCAATTCATAGTGTTCCCACCACTAACAAAGCATAGAAGTTAGGCAAAAATTGCCTTGAATTGAAGTATATTAATGTATTCTACCCTGGAAAAGGTCACCGTCCAAAGCTTGTCTACCTAATCCACTGACCAGCATCAACAGACTCAAGACCACTTTATTGCTAATTTAATTGGTCAGCAAACTGTCTATAACTTAGCTAACAGTTATAATACTCTAGGGCTTCCCACATAATATACGTTATTTTCCTGCCTGTCACCCAAGTAGATGTATGTACATGATATAACAAAGAAGATACCTCACCAGGAAGACTAGACAGCTTCTGAATTTTGAACTTAAAAAATGCAAGATTCACCTTATACTTTGTTTACTTACATCAATTGGCTAACCGACTCTAGATAAAAATTCCTAGGTTAAGTTAGAGTTGGTAGTCTTGATTTTTTTTGTCAGAAGCATAAGAATGCGGTCCAAAATCATGACCTGCAGAATTCTGGCTCATGTTTTATGACTACAAATATAAACATAAATAATAAATAGCTTCTTTACATGAAAGACGAAACATAACCTAATAATTAATTTAGACCTGTGTAAGATGCAGAAGCAATAAGGTCATGAACCTGGTGTCTAACTTTTTGAGATAATAGAAGGAAAAATAACAGGTTCTTCATGGCACATGACCATACACAAATGATGGGACCAAGATAATTTGCACAAGATTACAGTTTCAAGAACATTTACCATAGTCTGTCCCACTTCGAACTGACCAGCGGGCATCATGTACCCAAGTAAAGGTGTTGCTATGCCAGACTGCAAGCTTGCAGCACCATAGGGCTGCTGTTGGTTCTCAGATTGTTCCTGCTCATGCTGTTCATCAGGTTCACTGTTATCTGGAAAACATAGGACCATAAAACAAACATATAAAGCCAACTAGATGTCAAACCCAGAAAAGAGTTAGTTGAGGTAAACGTTAAAAAAAGAACAAATCTAAGTATCTAACAACCAATGTAGCAGAAAATGAGGATAGATTAAATAAGTAACAAAGCAAAATTTCAACAACTTGAAGACCTCTTCATCAGTTAAAAAGACACGAGAAAAACCAGAACTTAATAGCCTAGATGAGCCAGCCCTAATGTTCATAGGACCCCATAGTGCTAAGGCCCATCAGTTCCCGATATCCCGACCAAGTTAGAAGATGATCAAAATTTAATTGAACCAAGTTCAAGAACTTACTAAATCCTAACTAGCCTTCCTAGCTAACAAGGAATACAAGTCCTACTTGAACTAGGATTATCATTGCATTGTCAAATTTTGGAAGGTCTTCAATTTCGAATAATATCGTCCGATATGGGTGGTACGTACCAGTCCGTCAGTAGACCGATACACAGACCGCCTGTTACCGGTATATATATATATATATATATATATATATATATCTAAAAGATTTTGGCGACGTCGCCGAGCCGGTGGGGAGAAGAGAGAGGCGACGTCACCGAATTTTTTTATTATATATATATATATATATATATATATATATATACCAAACGGTATACCGCTCGGTATATAGTACCGTACCGTACCAAGCGAATGTCGAAACTCTGGTACGGTACAATATTTCAATCCTTGACCTACAAAGTCTTATCTAGTCTCAAGTTAAAGTATAAGATCCTAAAATGGGTATGATATAGTTTAGAGCAGTTATTTTCTTGTGTTCTGGAAGTTCTAGAGTCCTGTTTGAAAAAAAGATATTGTATAAGCTTCCCTTACATGCATGTAAACTCTAGCTATTATTAAGTCGCTGTTTAGAAACAAGAGAGAGAAAGGATTAAAGCCTATACATAAAGGTGTTCTAATCATTGTTTTATCAAATCTACTCCCTGTATATTTTATCTCGATCCTTCTATTCTCATCTTCTCTCTCCTCTATTGTCTTAGAGGTGTCCTGCCCTTGAAAAAAGTAAGTTCTTGGCAATAAATTCCAATCATATCTTGCCAATGGTTGATGACAATTCAACTTACAAGAAAGAGTAATAAAGTGAAACAAATAATGACTAATTGTGGTAATAGATGAGAATGTCAATCATAATGTCACATGAATCCTTTAGCTCCTCAAACTTTTCAACAGCTTAAAAATGAGTTCCAAATAGAACAATCAAAGGCTGCAAACTAATAATAGCTTTTTCAGCACATAAACTATATTAAAGTCAAATTGACACAAATCCTCACAAACCATAATTATAAATCTCCATTCCAAGTGACTTTAAGAGTCTGATAATAGTTTTGCCAATCGGCTGGATCAATACAATACAGGTATTACCGGCCAGTATACCAACTGTGCTGCCTGGTATTTACTGGAAAAATAGAAAGAAAAAAAAAAGTACAATCAGAACTTGAAGTCTTGGTTACCACAACTAAGACAGACTTAGCTTTCGATGGTACAATAATCCATAAATTAGCCCAAGATAGAAATCCTAGAATTGTCAAAACTTAAAACAAATATATTTTTTTACTATTTACATATCAAGCAATCCCTCAAAGATTCCCTACGGTGCATGTTAGTGAATACCAAAGCCCATTCAACAACATGAGGACCACCAAAGCTAACTAAATTTGTTGAGATTGTCAGGAAGGTTTCAACCAGTAGAAAATAAAATTGAACAAAATTACATAACTGAAAACGTATTAGGATCCATTAAGCATTTATACCGACGGAACTTAAATATGGATAATCTTGCTAATCTCAAATCTTTTAAAATGTTAACCGATCTTTGAAGAAAGAAAACAAAATATTTAAGTAACACAAAGCATAGATTACTGATTAATATATTTCACTTCCTATTTCTTTTCCTTACGCTATTCTCACAAAAAATCCTTTGTTCCTCCCAAACTCATCCAATATCGGATTTGATACCAAAGTTTGCACAATATCAAAGCTTCCAACCTGCATCAAATTTGGTGTCAGAGCTTTTACCCTACTTCACTAAGCACCAATTCAGTTATGACAACCTAGAAACCCAAAATCTGCTCAGTTCCCAACTATAAAACAAGATCCTTTTTGACCACTTACACATTGAATAGCTTAGTATAAAAGTTGCAATACTAGAAGTATCAAAACATGGTTTCTATGCGTCAGCAACTACAAGTTGTTTGCACTTAATAGAAATTTACCAATATGCATAACATTTAATATATAAAAACAAATATCAATAATGGAAAGAGATAATTACCAGATAAGCTTTGAACTGAAGAAGTCATGATTTGTGCAAGTCTTCTCAGTTGGCAATTGGAACTAAAGAAAGGTTAAATCCAAAGCCACTCTCAAAATGAAGAGTAAGCAAGCATGCTCATGACACCAGCGACTATTATGTTTGTCGAAACTCAAAAATAACCTTCCCTTGCAGGTTCCCAACAGAGAGCATGAAATGTTTATGTCATATGATCTTGAAAACTTCAGTCCTGAAATGCCAACCACAAATGGCTGATCACAATTGCAAACTCAATAAGCAAAAACAAGAAAAATAAAGAACATTGAAAACCACAACTATAGTGAGGGTTATATTATTAGAAATTTAAAGTATAAATTTTTTAATCACAATACGTAGTCAACATCAGCGATGGCAGATCAGATAAAATAAAATGAGTTCACAAGTATCAAATATCAAGTATTGACTCAGCAATTGGTATTCAAAGAAACGAAAAGGAGCAAAAAAAGAAAGTTAGAGAAATCCAATAATTTATATTTGCATAAAATGAGATAAATTAGTGGAGAAATTACAAAGCTTTAAAAAAATATAGGGTTGTTTGTGTTTATGGAATTCTGCTGGGATTTTTCTGTATATCCAAACAACCAACAATGAGAGTGCAAATTATTTCAAACACAAATTTGTTTGTCTTCTTTCACATTCACTCCATGGATATGACAGAGGTCTCAATTTTCCCACTATCATTACTAACAACAAATATGCTCAAAGGAAAAGAATATCCTACTGATAATCCATGTTGTACTGCTTTTTCCCCATATAATAACATCATATAGTTTACCATGACCAGAAGTAAAAATGTAATCTTATGCTATATGATACAGAAAATTTATATATTAGATTTATTTTAAATCTAAAATCCAATCATAAGCAATTCTCAACAGTCACTGATTAAAAAGCAGCAACAAAAACAACCGCAAAAAACAAGGTTCAAGATGTCTAAATCATGAAGTAAAATATCGCTACAAAAGTTAAACAGCCCCGCAAGTGGAAAACTACTGTACATTTCTTTCCATATTATTCCTCTGTATCTTCAATAAAAAGGTAGAAAGAAAGATGCCCTAAATAAGTTAGGCAAGGCTCAGATCTAAACAAAGGATACAGTCTCAAGTTAGTTCCCTTAATGTGGCACTCGACTGTGTGTTAATGGACATATAGAAACAAAGATAGCCAAAATACTAGATCTTTCAAGATGAGAAAAGTAAATAACTTTTTTACAATGCACCACATTAAGGAGAATATAAATGAACTTATCCAGGTTGAAATTAGTTAATAGTGCAAGGCAATCATTGTGATTGAAGATATAGATTGTCCAGTAACAAATGTAGCATAAAGTTGACATCAAGTTGAACTCATGAAATATGGCAACAAAGCTGAAATTAGAGAAACAATATTTAGATAAGATAAAAAGCAAAATGAAATTCATAACTCGATCAAAAAGGCCACCCAGAAATGAAGAGCAGTGGGAAGGTAATCAACGTAAGATCTCGATCTCACAAGTCAATAAACCAGCCCGGCCAAGTACCGGTTCTGAACCATACAGCTTGATACCATTACAGTAGCATATAGTTTATTTTCTTGGTGTTTTATTCAACTAAACAGGTGGTATAGTTCAGCATACCACCTGTTATACTGCTACTGCACCCTTCTGATAGACACGGAAACTGTAGGGATATTTTGAAATCAAAGATCAAATGGCTGCAATCAAGACAGACTTGATGAAAAGACTAAGAGAAGGTTATCGATATACTCTTTAATAAGTGAATGTGTGTGTAAAGAATATGGAACCAAGAAGGAACGAAAACAACCAATGACCAAAAAATGGCCTTTCAAAAGGAGCAATTCTCCATTTCAAAAAATTGGAATTTAAAAAAAAATTGCACTTTCCGAATTGGTGTAACAGAACAAAGAAACGAGAATTCACCATGAAGAGGGAATTGGGAAATCAGGCTTACTGTCTAAAACAGCAATTTAAGAGCTCGCAACAATGAACAAGATCGCTATCTGGAGAAATGCATCCTAATCGTGTAACAGAGAATGGAGGACATTCCAAGTGAACGTTCAATTACCAAGATTACAGTAGCATCCTCGCAAACAAAGTGAACATTCTCGAATGAATTCTCGATATCAGCCTTTCTACTAAATAATATTCCACGGAAAGGCAATACTTGCGAGAGAGGACCTGACAGAAAGTTTCAACTTGGCCTTCCAACGCAATACCAAGAAACCCTAACGCACACAAAATACAAACAAACAAACTCCAATATCACCCAAATAGGGAAATCTACACGAGAACCACGAACCCGAAACACGTCTACATCAGCAAGAAAACAAAACCCAGAAGCCCTAGGATAATTCGGGACCAACAATTCGGCAGTTATGTTTTCCTAGGGAGCCGTCGCGAATCAAACCGACGCGGAAAAGACGCAAACAACAGCGACGGCGCTCAAGAAACAAGATCGGAGGAGCGAATTAGGGAACCCTAGATCCGAAAGGTATCGATTTGATTGCGAATTTCCTCGTTTGTCGCATACCTATATCGCTTGTCCTCGTCGCGCGCGCCAAGGTATGGAAAGGGTTTGAGAACTTCGAGAACGATTCCTCCTCTCTCTCTATCTCAGCAAAGAAGTACGCCGCCTCACGCCATTTTATCCACCTCGATTTCGTGTTGATGACAAAAAGAGAAGCGTGTGCATATATATATATATATATATATATATATATATAATAATTTTTATCGGCTCAACTTAAAGAAAATTCTCAAATAACATCGTTTCCACATGAAATGATTATTTTACCTCTGACTTCATTAAAATCACGATCGACTCCTTGTTCTTGTGTTACCTTCGTCAGACTCAAGATCGAGCATCATATGCGTGAAAGCGAAAAGATCACTATGACGCTTTTGTAGTTGACCGTTTGTGAAGTATTTATGCTTACGACTATGCACATAGGCTTAGAATCAAACCAATCAAGAATTGAATCAGTACTTTGGCAGAAAAGAATCGAATTAGAATTGGGTTTGAGATTCTACATTTGTAATATAAAACTTCAAATTAAATTACCATTCGATTCTAAATAAATCAGAAAAAAAAAAAACATGAACGATCCAATGTCCCTCCAAATGACAACTCTTTCCCTTATAATTTAGAAATTGACTAATTGGATGCATTTAAAAACTTAAAAATTATTGATTGATGAGTTTATTGTGCTAAGTGATGATGATTTATTGATTGATGAATTTATTGTGCTAATGCAGCATAAGATGATATCATAAAGCTGTAGACAATTAAAACCACCATTCACAACTGAGAAATGGAACACAAATCTCCTTATAAATTACAGGATCATTCATCAGAGAAATTAATCTGTTTAATTAACATACTATTAAGTTACATATATGATGCTTTTACACAATTCAAACCTAAGACATCAATGTTGCAACAATGCACAAACCAAGATGATCTCAAAAGAAACAGAAAAGAAAGAGTTGATTTTACACAATTCAAATTCTTTTTTTTTGCATGGGCTCAACCATACTGGCTAATAAGTGCAACAAAATTCTGAAGAAATATATTCACAAGGTCATAATCAACATGAAAGTAAACACTCGAATCAAACAACTGATCAACTCATGCCATCATTATACGCCACTATAGTATGGTGTTGATCGAACCTTACAGAATTACTGTGCAGTTCATTCATTAAAAAAAGATCAGCACCATACAGCCCTTTCAGACTTTCCTAGGCAATTATTAAATCCATGCAATCATTATACTCCACTTTATTCTAGTGTTGATCGACTCTCACAGAATTACTGTACAATTCATTCATAAAACAGGACAACAGCATCCATATATTTCTGGATATTTCGATTATTTTACCCACAGTGAGGCACATACAGTGTTTTCTATCAGCCACTAGCTTCCAGGTAGTGCTGTATCATCTATATATCATCTATTCAAGCAGGCATCTCTGAAGGGTCCTGACCCAGATAGGAGGTAACATGGCACACTGGAAACCCAAATGTGAAAGATTATTAAGTCCACAAGAACAGTACCATTGATAGCTCTTTAGATGCAATATGCTGACCAGCAAACATCACCAACTATATGTTCTTGACAGCAACCCAAGATGACCAAATTATACAGGTTGAGAAGATCTATGGTTGCTAGCCAGAAAGGGAAACTTCAAATACCCTTCTCTACACTCTGGAAGACACCAGGCAAGACAGAGCAAAATGATCCAACCCATGTTGTTTTGGTCCAAACAACTGGTGTATAAACAAAACAAACTCAAGCTGCCGAAACAGCCCCCATTTGCTACTTTATATAGCATGCCAACCAGAAATTGTTCTATGAAACAATAATGTGGAAGATTGAAGATAAAGCAATCTCCCAGGTCGACCATCCAAACAAACAAAGTGACCAGGTTCATAATTCATGAACATTATGGAAGATCTTCACAATATAAGCTATACAAAACCTGAACATATATCTACATGTATGACAAACCCGCCATGAGGTATGTATTGCAAAGTTGCATGCAGTAAAAAGCTGAGTCGCCCTTGTCAGACTTGAATCATCTGCATACACAAATTAAAAAAGAAGTTGAACTAAAAATTTTGTAATAACTAAATGGCTGCTTAAAAAATTGTACTGCCAGAGCAGAAGGCACACTGTTGTCTACTAAGCTGAGTGACAAGATATACAGACATGAAAAAGATCATCCGATAGATGCATGCTCAATTTGGAGTGAAAGGTCAGAGTTTTCATCTTCTGAAAATAAAAGCCATGGATGCAGATGACTAATCATGGAGACAAAATATCTTAGTAATGGTGCCAGTTTTCTGGGTATAATTAGCCCAAAATGGCCTGTGCCCATTAATAGCTCCAGTATTTTTTAACATGGCACATACAGTATATTTCTCTGAATGCAGTACAACAGGGTAAAGCTTTGCATATTGACCCTCCCTAGATCTCATTCATGGAGAACTCATATGCGAGACACCCCTTTATTATTCTATAGTGAGGGGAAATTTTAGATAAATCACTACTTTGGATCATGGGACAGTCCAGACACTTTTCAAGTTGTGTCCTTGGATCATTTATATATACTTATGCATAAATATACATATTTTGTCCCACCCTCTTTGTCTCTTCTCTGCTTGTTATCTTATTTTATCATCTCCTCTTATTCTTTTCCATTTCTGTTCAAGCTTATCGTAGTATACTTTCTACAATTAAACTCAAGTCTTGGGTTTATAAAAAGAAGAAGAAAAAGTTAAGTTGTGGGACTCAATCCTTTAAAGGGTTTCAAGTAACACAGCCAACATCAGCCCCAAGCATTAGACCACTAACAATTAGTGGGAAACTGTGTCAGAAGTCATGATCATGAGTCTGACTGTTTTCATTATAAGGTTAGGTACTTAGAAGTGACACTAGACATCTTCACCATTCAAGTGCTTAAAATGCTGAGGATAAGCTAGAAGATTGTTTGGAAATGACCCCACCATCTCAATGCCCAGATGTGTTGCAACACTGGCAAGAGTTCTCGCATTGTTTTGGATTAGCACAAGCAAAGAAGTTAGTCCAAATCGACACGATTAGACGAGCAACATTGGAATTTAGAAACACTTTCAAGAAATATGCTAAATTGATAGATATGCTAATTAACATAATTTATTTCCAGAAGACTAAGTGGATAGAGAAAAATTTTAAGAAAATTAATAGTTGTCAATATAAAATTTGATATACTAGAAAGCTAACTATATATTTATATATATTATATGCCAAAGGTATTACTTTAGATAAGGGTCTTAAGGACAATGTTATAAAAAAATTAAAAGATTTGAGGATAAAAATATAGTACTAAAATTTATACTCTAAAAAAATGTTCTGAGTACTGTTTATGCATTTCAAATTGGACTAAATGATAAAATCAAAACAAAATCCTTGAATAATTTAGATGGAATTATCCAAGTATACCTTTAATAAAAAATTGACAACTTGAAGTGCTTTGAATGCCATATAAGAAGAGAAACTGTTGAATTTAAAAGAGTGCACGAGAGCTTTGGATAGGAGAAAAACAAAGAAGACATTGACTTCAAATTTTGCTACATCTTATGATATCATAATTGTTAATATCCTATTTAAGAAAGAAGAATAACATTTCATTACTTATGAGTGGACATTATTGTTTTCAGATAGGTTTTTTGCATTATGGGTTGTAAATTTACACCGTGTGGAAACTTGACAAATCAACAAGGACTGATGATTTTAGATATGTGTTAGAAGAAGGAAAGAAAAAAAATGGTAAGTAGTTTTAGTAAAACTAGATGGCAAAATTTTAAGACCAATGCAAATTTTTTTAAAAAAACAAAATGGAGAAAGAGCTGTGCAACTTGTACAGAAATAATATTAATAGCATGTGGACTTCAATGACCATTACGGTTAGGATGTGACAAATGAAATTTTGAAAAATCTAATGACAGAAAATGCAACCTTAAGAGGGTAGCTTCAAGAGAATGTGACTTTAACAAACAATAATAAGAGATCATGCTCAAAGATTGGCAAAATTGCAAATAACAATGACAAGTTTAGAAATATGTAGCATGAAAAGGGCAAAAAAGTTGTATGACAAAATACAAGGCATGTATAGTAAGATAGGTACTACTATGGAAAACAAATTCACTAATGATATGGAGACTAAGGGAAGATTAAAAAAAAAAAAAGGAGGTAATCAATGGATGAAGCACTCACCAATGCGGGGTATGGGAAGGGTCAATGTATGCAACCTTAGCTTTAAATATTTAAAGAAAACTTTACCGTTGTACCAAGGCCTGCTCATTGATAAGCTTTAAAGATAAGTAATCATGGTAAATTTAAAAATTATAGGTTTATTTCTATGATTAACAGAGATGACATAAAATAAGCTTTAAAAAGAATGAGGATAGTTAAGGGTGGAACCTGATGGTATCCATATTGAAATTCCAAAGACTTTAGAAGATCCGAAGATATATGATTGACAAGTTTATTAACTTTATTTAATAAAATTTTATGAATTAAAATGATGCATACTGACTGCGGAACTCTGGAATAAAAACTTAAAGTATAAGAGAGACATTCAAGGTCAATCCAACTATAAAGTAGCATAATTTGTCATGTGATGTAACTTCAGGAAAAATAGTTAAATGTAGTTAAAGATGCTAATCAATTAATTCTGAAGATCATGATTTTGTTCCTGAAATATCAACCATAGAAATTATTTATTTAATTTGCATGAGGAAGCAAAATTTTGCATTTAATTTTTACTGAATTAAAAAGGTCTATGATAGAGTTCATATAGATTTAAGAAAACCTTAAGTATATTGATATGATATCATAAAGTATATGTATAATAGTATTTTCAGTTAGTGTTGTGTTGTAAAAAGTTTGTCTAATGATTTTGTCATTAGTATAAAGTTATATCAAAAATCAGCTTTATGGCCTAACTTAACTAATCGTATACAGAATATACCACCATGTTGTATGCTATTCGATGATGATTCTGATTGACGAGAGTTTAAATGAGAAGAATTTTAAACTTGAGCTATAAAGATGCCTTAAAGCTACACGTCTTAAACTAATTAGGATTAAAATTGAATATATGAAATATAATTTTAACAATACTAAAGAAGGATTATGTATGCTAATCAAGTACCTTTAGATCAAACAAATATATTAGGCCAGATATGTTTAATGGATTTATTGGGAAGCTAAGAAACATATACAAAAAATTAATATAGTTATAATGCAAACAATAATTATGATGCAAACATTGAAGTGAATATGCAGAGCTAATAGAAGAGAAATATTATAAGACTTTTGTTCATGGACAACTAGGCAAAGTGATGTAGAATAAAATGAGGGACAATCATCTGAAATTGTGTGAAAGTATTCAAAGGAAACCTGTAGATAAATGGTGTCCAATTAATGCTAGTGGAATAATGAAACGTAGATGCAGAACTAAGAAGGCTTTACTAAAACCAAGTTAACCAACATAAAGTGACTCTAATGCTCTTAATTTAACTAATTATACTAGTTTGTACAAAGCTTAGTGGCAGGAAAAAATTCATGTAACTAATTCTGGAAAAATCAGGACATCGCTACTCAATGCTATAGTTATGGGATTCAAATCATGGACTCATGCATGTCTTTCCCTCTCATTTTTATTTTTTTTTAGGACAAGTGATGACAGATAGTTCATAATCATGATAAATAGTGAAAGGCACACAACTATGGCAAGAAGCAGATGGTGAACAAGTAGGGTGTAGAGGGGAAGATGGGTGGCAACCAGGCATATCCTTTTCCTCCCTCCCTCCTGTTCGCTTCTCTTCTTTCTCCTCTTCTCTTTTCTTCTTTTAAAACTAAGAAAATATTTTATGCATGTTTTGGTAGAGCCCCCCCAAGAAAATTAAATCATATACCATTACAATCCAGGATTTTTTTAGGGTGCAGAAAATCTGGTTAATATATCCTAATGATATTTACCCTTTTCTTCTATTAAAACTAGGAAAAAAATTTATGCATGTTTTTAGATCATGTACAATCCAGGATATTGAGGGTGCAGAAAGTCTGGTTAATATATTCTAATGATATTTATACAACATTACTGCAACACATTATATGCAGATATGAACTTGAATTAGACACAGAACAGTGGAATAATTAGCTATAATATGAATCACTCAACTAAATCAGAGTTTAGCAAAAAACTAAGAACAGTAAATTCCACAAGTAGGATCACAGCAATTTGATGGCAATCGATGAAGAAGGTTACCAGTTTAGTAGCATTTTTATTTCTCAGTGTCAACATTGCTGCCTCAGCGAAAGCTTGAGCTGCTTCTGCATCAGCTTCAGCAGCTTCTGCCTCTCTCGCCGCTTCTTCGGCTTCTGCAATTGCAGCTTCTGCCTCTGCAACTGCTTTAGCAGCAAGAGCTGCAGCTTCCTGAGCAGTCATACTTTGTGTTCGTGCTAATTCAGCATCTACTTGAGATTTTAAGAGGGGCTTGATATCAACCCTTGATTCCCTTTGTCTTCCCTCAAGAAGCAAAAGCTTGGAGCTTTTTTCTTCTGAAAAAGCTGAACTTGATGGTGTACTATACTTGCGCTTCACCTAAAAGATCAAGAAACCTCTGAATTTTAAGTTGGCCAGTTAAACAAACTGTTTATTCATATAACAAACAATAAAAAATTATAAGAGGTAAATAAGCGGTAGTAGTAGATGAATACCTTTCATCATTTTAACCAAATTGCCATCTAATATAGAATCTGAAAATTGTAAATACAATTGTGTTGGAACTCCATAACATGATTGAGTTGGAACAATTTACCAAATCTGATCTTATGGAATAAGTACAAAAATATTCTTGCCTAAGCTCCCACAATCTAATTTCTAACAGATAATGGTACAACAAGTTTCCATAAAAAGTCACTCCACTTGAGAGGGTAAACTATTTATGTAACCCTTCTCAGACTCCACAATAGCAGGAGCCTCATGCATCAAGTTGCTCTTTGCAAAGGTAGATGCTTTATGTTTAGTGACAAAAAAAAACATCTACCACAATAGCACAGCTCATATCTAGTTTTTATTACTTAGTTGAACATACATCCAGATTGTGAAATTATGTAGTTTGTCCAATAAAAGGCACAACCAACCTAATAAATAGACCAATGCTCACAGGTAGTTTGTCAACTTTTGGACCTCCCTCTCTCTAGTGACAAAAGGGAGAAGGCTAATGAAACTATGCTCCATTGTGCCACAGTTGAAACTGCCATGCAGATTTACTATATTTAGCTTTTCATTGGTCCCGTATGATACAAGCATTTGAACATATAGGAACATAAAATAAAAGAGAATGGCAAATTTTACCATCAACTTGTTAAAATAACAATCACGACCAAAATTTCATGAGGCAATTTAGCAAAACTAAAAATTAAGGATAGCCACATGTATCAATGTTCAAGTATGATCCATAAACCAGACCTGGTCCACTTGGAAGAAACAACACAATACAAACTAAAGTGATAATGATTAGTTGGTTGAATGCAAATCCACTGGACTGCTTTGAGCACCAGTTAAATTGCCCACCTTAACACTGATACTTGTGCTGATAAGCTTAACACGATTCTGTTAAATAGGTTACATGTAAAAGACACTGCTTTTCCATGGTATAACCAACATTGTACATTTTGCATGACAAAGTACCTTGATCAATCTCCCACTTGAAGTTAAAGCCTTCAATTTTGCTGATAACAACTGTTTAAAATCTGTGGGAGGCCAATACCGATCCTACATGAGCCAGATCAAGAAATATATCAGCCATTACAAAAGAATAGGTAAAGCATTCAATCAAAATGGATCTGATTAGTCAAGCGATTGCAACGCAAGATATGAGATCTACAAACAGAATATCTAAGATCCTTGAATTTTCCAGTTTGTGATGATCAACAGAATGCTTGTCCAGTTGGTCCTCATTTATGTAAAGGTGGTAGGTATCTTAATAATTATAGAACAAAAAGAACGACACTATTGACATTCTTTTCTTTCAAGTTCATCTTTAAATTTAGACAGAGGGATGAACATGAATGTAGTTATGTTTAATGATGAAAACATATTCAGTCAAAATTTGCTAAAACAAAGCTTAAATGATATTTTTATAAAAAAGAACCCATCTGGTTTGGCATTTTGCACATTGTCCGCTAGAATTCTGATCAGCCTTGATCTAGTTGTCCTATTCCCTAACTCCAATTCTACATACATAATGCATTCATATGTGTATACAATCACATACTAAAAGATTTATAGCTGACCTGGTATCCTATCAGCAGGATTGAGGGCTCAATCCTGCTGACTGAAAATCATTATGGAATCTAAAATCAAGCCCAAAGTTCAATGCCCAAGGCTCCTTCAGTGTGGGGTATGAGGAGAGTCCATGTAACCTCATAAATCTTAGTAGAGGGGCTATATCCATAAACAGCATCATGTCATTCTAAATTCACCCTTCCAATGGACATAATATCCAACATATAAATAATTGACATAAAAAAATCATATGTTCTGAAGCCCCCCAACATATTTATCAAATGTATATAAAATTTCAGTAGTATTAGCGAACATATTTAATTTAAGTAAAAGAACTGGCTTCATACTCCAAATTGAAATTAACACCATTCAACATTATATAGAACATCTAAAGTTACAATTGCTGGTGGTAATTTCCAATATATTTAATTCCTGTAGCAAAATACTGCCTCAATTTTGTATATATATATGTTCTTTCCTTTTAGTATAGACTGCATTGCTTCATATTAAAACTGGCAGCATTTATTCATCTTCCTCCCCTACTTTGACCTCAAGTTATATCCTTCAATTGTAGTTTGTGTTGGATCAGTTTCTGGGCTGAAACATTAGCTTGCACCAAAGCATAGAGTTACCACTGGAGTTGTACCTGTCTGAAATTAAAAGAGAAGATCGCACTCATATTCAATTGTTCCAGAGGAAGAGAAACACAGGCTTCATTTCCAAAGCTTTGATGAACAAATACATTTCATAATCTGTGAAAAAAAATCTCTAGATTTCTCCTCCAATTGGCAAAGATAAATATTCATTCATCTAACAAACAAAGCATACTTACAAGTTACAAAGCCCCTATATTGAAAAGGCACAGAAATTTTAGAATTATCTAAAGCTAAAGGTAATGGTTAGAGCATTTTTTTTATACCATTCCAAGAGTTGAAAAACTTCTAAACATGATAATTGAGTTAAAATCAGCAGAAAGCAAAAAAATGAAAACAATCTTTTAGGAGTTGCAAAAAGCTCTCTCAGATTTCAGAACCAATAAACACAAACAAGAAAAGAAAAGGGATCAGAATAGTAAAAGAATTACAGGAGGCTCAAAACTGTAGAAGCAAGAAAAATAAGATAGTGCCATATAGAAACAAATATTTCCAAAAATAACCTCTAATCTGAATATACAAGCAAAAAGAAAGATGGGCTTACCACCAGTTCACAATGTTTACAGGATAGTAAGTCCTGTACCTTATATGGACAGCCCACAATTGATGGTCTACATGTATGTTCATGCCTGTATAGGTAAATACTGATCGATACATACCATTCCTGATGAAATTGCATTTATTGACTTCATATACTATAGAGAAAAGAGAAAGAGACATTTATGCAAGCCAACCTAACTCAAATAAGTTGAGCCAAGTACCAAATAACATGAATGCATATACAACTGCAGTAAAAAGGTAGTATATGGCCTTTGACACATATGTTAGGTGTTATATTTTTTATTTTTCAAGAAAACCAAAAACAGGAATTATCTGAAAGAAGGGAAAAAACCTCTATATACATGGCAATAGCTGCCTTGTCAGACCCAGCGGGCTCCTTCAAATTTGTTACAGCTTCCAGTATCAGAGTGTCTAGCCTGCATATGAGAAAAAGAAACCCAATAGATTAACTCATAATCAATACAAAGAAAAAATGATAACAAAAACTACCAGTTACAGCTAGAAGCCATGGTACGAGTGGACACTGCATATAACGAAGAACAAAAGGTGCTAAAATTTGAATCTACCAGTGTCCTTTTTATCACTGCTATCATTGTTATGTGGAAAAGGGATCATACAAAAAAGATAGGACTTCAAAATTCGAATCTACCAGTGATGTAATTATTAAGATCATTGTTTTATGAAAAAGGAAGTTCACAGAGAGTCAGGATCAAAAAGTACTAAGTACTGAATAGAATGCAGATCAGGAGTTTTCTTATTACTGTAGGTACTGTTAATCCCAACAATCAGGGGTTTTCTTATTACTGTAACTGCTGCTGTTAACCCACAATCATTTTGTTTCCTTCCAGTGAGTAATAGAAACTTGCCAGAGAATGTAGCTCAAGATGTTGGAGGATCCAAAGATTCAATTTGAGATAAGTAATGAAGAGATGTGCTTGCATATCATGTTGGAAAGTGAACCTGTCAATAGAATATGTACAAAAAAGAGTATGGTAAGTAGAAACCAAGTTTCAAATATATGATGGGCCGGTACATACCAACCAGTATTTACTGGTCAACCAAGAATTGACATTTAATCATAGAGATCGGTATGGTTGGTTTTATTAATTTTTTGGTGACACTAAGGAGTACAAATCAATATATATGTACCATAATGGTTTGACTAAGGACCAATACAGAACAATATAGGCTGGTACAGTTAGTTTTATTAGTTTTTCTAGTGATACTGAGCAGCAGAATAAGTATCAACAGAGACAAAAAAGAATGAACATCTTTAAGCCCAAATATAGATTCATAAATCATATACCATTGTTGTGACTTTGAAATAAGATGGGAAAAAAATGAATGCAGATCATAAGTTACTGGTGACAAAGGCCCAAATTGAATTGAGATAGGAAAAGAGAACAAAAATGACATCAACACAAATGAGTATATGGTCAATATCTGTCGCCTTGGAGCATGAAACAATTAAGCAATAACCAAACCAACCTGAACAGAGACCTCTTCTGACCAGTAGTTTGATGTGGTTCACTAGACATGGTAAGAGGCTTGGCGTCAATAATTTCTGTGTCTGTATCCTCGACCGTTGTTCCAACAGACACTAGTGCACCATCATGCCTGGAGATCTGTCGGCTCTTTTTCAAAGCTGCCCTGGCCTTTCCTCGAGATCCCCATCCATATGCAGTTACATTAATATTCCGCCACTTGTCCTGCTCAGTCAAAGACAAGTACCTAGTAAGTTATCAAGGAAAAAACAAAGAAAAAGTGACGAAGAAAAGAACTTTTGCCCACATACATTTTACAAAAGAAGCTATACCTTGAGGTCAACATTAGATCGCATGGATAATACACCACTAAATTCTGGATCTTTCAAAATTGTGCGCCATTTGCCAACCCCATGCTTACGTACTCCAGCTTTGAGAGCAGCTTCTTCCTCTGGTGTCCATCTTTGCTTGGGAGCACCCATTGGTGAGATTAGGGCTTCAACTCAACAGCAAATATCTAAATTCTAACCTGGTATTTACACATGAATTGACCAATGCATCAAAAGTCACACAATGAACACTAACCAAAACAAATTGGAAACTAGATCATGTTCCTGATTGAAATTGGTGAGAATGGTAAATAAAAAAAATGTCAATTTTAATTACACGATCATATTATCTACAAAATGCAGATCAGGAACATCCAAACCGCATTAACTACACCAGTGACCAAGGCTTTTACATTCTTCCGAAAAACATGGAGGAGATATAAACTACAACAAAAGTCTATGATTTGCACACTGCAAAAGAAATCAGCAAGTCTGCGTCACCGAGTAAGTGGTGATTCAAACATGCTTCATTCGCATTTTATGCGCTTTAAAAAAGTGAGCAAAAGCAATAATGCGATCGCTATCACGGAGTCAAAAGATTCAGCAAACTGAGCAAGACACAATTTTAGATGGTAAGTAGTAGTCAAATAACCTAACCGGATGAAGGATCATATCCTCTACAAGTGTTATCAGAGAACCAGATGGATGTCAAGAGTCAAGACAACAGCACGGATCGAGATGTACAGCGACGCAATACCGTGATCATCTAAAAATACGAGATAAGAAGATCTGCCTAATTATTTCTTTATTCTTACCCAAATCATCAAAACCCTGAATTCATGTTGATCTGCCTAAACTAAAAAAAAAAAAAAACCAAAAATCAGATCATGAGAAGACGATTCTAAACATTAAAAAAATCATTGAAAAATAAAAAATCAAAACTCAAGCAACCAAATATCAATCCAATCAAGAAAATTTCAAGCAAAGAACAAATTGTCTAAAAGCATTTGAGAAATTCGAAGGAAAAAACCCGGCAACCATCCGATCGAAGAGGAAACAAGGACGACGGAAGAGAAGAGCGAAGGATACGAAGAAACAGATCGTAACCTTCTGCGGTGACCATAGATCGAATTCGATGACGCGAGTTCTCGCGATGAGCTCGCTTGCGACCATAATGGAATAAGAAGCCCTAACCCTAGATCGATAAAATCCAGCGCAGACCCTCATACCAACGAGCACCTCCCCAGAAGTTTCTCGTCCTACGTGGCAGCATCAGACAAAACGCGCCTTGCGGGACCCGCAGATTAGGACGGAAAGAGGTGCCCTACAGTTGGCTTTACAGGGTCGGGTTTAGTCGGTTCGGGTTAAGATAAGTCCGATTTGCAATGGACGTCGGAGATTTAAGCGGGGGGTTGTGTGTCGGGTTGGATAGGTACCGTGTCGGACCCAAATGGACATCAATTGGCCCGGTCCGGTTTAACGTTCTCCTTCCCCCGACCCGGCCCATCCCTTTTCCGTCGTCTTCCTCGACGGGTTCTCAACGCCAAAACCCTAAATCTTGGGGATAAAGAGAAGTGCAGCAATTCATCAAATCTTCTCACAGAGTTGGATTCCTCTCTTCTGGAATTCCGTTTTGCAATTGGAGATCTTTTTCTTGAATTTGGTCAAGTACTTTCGATCGTCAAGCCACGCTCATGAACACCAGAAAGAAAGAAAGAACGAAAGAAAGAACGATCTTCCATGCGCTTTTCTCTTTTGTTTCTCTTTCGATAGTATGCACGGAAACTTCAATGCCATTTTGAATTTGTTACAACCATTAGTGCCATGTTCTCGGGATTCGATAGCCATACAACACAAAGAGGGTAAGAAGGTGGCCGCGGCAATGAACGGCGGCGGTATTAGAGTTTCCTTTTTATTAACTAAAAAATATATTTTTATTTATTTTTATTCTATCCATGAGAAATTAAATATTTTTAATATATATATTTTTTATCTTGATAAAATTATAATTTTATCCTTAAAAAATTAAATATTTTTTACTTATATCTTTAATTATGAAATTAACTAATTTAACATGTTATTTTGATCGAATTTGATTCTGATTGTATCTTGATTACTTGATTGAATTTAGATTCAATCATTATCATCTTAATCAAATTTAAAAAATTTAAATTTAATTAATATTTTATTTTGATCGATTTTAATTTTGATTGATCCAATTGGATTGATGTTTAGTCAAAATCTATCAAACCAAGTTTATGTAATCAAATTTTAGATCTACTCAGTTAAATAGGATTGATTTATCTAATTTACGATTCAATATTGAATATATATATATATATATATATATAATAGATTTTTGTTATAGTTTTCCCATATAGAATAATCATAAAATCTTACTTGTCATAATTAAATTTAAATTATTATTTTTGAATATTTATGCAGTTATTCATATTCATATATCTTGAAATTATGAAATGATTTTTATTTTTATATAAACAACATGATTTATGATTTATCATTATTACAATTATCATAATTTTTTATACTGATTAATATTTAATAAATATTTTGAATTATTATTTTAAAAATTTAAATTATTTTGATATAAATCAGATTAAAGAAATTTGCTAAAGTTTTATTTGACTAGTAGATGTTAAAATGGCCTGATACATTTACGAGATGTAAATTATAATAAATATATTTTATCATTTATAAAATTTTTAAAGTTATATTTTATATTATTATATTGGTCTTATAGCCATCAAAGTATATTGAATTAATAAACTTATTAAATTATATTAAAGAATTAATTTTAAAAAATATTAAAAAAATAATATTTATGATAACACACATAATTAGAATATTTTAATAATATAAAAAAATTAATTTACTTTAAATAATTATGTTATGGAGTTAGATAATACTTTTTTGGATGTCTTTACTATTTATGGTTGTATAGGTAAAGATAAAAATATTACTTCACCAGAATGGTATTTTACATAAAAAATAATAGTAAAAATTATTAACGAAGTATGACATTATTACATTATTTTTTTAAAATTTATCTAATGACTCATTAAAAATTATTATTATATTATTATGATACATCGAAGGAAGTATAACATCAATGACATATAATACTTACATTGATAGTTAGACTTAATATTATATTATTATATTTATTAGATTTATTGATCTATTTTATAAAATTCGTGTAAGATATTTTTTTTAAATCTTAAAATTTAATTAAGTAAAATTATTTTTAAATAATCTTTTATTTTATTTATTTTAAATTTAATTTTTTATTTATTTATTAATTAATAAATTAAGTGGGAGAATATTAGATTACGTAGATAAGATATATTATAGATACGAAATGAATTATGATTAGATAAGTAGAAAGAAAGTATAATTTTGATAGAAGAGAATATGGTGATTACTTAAGTTAAACCCGAAAGGATTACAATATTATAAACGATGAGAATTGTGTTCACATGGAAATCTTTAGTTCGGGTCTCCTCAGGAAAGGTCCGCCCTGTCTGATTCTGCTGCAGAAGTCAGTCAAGCAGTCTTCGATCTCGAGCTTCTGTCACCCCGAAATGGCTTCGAGCAAAAGATTCCAAGCTGCAGAACTTTTAAGTCTTATCAATCTGAACTCAACACCGATTCAAAGTCCAACAGTTGATATCGAGTCTTTCCTCTCTGTGCATCAGCAGCTGCGTCGTCATGGACTTGCCTCTCTCCACCACCATCGACCGCCACCCACTCCCCCTCACCAAGCACTCCTTCATCATCTCCGCCGCCACCTCCGTCGAAGCGCCGTCGCCCCCAGAACGCCGGATACACATACCGACGACTCTCTCTAACCTTCTCCACCTCCACCTCGCGTCGAAGCCCGACGGCCGGACAGTTGACCACCCAACCCCCACCGTCGACGACGCTCCGGCCTTCTCCCCGAAAGAAGACATCTCCTCCCTCTTCCCGGATATCCACGGACGCGCCGACTGGTGTCGCCTCCTCAACCCCCTCCACCCCTGGCTCCGCCGTGAGATCATCAAATACGGGGAGCTCGCGCAGGCCACCTACGACGGATTCGACTTCAACCCCTTCTCCGAGTTCTGCGGCAGCTGCCTCTACGGCCGCCACCGGCTCCTCGAGAAGCTCGGCCTGTCGAGGAGCGGCTACGAGGTGTCCACGTACGTCTACGCCATGTCCCACGTCGATCTCCCCGCCTGGCTCGAGCGCTCAATCCATGCGGACGCATGGAGCACGGAGTCCAACTGGATGGGCTTCGTCGCCGTGAGCGACGACGAGGAGTCCCACCGCATCGGCTGCCGCGACGTCGTCGTCGCCTGGCGAGGCACCATCGCGCCGACCGAGTGGTTCGAGAACGTACAGGGCAAGCTCGAGCCGCTGGGGGACGGCCACAGCGCCGTCAAGGTCGAGCATGGCTTCCTCGGTGTGTACACATCAAAGAGCGAGAGGACGCGCTACAACAAGACCAGTGCGTCCGAGCAAGTCATGGCTGAGATCAAGAGGTTGGTAAATCATTACAGACGGCAGGGGGAAGAGGTCAGCCTGACCATCACCGGCCACAGCCTGGGCGGCGCGTTAGCTCTGCTCAACGCCTACGAGGCAGCGTCCGCCATGCCGGACCTTCCTGTCAGCGTCATATCCTTCGGCGCACCGCGCGTCGGCAACGCCGCATTCGGCGATAGGCTCAAGGAGATGAACGTGAAGGTACTGAGGGTGGTGGTGAAGCAAGATGTGGTGCCGAAGATGCCCGGGATCCTATTCAACGAGGGGCTGAAGAGGCTGGAGAGCGTGACCGGAAAACTGGGGTGGGTGTACAGTCACGTCGGCCTCGAGCTCGGGATCGACGTCCGGTCGTCGCCGTTCCTCAAGCGCGGAATCGACGTCGCCGGATTCCACAATCTGGAGGCCTACCTGCACTTGGTCGATGGATTTCGCAGCTCGGACAATGGGTTCAGGAGCAGCTTCAAGAGGGATGTGGCGCTGGTAAACAAGGCCAGTGGGATGCTGAGGGATGAACTCAAGATACCACCTTGCTGGTATCAGGTAGCTAACAAGGGAATGATGTGCAATGTTCATGGGAGATGGATGAAACCTGCAAGAGAGCAGGAAGACATCCCTTCACCTCATGCACAAACACCTGATCCATGTCAAGCTTGAGCTTTGTAATGGAGCCAAGCTTGCATCATTTAGCTGTACATCATATTGTTCATCAATCAGATCAAATAGCAAGCAATAACACAGGATCACTGATTGCAAATTTCATATGAACTCGTAGCACAAACATATCAGATTGTGTATAATTAAGCCATGGGAAACGTTTTATCAACAGCATCTACAAACGGAAAGAAGGGAAGGAAGAAAAGAAAAGTATCACTCACTACTACAATCAATACCAACTCATGGGGAATTTTATCATCTACAAACAGAAAACATAATACAATCACATATACAACAAGGAGATGCATTTCGCTGGTGAAACTTCTGGCTTCTCAGATAGGCAAGGATTTCCTGATGAAGCATTCCTGGAAGAATTTACCAATTTGTGTTAGCTTGCTTGGCTATTAGATGAACATTATGTAGAGCAAAAGAGAAATGTACCTTATAAAGATGTAGTTCTCAACGAATGCGAGTGAGCATCCTCGAATTGGTCGGCATCATGAAGCTTCTCGGTGCTCAAGCAAGGTGGAATGTAAGCTGCATATATGGATTCCATATTTGGGATTTCCTTTGTACCCTCGCACGCTACTTCAAGAGGAGTGTGGAAGAAGGCAAGATAGAAACGCTGTTTGCACACATAAGCAAAGATAAAGGAGATGGCGATAACAGGAATCAGAAACGGAGCGTAATAGAATTTCCGCAATATGCCAATGTAGCCAAGCATGGTGATCTGATAGACAATCAGAGCTGCAACAATCCGTGCATGCATGTGAGGCCACATTCGGCCATTGCTCTCATACCGAGGGACATAAACTTTCAGTGCCTGCATTAGAGAATGTAATCAGATTCTTGTTTGAACAGGGCTATTATGATATCAAAGAGAGAATCCACAATTCAAATATCAAAGCAGTTTCCCTTGAATCGTCTTTTGCTATGATAGATGACATCTAGTCTAAGAGAATTGAATGTAAGCAAAAATGTTGAATTATCTACTGGAATTCACATTTGCAAATTAATCTACGGAAGAATTCAAATTAACTAAAACTAGAACTTTGATTAGGATGCTTAAGATTTTCCTTGTTAAGAGTAAACAGAGCAGTGACTCACCTGATTACGTGCAACAAGCCAACCGAGGCCAAAGTACACCACACCAAACGGAATTATTATAGGAGCTATTACTGAGTAACAGAGAACAATTGTGACGATAAGCATGTCGTTGGGAAATCGAGTAGCATAACCAAAATCACTAGGAGCCCAAGCCTCTTTCACCTCGGCTTCAGTTTTACAAAGATACTTCTTTTTGAGATGAAAGATGATAAGAGGAACCAAACGCGAAAGTTCAAGCCCATAGCCAACGAAGAATCTGAGACCCAATTAAATATATAAATCAATGCTCTCTCATAATACAAGTAGAAAAAGACATTAACATCCATATTTTAAAATATTAAATTAGATTATGATCGAGGCTGAAGGGATAGACTCACAGGTGAGTGATGCATAAATTAAATAATAACTCAAACAGGAAGAACAATAACTAAGGCATTGACACCTCAGAGGAACCAGTGTGTTTAACATACCCCTAGCGATACAATGCGCAGAAGTTTAGACGAAACGATGAAAACTGAACAGATAGGAAACAGCAAGAAATTAGAAATGTAATTGAGATATAAATGGTAATTTAGTAATTATGTAAGCTTTCATGGTTAAATTTTCACATTTGTATACGAGTCTCTATTAAGTGTGTCATTATAATTACTCCTTCTCTGCCTACCATTCGACTTATTGTTCTTTTCTTCAATCTATTTCTTTCCTCTCTCATTGCTGTTGATGTGATGCTTCGCATTCGATCTACTCAGGTGGTCATGTTTTTTGAAAAAAAAGGTTGATTAAATGCGTGAAGTTTCAACCAATGTGTAGTCCAGGGTGGGTCAATGTATGTAGTTTACCTATGCAAAGTAGGGAGGCAATTAAGCTTTCTAGACAGTATCTGAAAAATCTAAAGCAATTTTACAAGCAAATGGTCAGAACAGATCTTGAAAAAGAATTTCTACATCTTACTAGGTCCTAATCTGCTTGTTCAGCATCATGACATTGTCATCATGACATTGTTCTGCTTGATCAAAGAAATCTGTTTTCCATGAAAACTACTCCATATACTTACATACAACGAGAAAAGAAGCAGTAACTCTCCCACCGCAGCATATGCTAAACCTGTCTTTCATCTTTTATTGAATTAATTGAAGATGGAGGATCAAAGATTTCATGGAAGATGACGAGTGTTACATTACTCTTCCACCTGTTCTTCTAAATGTAGCATAAAGAAACACATTGATTAAGATGCTTATCAAGTTTTTTCAATGTCAATACTTCCAAACATTGTTAATTCTAGCAACATGGATAACTTGGTCTATTATAACCAGCATCCCCACTGAACACTTACTATTAGTAACTGGGTCTATTATAATGTTTAATTAAAGATGTAATAACTCATATGTTAGTTGAACTATACAAACTACATCATGTGCTAGTTGGTGAAGAACAAACATGACTTGCCAGAGTAACTATTGATATATTTGACAGCTTGTAGTTAAGAATAGAAAAGGAATATAATCATCCCTTTAGTCAGAACTTTGCCTCGTATAAGTGGAACTATGAAACAGTCTCAAGGTTGATAGATGTCATATTTCATGCAATCTACTAATCAAGGAAACAAAATAGTAAAATAAGCATGATTTATGAAAAGAAATTGGAGAGAAAAAATGAAAAGAATCATACTTCAGTGCAACATAGGTGAGGAAGAAGGTGGCACTTTTAGGGAGGCTCGATCCAAGCAGAGTGATAATTTGACTGGGTTTCTTAATAATTTCCTTTAGTGAACCATACAATGTCCCACCAATTGTTACTCCAAGGAAGACATTGAAGACAATGAAGTAGAAGTACTTCCCAGAGGCAGCTCGCACTGCATGACTCTCAGAGGGTATTCCTTCTTCCTTTGATAGATACATAAGGAAAGTTGGCAACAAAGCCATGAACACTAGGAGTGCGATTTGAGGCAGGTAAGCTTCCAAAACAGTTTTGATCTCTGGTTGATCTACTATTTTCTTCAAAAAGGGCAGATACTTCTTCAAGTTTTCCATCGTTGTAAAGGCCGAGACAAACGCAATTGGGATCATGTAGAAGCATACGGTGAGGAAGACTATGCCATAGACAATCAAAGATCTTATCTCTCTCTCGTAGAACTTCTTTGACAAATTTGTCCACAGAACCTGCTGTGGCTCTGGAGCTTCCATCATAGTCCATGTATCAATCTTTTGAGCATGGATCGTCTGGCTAGCAGAAACAGCAGCAGGCTTGCTGCTGAAGAAAACAAGAGCTGCACCTTGTTGTTTCTCTTTTAGAGTGATCTTTTGTTCAGCCTCTAATTTAGGCAGCAATTCCTGTATTTTCTCATTACAGTGATCAATGGTATCAACTTTTGGACCTACGAGACCGAGAAAGCCAGTTCTGTTGGTGGGCCTTGTACCTTCTGGTTTCCCTGTAGTTTTAGATTCTGCATACACAACTTCAGCTCGAGCAAGTTTCTTTCTGTAACCTTCTTTCTCTTCCCAGATTTTGTTGGCCTAAAAGAAAGGAGAGCAAGAGTAGGTGATGTGTTACCATAGCAGGTTGAACCATAAGTATCTATAATAGCAGCATAGGAGTTATGTACCGTTTTGTTATCTGTGACAACCATTGACTTGTAGAATGTTTCTGGATGAAGTGCTCTAAAGTATGAGTCAACATGATCCTTCATAGATTGACCTGGAGGAGCTGCTGGTATGTCCCTGACCAATATGGCAAACTCTTCAGGTTTTACTACTGCACTTGTTTTTGCTCCAGCTCTCAGATCTGAAACATGTGTGTAGGATTTCCAGAGCACATAGTATGTGACAAAGGAAACCCAATATACTCCAAGCAGAAATGCCCACAACCTTGAACTGCCCTCCTGGAATAAACAGAAAACAAACATCTATGAAAGGCAAATAACCAATAAAAAAAACTATCCTAGAAACAACCAGGCAGCCAATGTAGTTAAAAATTACATGCAATCAAGATTCCAGGAGTGTAACAACTAGATGCAGAAATTACCATTTCTTTTACATTACTTACATCTAAAATTGACACAAAATATCTCCAACCTGCTCTGGTACTAGAGAGATTCTAAAAGGAAAAAAGAGGAGCCAACACCATGCGTGTGCGTGCACACACACACAAAGAGAGATGCTGATCTAATTTTGTTTCTCATGACTTGTCTTGCTTACAAATTTTCTAAGGTTGTACTTTATGAATGCCACACTGACCAGGTTAAGTTAAATTCCTTGACCTGGTAATTTTAATCCTTTGTAACTTGAAGATGTTTGGCAGGTTAAACCTTAAACCTCAAACCACCAATTTAACCCTTTGTCAACCTGAATCAAGACTAAATCTGAACAGTTGGTTACATTATTTTATATTTAGTTTAAATACTGCTCATTATATCAGTTATTGATCAGACCAATGCTTAAATAAAATCCATTTCAGTGAAATTTACTAGTCATTTGAAAGTTGATTATACAGACAAGAAAGAAGAAAAACGAACAACATAAAGGGGTCTAAAATCAGTGTCAGTGAGTATAATAAATGAATGGATTGCAATGAACAAGGAAAAACAGTTCCTATTTAAGCCCTACTGCTTGTCACATGCCATGACACCCGAGTGAATATTGTATTTTCTTCTTCACATTCGTCAATATTGTTGCATCATCGTCGTCTAAACAAACGAAAGACAAGACCAGGATCAAGGCTTTAAATCTCGGTCTAATACTGAATTCAATAACCTACCAGATTGACATACCAACCCCTATTACCTGGTATCATCGAATAAAATATACAGACACATACTAGCAATATAACTTACTTTGACATGTCCCATCGTTAACTTGTCAAGGTTCTTGAAGGTTCCCTGGCTGTTGCTGTCGATAGTAGATCGTGTACCATTATCAGTTGCCGCAACCGGAAGAAGAACTGGAAGAAGAATAATTCCGGAGAAGACCAATATCGCTAAAACTGCATCAACAAATGTGTCAATCACTCAGGGGTTTTGGAGCCGTGCCTTTCCTTCCTCGCTAATTCTCAGTTAAAGCAACAAGCAGGAAGCACCAAGGTAGTAAAGTTATTATTTACGTAGCTAGTGCACCTCTATCACATATAATAACATAACAGGAAAAAGCTGAATTCATCTATAAAATGAAGTGTACCCGTCGAACATGAGTTGTTTGTCCTACAAAATGACAGTGTATGCACAGTTAACACATGGTAGACACTGGATTAAACTAGTTATTTGATCAAAAGTAAATTATATTTGCTTAATTTATTGATAACAGTGACAAACGGTGCGACAGGAAGAAAATTCTAATAAGGTTTTAGAATTCTATCATTACTTTAAATCCATAAAATCAAATTAATCACCAAGCAGCTACAAAGAATTAGGAACAAACGAAGATGACTAATCTCCAACCAAGGAAAGCTGAAGACCTGTTAAAAATACAATAATTTAAATCCACGAGACCGTTCAAACTCCTAATGGCCGAGAAATCAGCAACCAAGAACCAGGAAACCAAGAGTTTTTGGTCATAGAATGCCTCGTCGCATATCCAAAAGAACTAACCCCTTATTTTCAAAGACAATACTCGCTGAATTGAAGTCGGAGAAACGTCCACGAGCATCCCAACACCTATCCATAAATGGCATCAAATATTCGATTGAATGCTTACATAACATCTCAATGCCACCTCAAAGTTCTTAGGAATTTAATGATTCTTTCAGCCAAATACATTCAAGATTTCTAAGTGAAGCTAAAGATCGTGTCTTTATTTTTAGCATCAAACCAATGACTTAAAGGAATCAACTTCTTACAAATATTGGACTTAGTAATGGAATTCAAAACTTTTATTGCTAGAAATGATGAAATAGGGTCAATTTTTCACGCTTATAATGCAGAGGAAGGACACAAACTAATCATATTCAAGGAAATTTATGTCCGTATTAACACCTTGAATCACTAGATTCGACCAAATTAGACACTCTTGAATGGTTCTAAGGAAATGCAAGTCAACACGAAACTCTCCAAATTAGCCAGAAAGATGCAACCTTGAGACGAACCGTGAACACTTTTAACACAACAGGAGTCGACGCCATACCGGAGCTGAGGAAGACCAGGTAGACGGCGGCGTCGACGCCGGCGACGGCGATGACGTCGGCCTCGGACGCTTTTACGGCCTCCTTGATCCAAGTCAGGGGGTTCCTCGTCACCGTCCGCCCTTCCAGGGGATCCAAGCCCCTCAGGATGCGGTTGGGGTAGTAGATGACCGCGTTGCCGGGCTTCCTGTTCAGCCATGTGAACACTAGCATCAACACCACAAAGATGATGAGGGACGTCCCCAGCGACGTCACGAAGGAGCTAAAATCCATCCTTTCTCCTTCCTCTCCTCCTCCTCCTCTTCCACCTGCTCTTCTACTACAGTAGCTGTGCTAACTACCCGTTGCTTCCTCCTCCCTTCTTTATGTACTCATCACTCTTGGAATGGTGGGTGTTACAAGTGGCCGTTTGGCTCTTTCTTTCCTTTTTCTCGCTCCCTGTGTATTGGAACCTTTTTGGGAAGAGAGAGGATAAAAGGAGGTGGTTTTGTAATGGAAATGCCTCTTCTTTTGCTGCTTATCTTGCTGCGGCTATTTCTTCTTGCCGAATGCAATCAATTGATGCGGAAATGAGCTGGGCGAGATGGTGATGGAATGATAGCTTTCGTGGCCGAAAAGGATTTCGAGTATGAAAGAGGAAAAGAGAGATCTGTGGAGTGTTGTTGACGCAATTACTTGGGTACCCCCTGGGCACGCACTTACCTTATCTTCTGTTCTTCCATGTATTGAACGGCATGACTGGCCTCGTGACCTTGTTCGATGTCATGGCCTCTTTTCTTGCAAGTTGAGAAAAAAGAAATCGCAGAGGGTGAGCGAGGCACATGTTGATTTCTTTGAGATGAATTCCAAAGATGATAGAACAGAATCAGGACTTGTTCTGACAAGGGAACAAAAGGTGATGCGATCCAGCATCAACGTGAGAAGCATCATTACATCCTGCACAAGGGCAGACAGGGCGGCCACACCCTTCTAATTCGTGGCAACTCTCCTTGGATCAGTAACACCAAACCAAAAGGCAAATTACTTGGGACAGCGTTGAGCATGTTTGCTCGGAGAGAATAAAAAGGGGTTTTCATTGCACAGACAGATGGGGCTATAAATAATTGCCTTGTCTTGACGTTGAGAACTGTAGCTCTTCAATCTGCAACAGCTGTGGACAGTAGCAGAAGTTTGAGTTTGAAGTATGCTGTAAATTGGACTCCAAGTGGACTATAAACTGTAGATTTTGTCTTACTATATTTAAGATCCAAAGTGAATCTAAAAGCTGCACAGTGTCCGCTGACAAAGCTACAGCAAGCCCGATCCATAGAAAAATCTTATGGTACAAATAATTAGAGAAATATACAACCTATCATGCCAGAACATTAAAGTACATGGACAACCAGGATTTTGAACACAGACTGCCTGATAGAGGACAAGACAAAGATAAAGATGGTTGAGCTATGAATCTGGTGATCTCAAACCAAACTTCTAATCGGTCTGCCTCTGATCCTTCTTCATATCACAAAACACCAGAAGAAAATACAAACTCGCTCCTCTCTGCTTAATTTCTTTGTGACATTTTATCGAACACGTCAGTGATCGAGATGTATGCTCCCGAGGACGTTTTGGTCATTTGAAAGATAAGGGTAAGGGCAGTATCGTCACACCGCTGGGGGGACTGTCGGCCTCGCGTCGATCACACGTCTTCGTGTCGGCATGACACGTGGCGGCTTCATATGCGCTGCCGACAGAGCCGTTTTGACCGTTCCGAGCGTCGAGATCGCAACGGTTACCCAGCGGATCTGCTCCCGTGACGCACGAGGGTCTATGGCACGCGGAAAACGTACCCCCGCTTCGCGAGCCCCGCGGAGACCGACGTGGACCACCCACCGTCGCCAATAGATTTGGCTGGTGCGTTGACCCCGTGCCATTCGGACGTGGCGTTACCGCGGTCGTCATAAATACGTTCGGTTCCGTTATTTATTGGCGGGTAAACCGGCATGCGGGAACGTGGCGCGACGTCGTCCACAAGCTCGCTGACAGTTTTTATCCAGCAGCAAACACCACAACATGCAATTAGATCGGGACTCGTGGACCCTAATATCAGTGATTCCTTCTAGTTTGCTGTCTGCTGCTCGGTGTGGAACAGCTTCCATCGGAAGATTTCTAATACAACGACAACCGCACCATGTGAGCTGCTACCGCATCTAGTTGAGTTGTGCCTGTCGATCTTGTGGCCCTGAACTGGCCCCACGTGTCCTATCACAGATTAAGTCTATCCGCCAGAGGTGTAGAAAAAGTATTATTAATAGAAGAAATAAAACAAGAAAAGAAGAGGAAGATATTGTTGTCAATGACGGGGCCACAAGGGACAAAACCCAGGAGTTGATGTGGCTCACTTGTCAACAACAAGATTTAAATGCTTGTCTGAGAGCATGGAAAGAAGAAGAAGAAAAAAAATCTGACCAACCTGCGTATATTTTTCAGAGGCTTTTAAAAGCACGTCATACAGCTATGGACAAAAGTCTTATGATGATAGTTAGTTGCCACAAATCTCAATATTTTTCTGAACTATGAGAGTGGGGGGATGCGTATAGTTGCATATAGGATTGAGTAAGTCTATCATTAAGTGATTGGAACTAATGAGACTAAAAACACATCACTGCATAAAAGATTAGACCAAGCCTAACAAATCAATATTATTTTCAAAGTCTTAAATTTATAAATATGATTAAACTTAAAAGATATAGATTTCATATACTGATGGAGATATAGCTGCTGATGGGAGTTGTGGATTGTCTGACCAAAAAACTTGGACCATTAAAGCCCATTAGGTTTGACATGAGTTCAAACACAGGATTTCATCTCTATGTGAGAGTACAAATCCTTTGGAGACATCGAAAGGCCAGGTCTGTGTCCCTTTTGATTTTAGCAGCGCCAGCAGTATGCGAGTAGGAGGGAAGAAATAGATGAACATGATTAAGATCAGGAAAAAGTACCAAGTGATGATGTGAGAATCCAATCTCTCGTAGCAGATTATACTGGAAACATATGTGCTTAAGTTCATGTTAGACGCTGGAAGTTTGAAGTAATATGCAACTTCTTTCTTTCATTTTTCTCTTGGGGAAACCGAAATGAGTTCCTTTTCAAGATGTGCCATCTCTCTGTGACGAGAGAGGTATGTAACAGTTCATTTACTGCATAGGTTGTTGCTGACTTGTGTATTCCTGGATTGTTTGTGTGAATGTGTATTGCCATCATGTTCATGTCAGAGCTCAGATAGGAGAACTCTCTACGTGAAATGTCAAGGTGATACCAAACTGAAGGTATCAATGGGGAAACTGCTTCACCCTTCTATTTCAGCAACCTCTCCTTGAATCTATGGAACCCCACCAGGAGAAGAGCAGTGATAAGTAGGCTTATCATCCTTCACTTCTTCGGCCTTCTGAGAGAGCTCTTACATGAAATGGAAGCACTATGCTTCTGTGTGTTTGGTGGACCAATATCCAAGCTCCAGTGTTACAATATATATATGTATATATATATATAATATATGTAATCAAGTGTCTCTTTGGAGATGTCTGATAACATTGGAATGCTATATAAAGAAGGTTAAACATCTACACCGTCTTCCATCTCACTGAACCCTAACCTCTCAGGAAATTAACAGGCATTTGTTGTCATCAGTACCTTTTCTCTCTGATGTCCCTAGTTCTAACCTACCACATCCTTGGCCACAGGGTTTGAGATCTCCCTTGTCAATGCGACTGCAGACTTTACTACATATAGAAGTGAAAGCAGATTGTGTTTTGCTTTGCAGACAGAGCAAGATGAGAATAGTAATACAATCTATCTGTCTTTTATGTAGTTAATTCTCTGTAATGCTTCAAATGCATTGTATCCAACAACATCGTCATCATCATCATCATGAGACCCGTATCAGTAGCAGCTCAAAGGAGAACAGCAATAGGGAGATGGCAAAAAGAAGAAAAAGTGCAGAGCCAAAAGGTTGATCGGAGCACGTGAGCCATCACCCGTGGCGTCGCCATCGACGTTTCTTCTCTCTTTCTTTTCTCTCTCTCTCTCCCGCCTCGGTAGCTGAGCTAAGATAACCTACGGAGCCCTGCACGCCATGGCCGCAGAAGCTAGCGTCCTCACGTTACATTGCGTACGTACGAAACCCTGCTTTTTCCAGGTATTTATGATGGCAAGTCCGAAGAAGACCTTCGTCGTCCCTGATGCGAGAGACCTGTGTGACCGCTCACTGCCGGTCCATTGAAGTCAAGTCCACTGCTTCTGTCTAACCCAACGTTGATAGAGAAGAAAGGAGACGAGAGGCTTGCGGAGTCGTCCATCAATCGACGGATGAGACATGGGAGTCGTGCCTCCTCAATGTCAGAACGTGTCGCGAGGTTTAAAGCAGCAGATTAGGTACACATCAAGTCTCCTCTCGTGCTGCTAATGGAGTCCAACTCACAACATAGCAATGGTAGCCTGAGAACATATACATACACGATAGCGAACAGCGGCGATTGCAGAGACAAGCAAGTCATACGTGATCTCAAGGAGGCCAGCACGATTTTTAAAGCAGGGGGGTTCGGCTAGAAGTAATCGAGCCGGGCAGGTTTATTGGGCTCGTTGGACGAGCTGGACCGGGCCGAAGAGGGGACGACCGGGGGGCGGCGGGAGCGCATGAGAGCCAGGTTGAGGCCCTTGAAGAAAGGGTGCGCCTTGACGTCGGCGGCGCCGCGCCGGGAGCCGAGGCGGGTGGCCGGGTCCTTGGCGAGAAGGCCGGCGATCAGGTCCCTCGCGGCCGAGGAGGAGGAGGAGGAGGAGGAGGGGTCGGAGGGGGGCCTGGGGAAGGCCAGTGGCTGCCTCACGATGTTGCGGAGGGTGGACTCGTTGGTGGGCCCCGCGAAGGGGGTGCGGCCGTAGAGTAGCTCGTAGATGAGGATCCCGTAGGCCCACCAGTCGACGGCGCTGCCGTGGGGCCGGCCGGCGGCGACCTCTGGGGCGACGTACTCGTGTGTCCCCACGAAGGAGCGAGACCGGGCGCCCACCGGCTCGGCCACGAACCGCCGGTCCGCCTTCGATGCGCGGCGGGGCGCCCGCCGGCCGCGAAAGGGGAGGCAGGAGGGATCGGCGCGGAAGTGGTCGTCGCAGCCGACGGCCGCCGCCTCACTGGAGGCGGCGGCGACGAGGGGTTCGATTGTAGGGGAGGCGGTCGACTCCAGGGAGAGGTCGAAGTCTGAGAGCATGATGTGGCCATCGGCGCGAATGAGGATGTTCTCGGGCTTGAGGTCGCGGTAGACGATGCCGAGCATGTGGAGGTACTCGAGCGCGAGCAGCACCTCCGCCGCGTAGAACCTGCAGAGCGAATCCAATGTAAACGACATCAGCGCTAGAACAGAGCAAAAAGATGGCGTCTTTCGGCGGGTCGATCACATGAACGGATGTGCTTTCTTTCCTTCGTACGATGGTGGAAAGTAACTGTCCGATTTCTAAACAGATTGAATGAAACCTATGATTGTGATCGTGAAATCGACTTCCGACATGCGATAGCATTTGTAAGATCTTTACATGGAAACATTGGGTAGTTGCGTGGATTTGCAAGAAGTAATCGTTCGTCGTAAAAAAGTTGATCGAGGATGGGAAAAGGTGCGGTTTTTAATTAAGAAAAAGGAGGTCGATCGAGGACCTGGTGGCGGCGACGGAGAAGCGAAGGCGGGGCTGGCGGTGGCGGAGGGTATGGAGGTCACCGCCGCTGCAGTACTCCATCACCACGCAGGAGAAATGCGGAGACGCGTCGAAGTCGGCGTAGAGGGTGGGGAGGAAGGGGTGGTCAAGGACCCGCAGGATCCTCTTCTCCGTCGCCGCCCTCTCCAGCTTCTTCTTCTTCTTCAGCGCCAGCTTGTCCACCACCTTCATCGCGTACGCGCACGGAGAGGCCTCGTCGCGGAGGCGGCAGAGGTAGACGGTCCCAATGTCTCCGCTCCCGATGCGGCGGACGAGCTTGAAATCCCGGGGCCCGAGGTTGGCGTCGACGGCGCGCGACCAAATGGCCGCCCAGGCGGCGTCGGACGAGCGGTGGGGCTTCGAAGACAGCCGCGAGGGAGCGGAGGGGAGCTCGACGCCCACCGCCGGCGCAGCATCATCGAAGGAAAAGCGGCAGAAGCTACTGCGACGGTCCTCGCAGCTGCCACCGCTGCTGCTCATTGAGCTCTGGCTCGAGTTCAGCACAACCTGGCCCGACTCGCCGTCGGAATCCATCTGCAAATCCGACATGTTCGCACCAAACCTCACCCGCAAGCTCCAACGCCTCGAATCCAACTCCTTAAACAGTGAACAGCATCAAAGAAGAAGCAAAAATGACAGGAAAAATCCGAACTTTTCCCACACTGGCACAGGGGAGCACCGCAAAGACCGGGAAAAGAGGAAGCTCGCTTTGGATCTTTCTCCGGAGGCGACAAGCAAAGCGATTCCAAGGCGATTACCCAAGCAGACAGCGAAATCCGACGAGCAGCAAAGAGAAACAGAGGTTCTGTTCTCTCTCGCACTCGGGGATCGAAACTTGCCTGGAACAAGAAACCCACGAGGGAATCAAAGGAGCTCGGAGTCGTTCGGTCTCACTCACTCCACAAATCCAAGCTTCTGATTCCTCGCTCGCCTCCCACCCCAGGCTCGCACGAAAAGCGAAAACGAGCAGCGGTTGTTCGCCAAGAAGGGAACTTCAACGAAGCAAAGAATCACGACTCGCAACGCGAATCCGCCATTAGAGCAGCACCTCGCGAGTCCCGTGCGACGTCTCGCCAGTTTCCCTTGCTCGGAGAGTAGGGAGACGGACATCGAAACTACTTATACCAGCGGCGTAACGCAACACGGCTGCTCGAAGAGTAGGAGTGGCATAATGGTAAATAGGTCCAATTAGAGGGGGTCAAAGGCGAGTGACGCGTGCAAGCGAAAGATGCGTCCGGCGTCGGGGCAGAACCGTGATTTTGAGCGGTGTCCAAAAACAGAGGCCATGAAAGATTTGGTGGATAATTTGCATGAAACATCCCATCTTATCACACGTCTTGTAATTGATGATTCACTCCATAAGATATTTCATCTGTTGGTAATCGTTGACAGGATGATGATATTTAGTAGCTGACCTAACAGTTGACATACGATAAGGAATGAGTAGAAAAGGATCATTCATGGAGTGTTTAGAGGACACATCATCGTATTGGATCTCACATAGATCATGTTCTTGATCGGGATGTCAAACATTTCATGCCTAAATCAATCACACAGATGAAGAACAACTTTGGCAAAACTTTCTTTTACATCTATCTTATTGACAATATCTTTTTAATGCCTTTTGGACGACATGTTTTAATTTCAGAGACAAGGTGGGCTTCCCCTCCATTAATGACTCCCCTGTTAGGCCATGATGACAGAGTGATCTGACTGACCTATGATTTATCCAAGCAAAGCAAAGCTCTGTTACCTCCACTAGATTCAAAGATTTTTAGTCTTCAGCTGAAGATTAATGTTCATTGCTTGGGGAAGAACAGTAACTTCTCTGTTGATTGTGACATGGATACATTTCATGAATTCCTACAGCTGTTCTTTTGATGTGAAGCTTCAGGTGTTACCTCTGTTTCACCTCATGTTCATTCTTTTGGAGTTGCTGCAGCTGCTAAAAGTCATTTCCAGTGATTTATGCATTGTCACATTCTTTTGGAATCCTCCAAAGTTGAGGGATTCTGTGTGTTTTCTTCCCCAAACTCTGCAAAAGCTTCGAGTGACAGACATTTTAGTGAACCTGATGGCCCAGCAGTCAAGAAAAGAAGTATTCCTTGCTTGTTGGAACTGGTAGATCTAAATGCAAGTTAGTGATAATTAATTAATGGTGGATCAACACTGGCAATAATGCTGAGACAGTCATCATTTCCATCTCTCTTTGAATTGGTATCACCTGTCCTCTTCATCTTGGATCAAATTAGCATGTAAAGGATTACACATTCTCTTCACATGTTTGAATCTGAGTCAAGCTGATCATGTATCTGATCATGAAGATTAGACACCATCATGGAAAGGCTTAAGATATTAAGTTGTAAATCAACTCAACCATTATTAACAAATTGATTCTTCTCTCTCTCTCTATCTCTATCACACATATATTCATTTTTTAACTTATATTTCGTTGTCGATGATCGATCCTTCTTATTTTTTTAAAAAATTAAACATATCCACGTTCTTCGGTGTTACAAGACTTATTTTCGATCGATGATTCATTTTTACTTAATCTAATCTTGAATCATCCGGTTTAATTTTTTTTTATTCTATCTTATTCGATAAGATTTTGCTCGGCTCACCTAATTTTGTACCTACATTAGGATTTTTTTATATATATTTAAATCAAATTAAACTGATCGTACATGGAGATTGGACATCATGGCAATCTAATTCTATCTTTTATCTTCGTCGACCGCGACATTAAGACCCTACATTGATTATTAAAGGCCCATGTGGAGGATTAATAGCTTAATGATCGAGATATCATCTCTCATTTCCTATTACCATGCAGTGTTCAATGATATCTTAGATCAGATGTGGAAACCTATAGATGAGAATGGCCCCATGAGGTATGTGATGGCAACCCTGTCTCGGCAAATGCCGACCAAAAGTACACACAGTGGAGCCAACCCTCACAAGAAGCCATCTTCCTCAATGAGAAGGATGCCAACAACTCATCAAAAAGATGCTTGTCGGTTTGCACAAAGACAAGGTTGGGGCTTCAACACAGCAACTGCTACCAGCTGATGAGGAGCTTAAGCAGCACACTGACAGTCCTAATTAAACAACAAAAGCTGTACTGTGTACAGTTCAGGAATCTGAAAAAGGAAATGGTGTGTTCCCTGTGAGAAACAGAGGTCAAGAATAGGGTTCCAGAATCAACAATGTTTGATTGTAGCACTGCAAGGGAATAGCTGTTCTATGTTGAATCATGTCTGAAAAATAGTTGAATAGTTGTTCTTACTCTGAAACAAACTTGAATAGTTGATTAAGATTTAGTGCCTAAGATTTCATCCAAACAAAGTTGGATCATAGCCACGATATGTTATTTCTTATATAAGATTTGTTTTACAATAATATGATGAAACACCAATCTCATGGTGATGTACCAGATCCACTTTATGAGGATTTAAGGTTTGTAGCTTCTTCATACACCTCCTTTCAATCCTCCCTCAAAAGGGTCCTTTTTTGTTTTTTGTTGTTTGTGGAGCAGTCAATTTGGCAATCCAAAATAATAGGATTTAATATGAAAATAGAGTTAATGGTCTCTTCCACTATGATTCAACTGTGTTCAGAGAGAGAGTCAATTGTTTACAGAAAGGCTTGTGTTCGATATTAAGAGAAACAAATAATTGGATGAACAAGACTCCCCACCAATATCACAAAATCCAAGTACCTACATTGTATTAAAGAGAAAGCATAGATGTGTCTTTCTCCATGTAGTGTGTGCATAATGATTGCTGATGCAAGATGGACATTTCTTTCCGAATGAGAAGCTTCAGTTCCAGCTAGAGATTGCTGGTGAATTGACAAACTGCATCCAGTTCACTTTAAACCATAGGAAATATTCAGAATATGACAGAACAAGTTCCATCAAAGTTGACATTAGAGGTCATAGTTTCAGAAGCTGAGGCTGCATGTAGCAGAATCAACTGGACTAACAAAATTACAAATTGATAGTTTCCCTCCAAACTGTGTAACTGATGGATGTAAACAAGTCAACTGTCAGAAATTATTCCTTGTTGTTGCAAGGTTGGATTCATATTTATGACAAACTCTTCACTTTACTCATAGGAAAATGTTCAGAATATGACAACAAGTTCTATCAAAGTTGACATTAGAGGTCATAGTTCAGATGCTGAGGCTGCATGTAGCAGAATCAACTGAACCACTAGTAATTACAAACTGTTAGTTCCCCTCCGAGCTAATAATAACTGATGGAGGTAAACCAGTTCAACTGTCAGAAAATGTTTCGTGCTGTTGTTGCACCATGGTTCCAGCCTCTCTCCTTTTCTTTCTTCTGTTTCTGCTGCATTACTCGATCACCATCGCCGGCATTACCCAGAACCATTCTCCTTGCCTTCCTTCCGCTGCGACCTACCGAAAGTCTTAGCTTATCCAGCCCAGAAAGCGTTCCTCCCCTTCTAATTGTCTGGGGCAGTTGAGGCCTAATGATCACCTTCTTCTGCAGGCTTCTTCGAAGAATGCTGTTGATCTTCTTAGCACTTCTCTGCTGGCTGCGAGTTTCACCTTCACATGCACCAACAGTTGTGAGGGTAGGTTGAGCTTGTGAAGGTAATGGCGGTGAAAGGTTGTCCATGGCATTGATCAGGGCTTTTGCCATTGGAAGGGGAATAAGGGAGTTCCGGCGTGGTGCTGTGGTGACAGGTAGACCACCACGGATGGTAGGACAAAGGGAAACCCTGCTGGCTTTCCTCGGGAATGGCTCTTCAGCAATCTCTGGCTTGTTTTCCTTGTCTCTAAACTGGAGGAAGTTCTTGAAGATGATGTGGTCATTTGGAGACTGCAGCAAAGGCCTGTTGCAATTGTTATCAGCAAGTGGCCGCATCATATCTGCAAATTCTTTACATGTTTCTTTTTCTATGACATGAGTGTGGATTTTCTCGATTGGTGGACGAGTGACAAGAAAAGATTTAGCCGATGAGATGTTTTCTTCATGTTGTTCCCTTCGTTGTTGTTGCTGCAACTGCTGTAGTTGATTTTCAGCTATTCTGTTGTCGACATGCTGTCTTGCCAACTTTCTTTCAATCAATAGTTGTGATTCCAGTTCCTTAACCTGTATATGGAAGTTCATCAGAGACCATCCTTACGCTCTCAAGTACCAAAGAGACAGAATAAAAAATGGTAATCTCTTTAAGCAACCAAAGCTCAGTCTTGAAAGAACAAAAAGATAAGCATTTACTGCAGATCTCTATATATTTCATTCGACTAGCCAGGAACGGTGATCTGAATGGGCACATGCCTCTGCATAAAGGAGAAACAAATGTTCTAGATTTTAAACTATTATGCAGTAAAGGTTTCACTTTCCTGCCAACAATCAAAGAACTAAAATTTAGACATAAATTTCAGTTCATCTTCCCAATACAAATAACATTTCTCTGGCGATTTTTTGTACATGGAAACCCTTATCCTATGAGAACCTAAAGATATATCAATAAAAGTATTGAAAAAAAAAAGGTGAAATACAAAAAAGATGGTATTTGGATTTTGGATCATATTCTCTTCATTGAATAATCTTGCATTAGTGTTTGAAAAACAAAGTATTTGTTCCATATCTAAACAAAAGGTTCAGCATTTGACAAGGTTGATAGATACCTTCAAAGTTTCAACTCCTAAGGAACTCTAATTGGCTCATAGTGCTAGATAAACATAAGAAACTACCCAACTGTTGTTTATAGTGCTAGATTGACATAAGGTGACAAAAAAACATATGAGACATGATGGGGCTCTATGCTGTGATGTGTCAGTTGTGCCTACCAGTTTCTGTTCAGTCAACTCATGTGCATCCATAATTCTAGGCCTGTACTATCTAAATAACATAAAAACTGGTTAAGCCTAAATGACTAGCTTTACATTCATCTAACCCTGAAAACCACCACAATTTAACATCCACCCTGTGGGACATCGGAATGTGATAGTAATAATCTTATATTTCAAAGTCAACAAATGTTAGGTGTCTAATGCTGCGTTGTAACTTACTTTCCATGTATAAGAAAGATTAATATATAAAAAGGCACCTAAGTTCATGATTATAAATCATAAACATAGAAAGATTTCAGCTACAACTGCCAAAATCCAACTCTATCTTGGAAAGACAGATCGGTATACTTTTAGAGAGTCAAAATAATTATCATAAATATTCTAATTGGATTAACCGAATATGAAGGTTTTTAGTTCATACTTTGTCTTGAAGATTTTTATTGATCATATCTTTTGCCTTGTTTTTGATTTCCAAAGATTGAATTGTCTCTTCCAGCTTCTTCATTTGAGAATCTTTCAGCTTGCTGTCCTCCTTGACCTTACCAACCTAGCAAGAGCAGCGGGAGAAATATTAGACTCAAGATTAACAAGAATAGGCAATACCAAGGCTCATTACGAAACATTGTCTTATTTTTCATTGATATTCATACCAACTGTTTGTATCTGAATATTTCACTCATGTCAATTTGTCTTTTGGCAGGACCAAGTTCAATTCCCCTGACTCTGCTTGCAAAATTAAGAGAACAAAGTGTCTCGCCTATGTCATCCTCATTTGGGCTAATCTGCACAAACATCAAAGTCTTCGAGTCCCCACCTGAATTTATTTACTTAGTTAAGTAACTTCATGTAGTAGTGGTATATGATGAGAAAAATAACAAAAAAAAAAAGTGGTGAAGGGGAGGCAGAATAAGATATAAAGAATACCTAGGGAGTCTTGAAGTAAGTGGGTAAGCTTTGAATTCCTGAATTGGTGAAAATTCCAAGATTCAGATGATGAAGGTAGAGAGATGTTAATAACAACAGCATGCAAAAGAGATGTTTCAGAAACCTGAAAGGAACATGTGGGCTTTTAGTTGCAAGAGCTGATATCACATTGCCTAATGCAGAAAGTGACTTGTTGATGTTTTGTGCCTCTTTTAGGCGTTCTCCTTGAGCATCTGTTTTTGCGACTCTCTCACTACCAGCTAGATCAATGAGCCATAATTTGCTTCTTGTGCATTCTCCATTCACTAGATTCTCTCCTCGTATCATCACACAGTGAATACTGAAGAAAATTGAAAATGATAAATATTGACATTAAGCTACTACTCTGAGAGATAATAAGGTTAATGGATCTGTAGAAAGAAAAAATAACCAGTGTGATCGGCTGCTATGCTCATTTGCATTAGTCGAACCAACAACTCTTGCTTTGCTGCCAGTTTGTAGAACTTCCCAAGCTTCGGTCATGTTGGTCACATGAGCTTCGACTAGCCCTGGAACATGGTGAACTCCCTCTGTAACTTGTCTTACTTCTAGCCTATAAAAAACCAGCAAGTCACAGACTGGTCATCTATCCTACCTGTCAAATTAATGTAGAAGTTAAACTTCTGCTTACTTCTTTGCAGCTGCAGTAGGTTGAGATCCTGAAAGAAGCAAATCATGGATCTGCTCATTGTAGACCTCTAGTACACTTACAGTGACTTCATAATGATATAATCCTTGTCTTTCTCTTATTATTCGAAATATTTCCTCAAGTGTTCTATAGTTGACTCCACGAGCTTCTTCATTTCCTTCCATCGTAAAGGTTTTGCCTGTCCCTGTCTGTCCATATGCAAATATGCAGACATTGTATCCATCCAACACCGATGTTGCAAAAGGTGCAGTCTTCTGAAAAACAGTTTCTGGTGTTTGGGGTATAAAAGTAATATTTAGCTAAAAAATTTGGTGACTCAAGTAAGCATATAAGCATAGAGCGCAAGTTTGGTTGAATACCTTGATCATCTTCAGGACTGAACACAGAGTCAAACTTAAAGGCCTTACTGGAAGATACATGACCTTTGATGATAAGCTCGCCATCGTTTGCAGATTCAAAATCAACAACCATGGAGGCCCCTCCAGTTTTTTCTTCCGTGTTAAGAGGTCGACAACGACAGAATACTCTAATGTTTCCTGAAATACAGCTAAGTTCAAGAAAAGTTTTGTGCTTCTCATTTGTTTCTATACATATTAATCAAATTAAATGCTAGGTTAACCTTTCAGCTCTATAACTTTGTTGTATAGGTCTTTTTTTTCTTTTGACTCCTCATTGAACCTGAGCTTGAGATCTTCAATCTCCTTCTCTACGTTGACATGACGATCTACTGTCCAGGGTAAAATTGCAGCTTGTTAGATTCCATTTCATCAATTTAAATGAAAAGGAGCTTTATGAGATTAGAGGTTATTGACAAGCAAACAATTCCATGAACATCATATGCTGAATGTGTGAGATATCTTGGATAACTTACGTGAGGTTTGAATTATGGTTGTTGCATGGCTAATATCCGCAAGACACCTCTTAAATTCTAATGCCTCCCCCGATAGATTGACATGCTCTAGCTTCAGCAACTGATTTTTTCAAGTATGTTATGCTCTAGAAAAGTAATACATGATGAAAGCAGAGAGCAAAATGGAAGTGAGCGCAGAATGACTAGAACGAAAACACATTACATGAAATTTCTCACTCAAGTTAGCAAGGGACTGAAAAGTAATACATGATGAAAGCAGATCGCAAAATGGAAGTGAGGGCAGAATGACTAGTATGAAAACACATTACATGAAATTTCTCACTCAAGTTAGCAAGGGACTGAAACCACCGACTCTTCTCCTTCACTTGTCCCTCTATTGCAAAAGCTGATTCAGAAACATCCACATAAATTATTCATCAAAAAAGTTCTAATAAAAGATCCATAATTTCAAATAACTACAATACCTAAAGAACCAACATGCATTGACTTCTGCATGAGCTCCATTTGAAGCTTCTGCAATAACAGCCTTGCCTCATGGCATTCTTTATTCTTAAGTTCATTATCCCTTTTGAGATTCTCCAGTGCTCCTCTGTATTCTGTTTGCTCAGTAATGAGCAATCGATAGTCTTCCTCGAGTTTACTGCATTTGACACATTCCTCCTGAAAAATTTGAGACTTGGGTTCAGAAAAATAAGCAGTAATTTCAATTTTCAGGTGCCACTAATTCTTCTTACCAGTCCCCTGTCCGATACTTCTTTCTGCTTCCCTGGTGTTCTCTTAATTGTCTCGCCTGTTAAGTTAATGAATATCTTTCAATTATTGAAAGTTGAAGTCAAAAGGAAGATACAGAACAGGCTTTAACAAGATCTACCTGCAGAAAAATCCTGTCGAATTGAAATACCAGACACAATAGCGTGTCCTACCACCCCTTCAAATCTAATCGATAATCCCTGCTCGTGAACAACTGAAGCTCTCAAATCTGACAAAACCAGAGGCCGGTTTGATCCAACCCGAGAATATATATCTAGGCCGGCAACTACCTGAGATGATATTCCCATAAGAAAGCCTCCATAAATAAACAATCAACGCAATTGGATTAGCATGGAGCATGACACGCTTACCTTATCTTCCTGTATAAGAACATCGAATACTCTCATTCCTGCAGGTCCTTCAGTAAACACAATCTCAGCAAAATGAAGATCAACAAGATAATCTCCTGCCTCGAGTTCAGGAAATTGGTATGAGAAATTCCCAAATCGAGCATACTGGTATAGTTCCGGTGTGCCGTCCCCAACCACAGCATCAGTTTTTACAGGATCTCCACCAGAGTAAAACCTGTCCAGTTCAAATTCGATGCCACCGCAGACCACGAACTCATCCACACATCCTGCATTTATACTCAACGATCTCTCCTGGATTTCTGGTATCACCCCGAGCTCGATAGAAGCTTCAAAAGCACCGTCTTTGTCCAACTTTCTATCTTTTTCTGGGCATGCCTCTGCCGTTCTTAATTCCGTCCTGCTATCAGAGGTGAAGCCGTCGAAGCGACTTCCAGGGAAGAGCTCAACGGGTGCGACCTTGTTCCGCTGAGGGGTTTCTCTGATGTAATCTGGCGATTCTTGAATCCCCTCGCGGAAAATGCCAGGCGAAGGGGAGCCGGCAAGTTGCTGCGGAGATATTGCTTGGAATTCAAATGCCTGGCCACCTGCAAACATTACGGCCCAAGATCACAAACCCTAGAACGGGGAGTTTCGGACCAATCCCACAGAAACAGCATATAACTGCACATAAATCTCATCCAAGAAAAACCCCAACCCGTAACAGATGATCTGTCGGCAAGATGAAACGTCAAAGCAACAGGAGAACTAACCGAAATCATCAGCCATTGCCACCGCTTAACCAAATCGTTTCTTTCCCTCTAAAGAACCACCTGCAAAGATCAAGCAGCGCTCTCGCAGCGAAGAGTGATCGGAACCTGACGAATTCTTGAACCCCCAAAAGCAAGGAAAGAAGGGAGAGAATGAACCTCGGCGGATCTCGATCTTCCCACCGCAAGAACGCTTCTTTTTTGCGAGAGGAGATTCGCCCAGCAGCGCCGTCGCGATTTGCGCCGAAGCGCTTCCAATTAAAGAAGGGAACGAACGAGAGATTTTGAAGAGGAGAAGAGGGAAATGGATCAGGAAAAGGAAAAGGAATGGCTTTTTGATCGGGAAGAGAGTTAGAGAGAACGAGAGAGAGGGAGAAAGAGAGAGGGAGGGGGGAGGACTAAAAAGAAGCTGCGTGAGAGGGAGGTGAAGGACCGTTATGTTTTCGAAATAAAAGAAAAAGTGACTTACTCATTTATCCGTACCCTCTTATCTACCTGTGTTGTTATTGGATAAACTTGGTGATCCGTCCATACGCAGTGGTCGCACGGACGTTGGCGGGTAACCAAAACCAGTTCTGGTGTCCGTCAAGATTTCGAAATAACCTTTATTTACCCATTGACTTGATACCCAACCACCCATCCGTGGACCCCACATGTTACTAATAACTTCATCCGATCAGAAGGCAGGTGATTCTGTGGGGGTAGCATACGAGGGGCAAGAAACAATGATCACTATTTGAAATTTGAATACTTGCCACAAAGAGGAGGCTTCGGTGGCAATTAAAGCAGGATTAATAGCTACCAAATTAAGTACTTCACGTAGCAGTAGCTCTTTACCTGCGGATATAATCCAAGCCTTATTGCATGCATCTCTCCATCAAGTGATTGATTTCTGTGCCATGAGACTTGGGAGTCAACCAAAAATTAAAAGGGCAAATCTTGTCATTTAGCTATTGTTAATAGGAAAATTCTACTTAGGTGATTGCAACTAATGCATAAGAAGAGATTATTAGCTTACACTTCAAGGGATTAACTTTAGTGCATTCTACTTCAGCACTCATCATTGAGGATTGATTTGTGAGATATTGAGAATATAAAGCAGCAGGTCTCATATTTTGGTTGAGTTGTATTGAGGTGGAATTGCTTGTCCAATCATAACTTTAAGATTTAAAATAAAATAAAATAATTGTAACACCAATGAAACTTTGAAACTTTATAAATATGAGTCTTATAATATAAAAAATTATATTATTGAGATAATAATATTAAAATAAAATACTTAAAGATAATAAAAAAATTTATATTCGAAGGATAAGATGAAAGAGAATTACGTAAGATGATATTAACAATAAACATACAAATGTGATACTTAAAAGAGATAAAATGATTAATATTTTAATGATACAAAGAGGAAAAAAAAAATCTTAATAGAAATTATATATAAAAAATAAATATTTTAAATTTAATTAAATATATATTTTTTATAGATGACGAGAAAAATAATATGATTGAGACTTATGATTTTTTTTATATACCTTAATATGAAAAAAAAGAGACATATATATATATATATATATATATATATATATATATATATATAGTATTTAAGTAGAATTAGGTAAGGATCGATTTGCATGCTTAATAATTGAATCTGATTGAGTACAATTTCAAATTGACCCAAACCCGGTTTAGCCCGCGGTCCAATCTGGGTGAGCGACATGAACCGCTTGAGTCAAAGGTTTAGCCCGGTCCAACCCAGTTCATTCTCAGCCCGCGCGGCCCGTCGCGGGAGCTTTTACGTCGTCAAGATTGGCTTGTCGGCCAGCACTTTGGGCATCGCCTCTCACGAAACGGAGAGGGATCCTTAGGGTTTCCTATTATATCGATCAGACCTTGATTTCCGATGAAATTGGATGATCTAGGGAGTGATTGGAGTTTGGGTCGGTAGGAATTCGGTATGTGATTTGATGGAAATGGAGGCTGGCAGCACATCAGCGTCCGGCGGAGGAACGCAAGCCCACTCCTATTCGCCACTGCGGTCCAAAGGTATCCTTTCTGTTAAATCTGCGGGATTCTGATCCATTTAGATGTGAAATGATTGAGTTTTCGATGCGCGAAGGCTTTCTGCCCTTCGTCATGCCTTAAATCTGTAGTATTTGTTCCAATTACATGTCTATTATTTTAGCATATTTGATGCGAAGTCAATCGCCGTATTTTGTGGTGAATTTGCGGCACAAATTCCAAACATATACATTCGATACAGCATTCGATAGTATTGTTTTGCACCGCGTTAGAAATTTCGTTGTTTTCTTTTCCTGTATGTGATATGATGTAGAATTTGGAGTCGGACATTATTTTATTATTTTGCAGAGAAATTATTTGTTGGCATGTGCTATTACTTAATTTGTAATTGATTCTAATACAAGTAGAAAATGTCATACGTAAGAGGTTATCAGTGGTCTTGGACATGTGGGATCTGAGTTAAATGCATAGTTATAAAGTCATGATCCTCATCGATTCATTATTGGCCATTTAAGATCAAAAGCATGAAATTATTTTGTTTTCCTAATACCCTTTATTGTTTAGAAGGAGAAGGAAAATATACGTTAAGCAATCCACAACTTCTGAGGTGTCTTAGTGAGTTCAGCAATGTCAAGACACTAACATTGCTGTAAGGATTGTCACTGGTCCTGATAGAGTTGTAAGTCGGTTTTGACCCTTTCAACTCTCATATGTTTGCTGCTAAAATCATGCTTTTGTTTTGTTTCATGTAGACAGTAAAACACTGTCATGTTCTGTGATTACAAAACAATTTGAAAGAAAAACCCGTGTTTCCAAATAGCTGAGATCATCTACACGAATCCTTTGCTTCGTTTTGCTATTTTAAGGGTCACAATATCTTTTAGAACTATTACTATCGAGTGTCTAGTAAATATGTTTGTGGAAATGGAAATAATAAAAGTGCTTTATTGAGTAGTGGACCAAGTTTTATGAAATTATTTCATTACCAGATCGGTAACTTTGATTATCATAAAAGTTTCTAGATGAGCAAGCACGAGGAACATGACATGCTTGTTCATAGTTCCCTTCATAAAAAGTCTGTGTTATCTGCTTATGTGTTGTGCCTTTCGGATCATTGCTTAGTTCATTCCACTTTCTTTTATTTGCATCACCATTTTATCGATTTTAGGCAGTTGCCTCACGGAATGTTATTTATTGAATTGAAAGTTTTGATATTTTTATAGTTTTTATTAAAAATATTTTTTGTTTGGCAGCATTCTATAAGTTTACCCAGCAGAATCTTCCAGCTTGCAAACCAAATCTGACACCAGCACGGGTGAGAAATTTTTTTTTTTTTAATGTCCTGAATCTATCAATAGCCACTTGGATCTTTTACTTAATTTCATCCTTGTGCAGGTTATAGCAATATTTCTGTTAGCTGGTGTTGTTTTTATACCTGTTGGTCTAGTATGTCTCCGGGCTTCAGAAAGTGTAATCCTTGGACTCAAAACTCTGTTCAGTCAGTTTAAGTTCCTTATGTAACTATCATCTTGGACTGAGGTTATATTGTATCTGTTGGCATTTTCTTCTGATTATGTAGGTTGTGGAAATTCTTGATCGTTATGATATTGAATGTGTACCTGAGTCTTATAGAAACAACAAAGTAGCTTACATCAAGGATAGCTCAATTTCGAAGAATTGTAAGCGTCTAATAAAGGTAAAGTTTATGCTATGCTCAATGCTAATGTTTCAACACTCATGGTAGACACGAACATCCTTGGAAGCTCTTTATATTTAACCTTCCTATCAATATTATTCAGCCATTTCTAGTGAGAACAACAATTAGTTGGATTCAAGGATTTTATCTTTTCGTACATTCACATGAACTCATGTGGTACACTATCTGTGGCCCGATGATATCCATGACTATCAAAACATAATGTCAACCTGCATTGCTGTGACTGCACTGCAATCTATTCCAACAACTAAGTCCACAGGAGAGGCATATATATTTTCATTGATGGAACAACCACACAACTATTCTTTTAGTATCCCTGTGATGTTCCATGATATGGTTTCTTATATCTTTTTGCCGTAGCTTCTCTTTTTCAGGGTGCCATTGGTTTATCTTGTTTCTCTTTTAGCTATGTACTGCACAAATGTTCAATATTTTCTTAACAGTTTTGAGGTGATATTAAATTTAGATATGATAGTATAGATCCCCTAAGAGGAAAAAAATTGTAAGACTTAAAAATGAAGTGTTCGTTGCTATTTACAACTCATCTTTGGCCTCTGATAAAGAAATCCATTTGTGCATAATGCTCTACGATGCTCTAATGTGTCAAAATAGTTAGGGAAGTTATTGGTGTATATAACATATGCCAGCACTCTTCCTCTTTTTGTCATTTTGTAACCAGAGAACTAGGGAATTTTGTTATTTTGATATCAATGATCTTCTATGTCTAGATAGTATTTGAGTTACTTGTTTCTATATATGACATTCTGTTTTATCTTACTTGTCTTCTTTATCTAGAACTATGTGACATAAAATATTTAAAGTTCTCTGCAGATTCAGAAACATATGAAAGCACCAATTTATGTCTATTATGAGCTTGATAATTACTATCAGAATCATCGACGGTAATCATCTTTTTGGCATTGTGTTTTTTTTTAATCTTACTAGTTCAGTTCCTCAAATTGGTTTCTGTTGATGCATGATAAGTTTTGGAAATTTTCCCAGGTATATAAAAAGTAGAAGTGATAAGCAGCTTCTACATGGATTGCAGTACAAGGACACTAGTTCATGCAGACCTGAAGAGTATAACAATGGTCTCTCAATTGTTCCTTGTGGGTTAGTCGCATGGAGCTTGTTCAATGATTCTTACACCTTCGTGCGTGAGACTGTAGAATTAAGAATCAACAGGAGAAACATTGCTTGGAAGAGTGACCGAGAGCACAAGTTTGGTAGAAATGTATATCCCTTCAATTTTCAAAATGGAAGCCTAATCGGGGGAGGAACCCTTGACCCAGATGTTCCTGTGAGTATTTTGATTGTTCAAATTCTGTATGTTGTACTTGTTTGTACCATGGGGAGGGATCTTACATCCAAAGTTCGCTAGCCTATCTTGAAATATATGGTTCTAGTATATGTATCTTGAAGTGTTTAATCATTAAATTTTTACCTCCAACTAGCTGAGTGAACAAGAAGATCTCATAGTTTGGATGCGTACTGCTGCTCTTCCAAAGTTCAGAAAGCTGTATGGTGTAATTGAAGAAGATCTACAAGCTGATGAGATTATTGAAGTACACCTTGTTAATAACTACAACACTTACAGCTTTGGGGGAAAGAAGAAGCTTGTTCTTACAACTAAAAACTGGCTCGGGGGCAAAAATGATTTCCTTGGGATAGCTTACATGGCAACTGGAGGCCTTTGCATTTTCCTGTCCATCTTGTTCGCACTCATTCATGTGAAAAATCCAAGGTAATTTTTTTTCGACATGACAATACTTCTGATGAATGACATTGCACACATCAAATGTGGTGAGTGAAAAAATGTTGACGAGATTATGCTTTGTGCTATGATCTTTATTAAATTTCACGTCTTGTTGATGCTCTTTCTGGTGCTTATTACATTTGTTTTCTTCTGATGAATCAAGTGATTCTTATGTAAAGACATTAACAATTTTTTGATGTAATACATTATTTTTTGGACTATTGAGGTCCATGCTTATGTTTCCCTTGTTAATTTCTGTCTGCAGGCCTCATGGCGATCCTACTTACTCTTATGGGAACAGGAAAAGCACCACTAGCTGAATCTTGCGGTAGGTTGATGATGACAACGTGAAAAGTTCCATTGCTTATGCTTTTCTGTGAAGTCATCAGATATCAAATTGAAATAGTTGTTTGAAAGTTGCATTTGTATTAAACCAGGTGAACCATTCTTACCATTATAAACTATGCTGTGGCTGTACAGGATAGATTATGTCAAGATCAACTTGTGGCTCCTGCTTCCACTGATCGAGCAAATGCTGCTCCCGGTGCAATCATGGCTGATAGTCGCAAGTTATACTTCTTGTAAATTTTGTGGTGGCCTATTTGGTTACTCGTGTATGTATACATCAGAACTCTTGTGCCTATCAGAATATCAGGATTTTATTTCAGGAAATTAGTACACAGATTGTAACTGATGTTTTCTCTCATCTTGTAGAACAAATTGTCAAAAGATTTTTTTTTTCTTGTTTTTCTTCTCTTTAAATGTTGATATCACATATAGTCAAAGCTGGGTGGTGTTTCTTCATGACCCTGGTTGCCAACTTGCAGATTGTCTGGTGAAATTTATGAAGGTATCTAGGAATGATAGTAAACTGATTGGTGCTGCCAGAAACTACACTGTTAGCAGAGCTCAAGATTTGCACCCCCTGTTTTTTCCATTTCTTTGATGATGAAAGCAAAATGTGACCAACAACACCTGGAACTCTGTTTTAGGTATTGTTTGTGGAATGGAACTGTGTTTTAGAGAGCGCAATCCCGAGGAGCACCAATGCTGCTAAGAAATGGTATGCAATCTTTTGTTTATCATGGAGATTAGATGGTTGTATTTTGTGTAAACCAGCCAGCTAGAATCACTAGCAACAACCTGTGATCACTCTCATCACCTTTGTCAGAACGTTTGATCGTGAGGATTACCCAATGTGTTTATTTTCTTCTCTTCTTTGCTGGTTCTGTGAAATGTCATTTGAATCATCTGCAAGTTGTCATGTTCTTCTTAGTGCATCTGCAGTGCTGTCGTTCTGTGAAGATGTAAGTACTGAAAGTTTATTGTGTTCAAGACTTGATGATGTTCCATTTGAGGTCGTCTATTTGCATCTTATTTCTATTTTATAATATGCTCAGTTAAATCATAATATTTTTAGCATAATTTTTAGTATTAATTGTTACAGATGTTTAATTAAAAGTATATCCATATCATCTTAAACAAGTTGGTATTCTTAGAACTATTCAGGAATCCACATGAACATTCTTCTATCATGTGAATCAACGGATAAATCAATTGATCGAAAATACTTAATCTCATAAGCCCATATCACTAATCCAAAATAATTAATTTAAATTAGTGATATATTCATCTGGTCTTTCTTCAGTTTCCAGTAAAAGTAAGGCCATATTATATTCTTAGAATTTGTTGTTTAGCCACTCTTTCTTGTGAGTTCTTAGTGGGCATTTCCTATTTGTTTTTGTATGAGGCTTTGAATGGGAAAAGGTGGTGGTGATGGTCAGACCCCTCTCTGCACACAACCCTAACTGTTTGTTGAAATGAAACGTCATCCGCTGCTGTGAGCGTTGCAGGCACACAGCCTCTCCCAGAGACCACCTTCTTCTTCACATGCAAACGTATTATCAACCTAATCTCTCTCTCTCTCTCTCTCTCTCTCTCTCTCTCTCCTCTGTGCAGCAAACACAACACTTCACATGGGGAAGACTGCACTCGCTCTCGTCTCCAATTATAGGCATACCACCACCACCATCATCATGTCTGCACCCTTCTTTGCCGGCTCTAAAGATTCCTTCTTCATGTTTGTCCATGCAAAAATGCACTTTGCCTTTCGCATGCATTCTTACTGTTGTTAATGGCATACATTGGCATTGGAAAGCTGTATGCATGCATGGAAGAACAAAATGTTGGGATAACTCATGCTTTTTGGTGTGACAATTAACGTATGCGACATAAGCAGTCATAGAATTTGCCTTGTCATGGCAAATACTTGATAGAATTCGAAACACACGTATATTTACAGTGGGAGAGAGAGAGAGAGAGGTGATGGAGGCGTTCAGAGCCAGAGAGCACCGGCTTGCTTGAGTAGCGGGACGAGGGAGCCGTTGATGTGGCACGACATCACCTTCTCGACGCCGCCGAGGAGTTGTCCGCCGATGAAGACGGCGGGAACGGCTGCGGCGGAGATGGAGGTGGAGGGGGAGGGGGAGGCGGCGGAGAGGAGGTGGGAGAGGACCGCCTGGATCTCGCGGCCGCCCTTCCCCAGCTGGTCGAGCTCGTACACGGTGGGGCCGACGCCGAGCCCCAGCAACAGGTGCTTCACCACGTGGCACATGCAGCAGCCGCTGACGCTGAACACCACCACCGCGTTCCCGCTCGCCATTCTCGCCACCATCTCGTACGGTCCGCTTCGCCTCATCATCACCATTCCCTCCGCTTCCTCTTCCACCATCCTCATCCGAAACCTTCTTCTTCTTCCTCCTCCTCCTCCTCCTCCTCCTCCTCCTTTTGCTCGTATAGATAGCAGAGAGCAAGAGAGAGAGCTGGGCTGAAGGTGGAGTGGAATTGGGTTGGGGTGTTCTGTTACAAGTATAAACATATATACATATATATAGATAGAGAGAGAGAGAGAGAGAAGCAGAGGAGGGAGAAGGATGAGTCAAAGCAACACGATTCGGTAGCCTTTGCAGGCGACGGTGGCCCCTGTTGCCCGGCAATCTCTGACCTCCATCCCTTCTCTCTCATGCACGGAGAGAGAGAGAGAGAGAGAGAGAGAGAGGTGCTGTAAAAGGGAAGGCTAGGGGGAGTAGTACGGGGAATAAACGGAAGGGGGACAGCGTGGCCTTCAAATGGGAAACGTCCGTCACGGACGGGTAACCGACAACCCGACAGCTAACGTCCTCCCGCCGCCGTTTGACCCGTGCCCAAACCTCCAACTCCCTCGGGCTTCGGCTTCCCCTTCTCCCTCCTCTCGCTCACCGAGTCAGCTCAGTGAGTCTCGATTCGCCTTCGATTCCGAACTCGCGAGCTCGTGACTCAGTTCGCGTATTCTACTTTTAGCCCCCCCTTTTTCCTTTTTTTTTTTGAATAATAATAATAATAATAATAATAATAATAATAATAATAATAATGTTGATGATTATGATAGAAATAGTTGAGAGTATACACATGGCAATTACTTGCTTATTTCATAGTCAGGGACAAAGAAGTGTCAAGGTTTGGTAGAGATGAGAGAGAGGAAGACAATGCTTGTAATTGAAGTTAGTATCAGCTGCTGATAACTCAACCTTAACTTACTATTTCTACATGATTAAGACCAACCAAAGTGATTATTAATTGCGGTATGCACTTAAATAGTTTTTGATGCATCAATCCATGTGATTCCATTTTTCTTGGTGACATCACGTTTGGTAGATGTAAGCTTCTCACAATGGCCAATTTGCAAAGGTCATCATGATTTCAGAGTCATCAACTGTTGACAGTATAAAGGGGAAGAACAAAGGCCGAAGCCTGCGTCACCAGAATCTTCTCATTTGCTTCATGAAGCTAAGAATGATAACATTGCTCTCTCTCTCTCAGTAGTTCCTCTAACAATTCAGTGTCTGGAAGGACTTGCCCTCTACGCCACTCTGTGACTAGCTTTGAGCAAGTGCTTCTTCTATCATGTGTGGAGGAAAAGTCCATATGTGTTTCTGAGACTAGTAAAACTCGTTCTACATGGGAATGATAGAGAATGGTTTCAGTTTGGTCCATTCTTACTGAATCACATCAATTCTCAGTGCCGTGTCACAAGAAAAGAGTTCTTGACATCTGACCAGTAAGGTTTTACAGCAAGTTTGGGATGTGCATCACCCAATGACTCTTAACAGATGCTATCAAGTTGTCACTGATGAACATGACAAGTTAATATCAAAGTAGGACTTCAATAAAAATCTTGGTTGCATAAATATTTTTCACAAACAAACCATATGAAAATGTCTGATGAAGACATACGAAATAAAGATATTTGCATCCAGAATCATGAAGCACTATACAAGTATTTGGTATATCCGACCAAAAAAATCTCAGTCATAGACTTAGCCAGCAGAAGAATCCTAAATAGAGGTAAAACATCCCGTGGAAGTTGGTCAGTCAAGATATGTTCAGACAAAGTTGGAACCTTGACATGCTTCTTCTTTCTAATCTCATGAGGCATTGGCCGAGAAAACAAGAGTGCCAAACGGCTCCATCTGCTTGTGCATAAGGACTACAGTGTTGTCATGAAACTTGATCTCACTATTATCACATCATCCCCACACACCACTACACAAGAAAACAACATGCCCCTTCTTTACTTCACCGCAAGGTTGTGCTTCCTTTATTGTGGTTATGCTCTCACTCAATCATGCTTCTCTCCTTCCTCTCAAAGCTTGTATACACACAACAAATTTTGCACCAGAGTTGTCTACCACTTATATTTTTCTCACCTCGACGAAAGTTTTTTTTGCTGCAACACAGTATGCAAATTCAGCTTGTCTTAGTTCACCCAGAATTTGTACACAACAAAATGTTTCTTCCTTGGATTTTCTTTCATGATTAAACTGTAAGTCTGAAGCACCTGAACTATGCAGAGGTTTTCAAATCAATAAAACAGGAAAAGGAACACTAGAATTACTGGCCCAATAAAATAGAAAATTAAAGTAAACCTTTACAATATCTTCAAGTCAGTTGAAGGAAAGAAAAAATTGCCTACAAAATATCTGTTAAATAAAAGAATTCCTAGCTACCATAATATGCCTCCTCCAATATCTAGAAAGAAACGACAAACAATATTTAATATGCAGTTGACATTTTGAAATCTAGCATCAAGTTTTCAAATACTCCTACGCTCTTCCACCCTTGACTTCCTTCTCAGCCTTTTTAGCAATCAAATTTGTTTGAGAAGGACAAACAAGCTGGTAACAATGGGTTGGAGGTCGATGGTCATGATGTTGAGGCAAAATCACATTGAGAGAGGTGGTGATGGTGCAGGTGAAGTGGGCAAAGATGGTGCAGTGGCAAAGCCAATGTTGGTGGTACGCAAGAGGAAGCTAAAATTATTAGAGGTGATGTTGATGAAAAAGGATCTCAGTGAATTTACAATGTTGGGGGCATTGTAGTCGTTGCAACCATAGTAGAGTTGGGCAGCAGGGGTGATGACAATGAGAAATTTGGAGGTTGATCAAAGGCGTAGAGGAGGTAGGAAGGTCATGGAGCAGCAAAACGAGGATGACACAGATAAAGAGGAAGAGAGGAAAGGCATACTGCCAATTTAGTGCATTTTTAGTTAAAAAAACAGCGAAATATTCAAGAATTGGTCCTTCGAACAATCGTGACACTAATGGATAGGCATACATCAATAAGACAGAGGTCTTCTATAGTCATAAGATCTTGTGTGCGTCAGCTGAATAGTCTGTTTTGAATAAAGGGTAGTGGACGAGTTGTCACGAATGGCCCTCACACGTTTGCAACACCTTCGTCAATGAACCGTTCGATGTTTACTTGTATAGTTGTTTGGCATTGTGTTTTGCCTAGTTTTGTGTGTTTTTACTAGGTTTTTGGAAGCATAAGCAATTCACAAGGCTACGAAGTGATTGCTAACCATATAGGGCAAAACTAGGCCAAACTACTCTGTTTTCGTATGCTATGGCCTGTTTTGTCAATGTTGTTATGCAGTGCGGAATATCAGCCATCTCAGCCCCTTGGAAACCACCCAAGTGGCAGAGGGCTAGATAGGGCTTTGGAGTAGTGTTGGACCCTGTTTGGATAAACAAGTTTGTACACAAAGTGTGAGTAGACTTGGCTTACACCCCAACACCTAGTTGAGTAATCGTTTGTGGACTTGCGGTTGTCTTTTGCCTTTCAAACTCCTTATTTTTCCTTTCTCTTTTTTCTCTTTTTGTACTTTAAGTCTTTGCTGAATTACTTTTTGCTAACCCTTAGTGGACGGATATCACAATGGTGTCTCACGACTCAAACAATTCTAGCTAAGTCCATGACAGAGTGGCAAACATTAAAACTTCTGTAGACCAATTCTTACAGACTTAACAAAAGGAGAAGAGAAGACTCTTAGCAATTTGGATTTGACTTAGAAAGAAATTGTAAAGTTCTCTTTTATGCCCAAGGCAGAATAAATAAGCTACAATCACATGGCATATCTGTTAAACCAGAAATAGAAAAATAAAAACGAACTCATAACTCAAACATAAAGAGACAAAAACAATACCTGAAACAGAAAATATTGGCAACTCAGCTTTGCAATTGTGCCATGAGCTGCTTTTGCTTCCTGACAAACTATTGTCAAGACTCCCATTTAAATGGAAGTTCTGAATAAACTCTTGAAACCACATATTGCTGGTACTTTGGTTATAATGCTGAGAAATTGTGGGATGCTACACCACTGATGCTTGAAAAGTTAAATCTAGTAAAACAAGGCAAAAGAGAATAACCAGGATTCATGGCAGAAAAAAATATTTGCCACTTTTCCACTATTGATTATTATGTCCAAAGAGATCATCGTGTGATATTAAGCTACTACTTCACCATTAGCTTCATAAGACAGTACAAGGCTACAAGTGTTGAACAAATGGGGTTAACCGAACAAAAATGCCGACCTCGATGAAACTTAATTCTCTTGACTTTTGAACTTAATACTGCCCACTTAGAGGGCCTAGCATAAGCACATGAAGAAAGTTGAGAAAGAAAAATTGGATGATAACATCATTGTGTCTAACAACTTATAATCCACCTGAACAACCCTCATTTGCCATATTTTCACAAGAAAACTAGCACAATTTACATATCTACATGGATTCAAGCATGAGTCTTGCTTTCAAGTCATATTTTTGGCTGTCAACTATACAAGGCACAATATAGATTGCAAAAAAAAGTTGGAAAATATATAAAAGGAAAAAAAATTGATTTTAACATCCATTCAAGATATCCAGGACCTCATAATATCATTGAGTCAATACACATCGAACAAAGGATATCAAACTCATTGAACTAAATTTATAAATTAATCATCATTTGGGCATCCCAAGAATGAGTCCAGCTCCTTCTTAAGTCGGTTACTATAATCACAACCATATAGATTTCAAGAATTCAGATGTTAAATATGAAACTCAACAAATGCCACTATATTTTTCTTTTTATTTTTTTAATTAATCAAACTGTTGGTGTTTCATCATGAATATGGGCTTCGTGATTTTCTGTTCAAAAGTCAAATAACACCAACTTAAGTTCTCTTTAATGCATTTATAAACATCAACCTTTTGATGTCCGTTCTTATGTGAATGCAATGGACACAGATTATGCCCTTCACTTCCCTTTCATTAACCAACAAGTTTATGATTATAACTGAAAAGCAATTACCAGTTTACAAGACGAACATTTCTCAACGTAAGGACAAAAGGATCGATTAATGAAAGAATTTCAGATAAAGAGCAACACCATAACATTGATATTATCAGATCCAGTAACAAAACTAAATAGCAACGACTGAAGAAGCATTTTATCAAACAAGTGGAGGACGAAACATATTCTTGTAAACTGGCTTTCCACACTCTCGAATATATAATCATCAGCATCAAAATAACGAAACATTTGAGATAAAGTGTGCAATCATCATCATCACGTTGATAACATGACATCTGACTAATTAGCAGCAACCGACTAAGCATTTTGTCAAACAATCGGAAGATGAAAAATACCATTAGAAATTGGGGTTTGATACTCAATCTAATCATTCAACGTTCCAACATCTTCAGTTAGTCGTTCGGATTCACTGATGCGCATACAGATCTGATGCTATGCCGATGCAACGCTGACGATACGCATTTCGGGACATAATAGAACATGACTAGCAACGCAAACCTGTGGACCATTTCGAGGTGAAGAATCCGCTCATTCTCTTCAACAACTCGAGTGGACACGGGGAAGAAATAGCAAGGAACATACTGTTCTTCCCTGATAAGTTGAAATCAAGCAGAGACACGACGACCGGAACATGGAATTGCCCGCAAACGTTGGCTATGCGGTTGCCATAATGCGACGAAGGGGCCGCGAATGAGCAGTTTTTAGGAACAGGGTCACCTGCTAATCGGATGCGGATCCCACTGTAACAAATCATGCAAACTGTTAACAACGATATCGGATTTGCATCCGAATCAGGCAGGGGAAGAAACAAAGATATGACCGTTATTAGATCAGTAACATCTCAATTATATATGCATTTGATGAGCGTCTTATTATTTGAATCAAGTCATCCCGAATGAACTATCTGATTCACATTGTCATGGAAAGTTGTTGCAGAAGAACTATCTGATTCGAATGGAACTCAGCCCATAAACTTGCTCTAGAAGTGACTCTACCCAACATGATGGATATCCACACGAAGAGCAGATGGTTTTTTTGGGAAGAAGACTGTTTAGATCTCATATCCAGAAAGCATCAAACTCGGGTTGGAACTTTCAGCAGTTTAGTTGCCAAGTTTGGCATCTCCAGCTTTCTGCACGTCTTCTCTCGTATGATTCATGCAATTAGTCTTCTTGTTCCCAGGAAAAAAGAGTTTACTTACACACCAGTCATGTTTTCTTCGAGCTCCGGCCAAGTGAGAGAATGGTGAAGTGATCTGTCGAACGACAATGTTGACTGCTACTTCTTCTCCTTTACGTCGAGCAATCAATCACTGAAACCAATCATACACTTCCTGCAGAAATCTCACGTAGCTAAAGTGATGCAAATGTGTTGACTAGTTTGATGTTCCTGAAGAAAAGGATGCCTATGATTTCTCGACAATCCCACGTTTGCAGGCAGAAAGCACAGCATCATGTTAGATCTCCTAGCACAGCGTGCACCCACTCAGGTCGCGAAACGTGTCCACACCACATGCAACTGCAGCTGCTGCAAAAGCGTGGCTGCCTGAATCCACCCACCATTAACAAAGTCCAGTCGCCATTGATATGTGCCAAAGCTCCTCTTCTCATCTCATCAATCCAAGAGCTCCTCTCTCTCTCTCTCTCTTTCTCTGCTTGATCCCAATCTTACTTTAATCACCTCTTCCCATGCTGAGATAAGGAAACTTTCATCTTCGACTTGATGCTCTACAAATGGAACACTAGGCTCCACATGAGGGTGACTTGGCCGTACAACTTAGGACGATAGGTGTAGGGATTTAAGTAGAGGTGTAGCTGCTTGGTTCGAGGTTCAGGGCATTAGTTTTGAGGAGAGAATTATGATCCACCGAGACCACCAAACGAGGATGCGGAATTGGATATGGCCTGCTCCTTCCTGTACATGTGCATAACTCAAGATTTATGCACCAGGAGTGGGTGCAAACATTATGCAGGGTGGTCCAGAAACTGGTGGTTGCAGCTTGATGTCTGCTCTTTCTAGTTTTTGGTGGGTGATTGTGACACACATGCCTCTCCTCCTCCTCCTCCTCCTCCTCCTCATCTTCATCTTCTTCTTGTTGCAGTGGAAAATGAGGAGTGCTGACATATCCCTTGGAAATCTTCTTTGCATGCAAACTAGTATTATATAATACAGCATAGAAGCATGAAGATGTCATGTTTGAATCAACCTTGCAATGCTGCAGAAATCAAAATCAATATATAATGAAAGAAGTACTTCTCACTATTTTATTCAGCTCCAGTTTCTCCCTGTCCAAAAGAGCAATGTGACCCCCAGTTTGGAGAGGCAGTAATGAAACCTGTATCCATTCTGCTTCTGATTAGTATCTATTTTTGCAATTCAGTTCAATGATTCCCCACTTGTTTCACAAGTAAAGTAAAGTAAAGAAAGAAAGAAAGAAACACTGGCAGTCTAATTGTGAGCTTTTCCATGACCTTTAGGAGTTACATCAGCCATGCTCACCCGGACATTGGAGCTTTTTACTCTACCTACTCATTCGGAAGGGCCACGAGTCGAGTCAATCCATAGATGACAACAACACATCAAGGTCATAGGACACCAAGGCCACCTGCCTTTCTGAACAAACAGTGACCAAAGTATTGGGACTCACTGTTGCAAGTTTCACAAGATCAGGCTCACCAGTTCCTCGCTGTCCTTTTCCGCCGTACACACTCCATTAGTGACATTGAAGAGAGGTCCATGGTTATGGTGTGGGATCCCCCCAAGGTCAGGGGACAAAGGCCATAAATTGCAACAAAAAGCCAAGGAGCTACAGATGTTTAGTCGCCATAGGCTTAAGAATTCATGATTAAAGATGGGGAGACAGCAAGACACGTATGCTGTCTACTCTCAGATCTCCATTCTCTGCATAGGAATCATCCTATTGCTTGCAGCATTAGACAGTGCATGCTCAAAGCACCACCAAAAGCTTCCCACCTTATTCTACTGATATCCATCTTGTGCCATCATCAGAAAAAATAAAAAAAAGTGTAGCATTCTTAAGGATCTGAGCTTTATGATTACTCGTGACTAAGTTTGATATGAGTGTGTGGAGATCACTGCTTATGTTTCTTCTTTTCAGTGCAGCTTCAAAAAGAAGGCAGCAGGTAACATGCCACCCCTATACAATGTTTCATAAATAAAGATTGCATGGGTTGTTTCTGACAGTCGCTTTAGTGAGCAAGGAACCATATAATCATCCACTGACCCACCAACCATTTGCTGTTTCCTAAAAACAAATCAAAAGATGAGGGTTTGGGGCCTAAGGGGTGTGATCTGCCAAAAGCATGATGGCGAGGAGTCTTTGCATGCATGATAACAATGGATGAGGTTGGTATGATGAGGTGGTGCAGCTGAACTTGATCATATCAGTGGAGGAGTGGTTTGGCATCATGTATGGAGGACTTTAGCAGGACTTATTGTCCTTCATAAAACTAAATGCAATACGATCTTTCACAAGGGCAAGATAAGAAACAACTCCAATTCTCTTTAGACACACAGTTCTGCTGCCAGAGTGTTTTTTTTTTCTTTTTCTTTCATTTATTTAGTTAAAAATAAACTTCTTATAAAGCTCAGCGACGATAAAAAAAATCATCTAACCGATCCCAAATAATTATAATTTTATCGTTATTGTTGTCAAATGGATACTATTTTAAAGGCTGCCTATGAATGTTGCCATTATAGTTGAAAGTCTTCTTGCACCTCATGAAACATGAAACAGCACTCCAAGTGATGAAAGATCAACACGTTCATGACAAACAAGAATTAAGTACTTCTCGAGAAGGATATCTTAATCCAAAGACAAATTTGGCTTCAGAGGCTGGTTGATTGGTATCAATATCTATAAGATCGAAAGTAGCAGTTGTCAAGAATGATGTCATGCTAATACTCGTAAAGAAGCCTTCTCCTGGCTGTCTAACATTTGGAGGAAGAAATGTCTCATGCTAAACATGAACAATATAATAACTGTGCAATCATGGAGTTTCATTTAATATGTCGGAGCATAATTGAATTTGTCACGCTTGAAATTTAATTAACATAACTTGGAACAGTATATATATATTTTTTCCTTAGATAGAAGTTGATGTCTTCTAATTCATTTCATTTATGGATTGCCAAGTCAGTAGTAACATGCCATGTTAGAAGCTGCATTTTCTTTTTAGGTTGTCTTGTTCTTTCGAATCTTCATTTTATAAGAACATATGCAAAGCAAAAGCTTATCCAATTTGCTTGGAGAAAAAGAAACCCATAGCAGCTCACACATCAACAGAAACACAACTCTGGAGGTAGCAGCAGCAGCAGCACTTTGCCTTTTGTTTGTCTCTAGTATTCTCAAACATTTACACGCTATCGTTCAAGGACCTAATTCTTCGTATGATGGAAGTACACTAAACTACACGAGGAGTGGATATATAGCAAATCAGCAATAGAGAAAGGAGCATTTCTTGCAGAAGAACATTCACTTGCATGGTGAAAATTCAGTACAGGAAGTGAGGCATAAAGGTTATCGAATGAATTGGCAGAAACAGTGCAGAATCTTCAGTACATAATATACTTTCCCAGTGATGACACAAGTAAGCATCTTGATCATAAATACCACAGGAAAGAGCCATCGTTGAAAGCACCATATTTATGATCTCCTAAGGAGTCTTGACATCACACAAATCTTTTGCTTTATCACTGCCATCTATTCATTCCTAAACATATAACATAATCCTCTGATAATTTTGTTGTCATCCATATGCAGTCTGCAAAGTTTGATCTACGCTTTGTGTCATTGTTAACCAAAAATATCCCTAGCAATTTAACCAGAAAACACTTCATTAAATTGGCTTTTATGTTTCCTTTACAAAGTCCATTCTACCCAATCCCATGCTGACAACACGTAGGAAAGGAAGAACAAAGGAGAAAATTCTCTACCCGCTGCATCACCTGCTTTACGAGTGGAAGGAGGTGTGGGCACCGGATCGTACCGTGGCAGGTAGACGAGACGAGTAAATTCTGATTGTACCAAGTACTGCGCCAAGAAAAATCCACGGGAGCAGCTGAGGAGAAGGGTAATACTGTAAACAAATAAAAGTTCCGTGCCATCAAGAGGTTCTCCACTGCAAATGTGCTCCAATAATAAGAGGCCACGTGTGCAAACTCAGGTGACTTGTTAACCGTGTCCAGAAGTGATTTGGTGGAAAGATGTTTGGTGTCGGGTCTGCGCACGAAGGCGGGACGGGACGGTGGGGATGGTAAACGGGAAGAGGGGAGTCCGCCATATAAAAGGATGGGGAGGGAGAGAGTGAGAGAGGAGGGACGGCGGTGTGTCGTGACCTTTCCCGATAAGCTCGGCGATTGCTCGAATGCGAACGCCTAGGGTTTCGATCCCCGAGCCCTCGCCAATCCCTCTCCCTCTTTGCTTCCTCACTCATCTTTTTCTTGGATGGATTGCACTAGGATTTCGCTCAACTAGGAGTCGGGTTCCCCGAAGACCCTAAGCCCTCGCGCCATCCGTTAGCTCCTTCTCTGCCCTGCCTCCACAACTGTACTCTCTTTCTTCTCTCCGCTAACCCTTTTCTTGCGCGCCGAGGGGATTGCGCGAGGAGAGGAAGAGATCGAGGTACGGAAATGGAGGATTCTTGTCCGAAGCGGGCGTAGCGGCGTTGGCATTTGTGGAGGCAGCTGCTTGGCGCGCGCTGAGATCTTGATGAGAATTGGAGGAATGCAGGCCGGCTGGGGTTCGGATGCTTGGAATCTGGAGTGAAGGAGTGGCTTTCAGGGCGGGGTTTCTGGGTTCCTGGAGTTTGAGTGGGTAGATCTGGGAGGTCTTGAACGCGGAGGCATTAGCTCGAAGGAAGGTGAGATTTTTGTGCGTAGTACTGATGATTAATCGCTGAGATTACCGCCAGGTTCGATCGTCTAAGCGAGCCTTTGTATTTTTCTTCGCTTTGCCTTGTCTGGTTACTCCTTTTGCTGGCTCTTTTCTGTGTCCCGTTTGGTTTCGTCTTTAAAGCTGCAGCGAGGATTAAAGGTGTCGCTGCCTTTTCTTTCGTCTTTTTATGTCTTCTTCGCTCTCAATAATCCGTCAGAATTCGGTGTCTCATGCTGCCATCGTTGCAGTCAGTGATGCTGCAGCTGCTGATACCGCCTTGCAGGCCGCAGTGCTGATTTCTGGCAGCCTGGCGAGCTCGAGCAGCGGGGAGAGAGGAGGAAGTCAATAACATCCGATTCCTCCTGCGAGAAAAGCAAGGTCGCGAGCTATCATCTCCGGCCACGAACACGATCCGGAGCGTCCAAAGGTCTCGCCTTTCTCCACTCCATTTCCTTGCTCACTTTTATTTCTCCCCTTGTACTGCGGACTGCGGACTACGAACTCGTCATCAATGCTAAAGGACAGCCTACCGCTGACTCTCAGCAACCCTAAGCTCCCGAGCTGACACAGTCACCCACCGCTTCCCAAAAAGGAGATCAGGGGTGGAGATAAGAAGGCAGTGGCGGAGAAGGCGATAAAGATCCGATTTGGGCCCCAAAGAGGCATGAGAGTGAGATGGAATTTGAGGAGAACAACCACGCTTGCAAGCGGTCACGGGTGGTGGGTAACGGCAGCCAGGCGGCCAAGATAGGTCGCAAGGAGCACCAGGATGAGGACGAAGATGATGGAGAAAGGAAGGGTGGAGGGGCCGACGTCGGCCGCGTCGCCCCCTGGCAGCACCACCCGTCGTCCAGGATCTTTCGTGTTTCGCGTGCCTCCGGTGGGAAGGATCGGCACAGCAAGGTCTATACGGCGAAGGGCCTCCGCGACCGGAGAGTCCGCCTCTCGGTCTCCACCGCCATCCAGTTCTATGACCTCCAGGATCGCCTCGGCTACGACCAGCCGAGCAAGGCCATCGAGTGGCTGATCAAGGCCGCCACGGCTGCCATCAATGAGCTCCCTCCACTCGATGGCTTCCCCAAGCTGCTTCAACCTAGCGGAGATGATCAGATGAAGGCCGATCCTGTTGTTGAGCCGGCCTACAACCAGCAGCAGCATCCACCGACCAAATCCGGCTGCAGCAGCAACTCGGACACCAGCAAAGGCTCAGTCTCGTCTCTCTCGCGCTCGGAGAGCCGTGTCATGGCCAGAGAGCGAGCTCGAGAGCGAGCAGCGAAGGATAAAGAGAAGGACAGAGACGACAGCGGCCACATCATGGCCTCCCATCACCAGAACCTGAACCCTAGGCTGAACCCGCAGACCCCCTCTTTCACGGAGCTTCTTACCGGCGGCAGCGGCAACAACGGAGGCAGCAACATCTCTGCTGTTGCCGCAGGAGGGGAGAATCCGGGGCACAATTGCATTCAGAAGCAAATCTCCACAGCGGATTACTTCGGCCAAGCTGGTCTCTTTACCCAGTCTCAAAAGAGTCACCAGCTGCCCTCAGGGTTTTCTTCCCAACCCCACTTCGGAAATAGCTCTCCTATGGGAATTTTGCCTTTCAACATTGCTGCCGCCGGCGACCATCAAGAGATGCAGCAGTTCCCTTTCTTGCACGAACATTTCTTCCCCGTCTCGGCTGTGGCAGCGACAGGGGACCACAATCTCAACTTCTCCATCTCGTCGGGTCTTGCGGGTTTCAATAGGGGGACCCTTCAGTCCAATTCACCAGCTCAGTTGCCTCAGCAGCAACACCACAGTCACAACCACCTACAGAGGCTCTCTTCTACGGTTGACGGATCGAACCTGCAGTTCTTCTTCGGTGCTGCGGCCGGTTCAGCTGCGGCCGCCACCAACACGGAGAATCAATTTCAGTCTGGGTTCGACGGCCGCCTGCAGCTTTGCTATGGGGATGGCTATCGGCAATCAGATCTGAAAGGGAAAGGAAAGAGCTGAAATCATCACAAAAATGATGGCTTTTTTTGTGCATATTCCATTGCTGGTAAGAAGTTCTCCTAGTGCTTTTCTTTTTATATGAATGATTATTGCTTTGATGTATTAGTTTAATCAAAGATCTCTGCTTGCGTCTGTCCTTTTTTTGGTGAGCTTTTTGGACTTTTGTGTGTGTCATTGTCATCCAAGTATGCTTTTCTCGAGGTTGCATTCCTTTGTTTGATCTCCTTAGCTTTTGCAACGGAATGATTGTGTAGCCTACCATTGGTTGAGATTTCAATGGTGGGTTGATGATGGCCATGTTGGAATTTTATATCCGCCTATAGTTCTCTCATTGTGTTGGCTAGAACAGGTGTCAAAATGTTAGTAGTTACAACGTTTGAACCCCATTAAAGGGTAATCTTGTCGCTGCCAGCCATTAATACAACATCCACTGTAGCCTGGCACTCTTATGGTATTATGGTTTGCATTGTACCTGTCCTTTCTGTTCTTTTATATCTTGGGGCCTGGAAAGCTAGAATCAGAAATTGGTGCATGCAACAGAACATGATTGGAAAGTTGGAGATTGCCAACTTTTAGATAGTTGTTTGTCATTTAACAAACTTTTCCTAGCAGACGGAACCATTATTGCAAACTTCACATATGACACCAGAATGACATGAATCTCATGCTTTGACATTGTTAGTAAAAGATTAAAAATTAGTGTAAAATTAACAAATAAGCCAGTTGAATATTTTGTTGACAGTTATAATTTGGGTAAATAGCAATTGTAGCTTGTATTAGTTAAATTTACTGGCGTAATTTTGCTGGGTGAAAATAGAACAATTTCCTTATCATTCCACGCTAATATGATCTAGATGTACTAATTTTACTTTTCCTTGTAGATCATCTGTTGTTATTAAAATATTTGTTTTTTTTTACTTGTGAAAATCTTCAGCACCCATTGAAAATAGATTCAAAGGTTTGATGACGATACAACCCAGAAATAAAAACAAGATTTGACACTTAACTAGGAGAAACAAGATGTGAGTACAACTCCATGTTCGAGTTTATCAGTGAGTTTGATAAGGTGACCAAACGTAAGGTATATTTGGTTTCTAGTTCATGAAAAAGCTGATGTTAATAATGAGCTGTATTGTATATTGCATTGTATGTTGATAATGGGTCTTTATTCTTGGAGCTTGGTAATGAATCGTAGTGAAAAGCTTGAGATAATTTTTGAGATTTATGAAGAACACATTATTTGATATTAGTACCGTAGAAGAACTTTATAGTCCTCAATAATAGCATTAGTTGCTTTTGCTGTCATGTCGATGATTACATGGCACTATCAAGCTAGGATACTTATAGAATTTGCAGTTTACAAAAATCGAGTGGAGGGATTAGTTTTTTCATATGTTAGCGGAAGATGTCATTGACATTTTGGTCAACTCGATGTGATTATGGCCCATGTGTGTAGGAATATTTGAAGTGTGATCGAGATAACTCCGAAGTGAATATGTCGAGCTCTCGAGGTGTCACCTACACAAAGATCATGGTCGAAAGAATTTTATTGACCTGATCCCATTGATGTCTAAGTCAGTAACCAGAAGTAAGTGAGTATCATTATTAGTAGTCAAAGTGATCCTTTTGTCGTAGTGTGCTAAAAGTATATTTTTATACTTTGTCATAGAGGGCAATAGAGGGGCAAAACATTCTATGGAGAGGCAGCCCTCAACCATCTCTAACAACCTACTTTTATCTACGTAGGCGACAAGGGAGGAGGCACCCCACAAGTACCTGCTTCGGACTTATATCCATCTGGATAGACCAAGGGGGCAGGTCTTATCTCCCCTACGCTATCTTGGTCATCACGTAGAAGTCATGTGTCATATGATAATTGGTTGATGATATTCCTCTATTATTTGTACCTCTCGAAGGTGCGTTTCTAAGATCACTTTCAGAGAGACCCTGAAGTGCAACTATCAGCTTATCTGACACGTGTGTCATGCAGAGGTGAGGGAAGGATCCATCGAGATGCTTGTTTCGGGCAATAGAGGATATGATTGACCTACTTGATTTGCTACATGGATATCATTTTATCGTTGCATGATGTGCCATAACAACGTCGAGGTGCTTGTATTGGGAGGTGGGAGCTGATCATCATCAACCTGCTCCTTTTCCCTCTTCTCTTCTTCTAGCTCAAGTAGGACTTCAATCCTATCCTCGTGGAGGCACTTGAAGAAGGCCGTGACAAGTCCGTTTATCAAGGCAAGCTATGAGAGGAGTCGACATGGACTCCTCCGCTTGTCGAGGTGACCTATAGCACCTTAACCTAATCTTGCTCATGTCATCACCCGATCTGTAGCAGGGATACTCCGAGGTCCTTGTTGGGCCATGGGTCGGTTGTCTACCAATAGTGGAGATCTGCGACCCTTATCGTCATCCAATTTGTGTTGTTGCATGCTGATATGGAGATTAGATTTTGGTTGCCTGCTTGATCTGTTGAGAGACAACTTCGAGTAGAGGAAGCTTGCTCTCAGGTAACTTGTTGTATGAACCGAGGAATGCTCCTATATTATTTGTCACCAAGGCAGGTTGTGGGAAGAGCTAAGGAAAGCATCTCCTTTGCTTATCATCGAGGGACCTATGTCATGCAACTAGGGCTGCAGTGGGATGCTATAAAGATCCCATGTCACTGACTTGCCCCTTCTCCCTTTTTGCTTATCATCGTGGTGAGTTATGGGAGGAGTCATGGTGGGCTCCTCTACTTATTACTGATGGGGGCTATGGGAGGATCTCTCCTTTCACTCATTGATGAGGCCAACTATAGGAGGAGTCCACCTCGACTCCTCCCATGGCTCATAGATCTTGCTCTTCTCGAGAAGGAACAAGGATGGTGTAGTTCACTAAATTCCATAGTTAGGGACCAAAGTGCTCCCTTGGCCGACAATTCGATTGGCCTCGAGCGCTCCTAGTATGATAACACCATGTTGTGTTAGAGAATATCAACAAATGCTAGTGGCGGTGGAGCTAGGGATTGCTGCTTGCTGAGTGAGGCTAAAGAATACCTTAACAGGGACAAGTAGATGGCTCGAGGCCATCTGCAAGCATGAGAGACTCAAGTCGTTGAACAGGTGCCAGTATCTCATCAATGTCTATGTCGAGGTGAATGCACCGATGTGCGAAAAGGGTGGTTACTATCCCCTTTGGGTGAAAGTACTATGGCTTAGGGGCAAAGCCTCTTCACTTGAGTATTCATTCAGAGGATTAGTTGGCAGATATTCTTATAATATCGAGCTCTCCTAGCACTAAAAATATTATGAGAAGATGTCGTTGATGTCTTGGTCAACTTGATGTGGTTCTGACTCGTGTGCACATGGATACGTGAAGTGTGGCCAAGATGCCTCTAAAGTAAAAATGCTGAGTTCCTGAAGTGCCACTTGCACAAAGATTGAGACTGAAAGAGGTTTTTTCAATTTGATCCCTTTGATGTTTGATTTAGTAACCATAGGTAGGTGAGTGTGGTCATGAGTGATAAAAGTAATCCTTCCTTGGTAATTGTGCTAAAAGTGAGTCTTTATTACTTGGTCATAGAGGGGACTAAAGGGGTAAAATATTTTATGGGAAGGCAGCCCTCAATCGCTTCTAACAACCTACCTTTGTCCTTTTGTTTACATAGGCAACAAGAGAAGAGGCAGCTCATAATCGCCTACTTTGAGCTTATGTCCATACAAGCAGACTAAAAGGGTAGGTCTTGTCTCCCCTTTGCCAACTTGGTCGTCACATGATGACCACATATCAGATGATAATTAGTCGATAATATTCTTCTATCATTAAAAATATTTTTTTTAATCTTTTAACTACATATCTTGATAGGATTTGCTGTATTTGTTTCTCATTGATTTTCAAAGTCTAAAATTTGCATTACTATAATCACCTACGTTAGAGATTTCAGCACATGACAGCCATTCACTGCTATGGTTTTTAAGTGAGATTTTTATTTCATGATCATGGCAATTAATTTGAGATGAATAATCAACCATAAACTTGAATCTCCTATTCATCTCTGGGCATTGATGTTTAAGAGATTCAGCGTAGTATTGTCACAATCTGGCCCAACAAGAAAACTAGCCTATTAATTTTATTTAATTTAAACGGTATGATACAAAATATTTAAATCTGAACTAATAATAGTAAATCAATCTACACTTATTATACCATTATATAAACACATGGGATTAGTATTGTTGAAAGTAGTTCTGACTTCTGAAGAACAATGCCACCACCCTAAAGTAATCAAAGAATCTTGTATTATGATTAAGAGTCATCAGTTAATATTCAATTTCTGAAGCCGAAGTCTACTATATATTGATGATGAGGATAACATAGTGACGAGTGACAAGAAGAAAATGACCATACGGTAAGTCTCAGTATCTGGGCTTTTATAGCCACACATGTAGGAAAGTGTTGAGTTGTGTTCATCTTTGTTAAGTAGTTCTTTTTTATGATATAGTGTACAGTTTGTTTCCAGCCAACTAAATGAGCAACTCTTTTATAATTAGTGGTATTAGAGCTACAACATCTTGGAGTTGAATCTAAACTATGCTTGTGCATGTGGTGCAATAAAAGTTGTGAGCAGGGTAGACTGCCAGATAGGAAAGATAAACAAGCAACTCTCCGCTCTGATAATGTGGAGAATATAATTAAGTTAAGCGATTCATGTCTAAACTGAAGTTAATAGTACTATATCGATTAAATTTAATATTAGTGTTAGCTCATTTCTAATGTGAGAATTAAAAATGGATGTTGTAATCTTTTCTGCTCAAATCTTTTATCATGTCGGTTTTGATACTAATTATTACAATCAGTTTTGATAGGATAAATTAAATTTGTAAGCCTGAATCATTAACTCAAAATACTTAATCTTGATCTACTTTCTATATGGGATTAAATAGGAGTGTTATATTTGGTATACTGACAACAGATCTACAGTACTGAATTAAGAGAATAATAATTTGAATATTAGGATATTTTTTATATAAGATTTCTGAAATCATTTTTGTTCACCAAATGCAGTAGTGTCTGGATTTTCTAAGAGTCTAATAAAAGAAAGAAATCCTCAACTTAAAAATTGGAATTACTAGGAGTCTTACACATTCTCTATGACCCACCAGTTTATGTGGAGATAGTTTCAGAAACTATGTAACTCAATATATTGAGAAAACCATGCACTGATGTTGCATTGACTTCTTTGGAGTGGTCTTGAGTGGTGTTCGAAAATGATTTTGCTTCAGTCGTAAAAACTATGCTGGACCTTAAATTGTTTAGTGCATCTTAGTGACCATGTATCAGACAACCTAAAAAACTGATTAGGAGGTCTCATGGAAAACTGAACATTACTATGGCAGGTTTATGATAATTTGGTTGAATATATATGGAAAAATAACACAGGATAAAAATATTTTTACATTCCTTCCTAGTTTGATCCTGTACCTTTTTAATTCCTTTCCATTCAACATGGAGAACATTGCTCATTTTTTCTTGTATGTCTTGCAATTTTTCTTTTAATTGGGTTGAGGTGATAGAATTATTTTATCATTTTACTCTTAGTCATTGTATTCTTAGTATTTAATGTTTAAGAGTGTCAGATAGCTTAGTTGATAATGATTTTAAAAGAATATCACAAGGTGCTGAGTTCAAATCTCATCTTCCTCACCTTTTCAAAAAATATTCAATGTTCTCCAATTTTGAATCGTATCATTTGTCCTGTATCTTTAATTTTGTTGTATGAGCTTAAGCTTTAGAACCTTTTTTATCTGAGGTAAATTGTGGATCATGCCACCTTCACTTGTGGAATAAATAAATGAGAAGCTCTGGATACTTTTTTAATTTTATACTTTCTTCTCTATTTCTACTCCTGTGTTTAATGTGTATGAAGATGTAGAATTATCAAAATTACCTTTCTGAAACCAGTTCTGTTATTTTTTTTTTTTTTATGATGAAACATTGATGAAACCGATGTCAGGCTTGATCGGTTAAAGTTTGTGAGCCAAAAGTGCTGGATCAAGAAAATGAAGAAACTTTGGTTGCTTCTACAAGGACACATTATGGAAAAATTAGGTTCAGACAGTGTTAGGGTTTATTGAGTTGGTTTTAGCCTTTTAGGTTCAAACAGTTTTAGGGTCTTTTTGACTTACATATCTGTTAATTACAATAACAACAAGAAGTCCTAATACCCAACTGTTTAGGATCTACTGTAATATGACACTAAATGAATCAATGGATTCTAATATTAAGTAATTATATAGAAGATGGAGAAGTATTAAAAGACTTTAAATATTAGTTATGTACTGGCGTATTAGACTCCCTTACCAAAAGTTCAGGATTCAAGACCTCAATTGACATATTTGAAAGTGTCAACTAGTCTAGCTAATAAACATCTTGATAGTTTAATCGCAAAGTCCTGGGATCGAATTCTACTTTCTAAAAAAAAAGAAGTAGCACTGAAGCTCATATGAGAGAAAATCTTAGCTATTATTTCTCAACCAAAGACTAATGCCTTGTTAAAACCTTGTTCATAGTATCTAACGAGTAATATGAATTAAAGGGAGAAAAAGAGGTAGTACAGACTTTTTTTGAAAGAAAATATCTGTCTATTATTTCAGGCCTGTGTTACAAACAATAAAGCTGATGGTTCAGCAGCAGAAAACATAAAGCTAGAGGACTGTGATATACCAAAATTAGCAAAGGAATGACCTACAAAATTGTCCGGCCTAGGGACATGATTGATTCATAAGAGAAAGATGTCAAGAAACAAAATTGAAAGATGTCAAGAAACAAGTCAAAAACAAGGGTACAGTTAGTAGAGACTTGATTTTAGGTTGTCAACTGCTAGTTTTTCCGTCATTTTTCTTGTCTTTACCGGAGCTGTAGTGGGTTGGCTTAAGTGTGGTTTGGTTTTCTGCCAAGTTGGAATCATAAGAACAATTGTTGAGTGAGGCTGATCTTGTATTGCAAATAAAAATGACCTACGTTAAGCAAATAAGGACCAGTGGTGGTTTGAAGTTGAGGTGAGTTCTGACTTCAGAGTTCTGGGAAAGGACGGCTTGAGCTTCACCAATCAAACACTGCTTAGTTGAAGCTCAGCTTGTCCTGCTACTGGATTAGATTGCTTGACCAGACTCTGCCATGTTGATATCATAAGGTTGAGTCGAGTTGCACGTTTAATAACCTTTTTTCACTTTAACCCAACATGCACACGTCAAGATCTCCCCCTTTGTGTACGTAGCAACATGATTAGGTGGTAAATAACTTTTGCTAGTAATCAAAAGATTGTTTGTTTGGTCAATTGGTATGATTAATGTTAATCACTTAGGCCCAAGGAAGCATCAATTGTAGGGAAGAACAAGGCATTAACTTGCTGGTCTGAGAAAACATGACCCAAGAAATAGCTTAGATTTGCTTTGAGAATGTGATTTTAAATTGGAATTTTTCTGTTCTAGACAATAAATTTCTTATAATGATGCATAGAAACAATTGAAGAGCAGATTCCAGCAAGATAATAATCAACAGACAAATTTTTCATAGGAGAGCTTTGTAAGATTGAGAGGAATGGGAACACCCGAATGTTGGAGATATGATCAATGAAAATATAA